GCTTCGTCGTTTTTTAGGGGCATATTGCGTTGTGAGGGAAAGTCGATACAAAGACGAAAGGTATGAAGGAGTGGATATGTGGGACGTTCGCATGTCTGGGACGTTCGCTTATCATGTACGTTATATAAAAAAAAAAGAAAAGCAAGAAAAGAGGAAAGCATAGAGAGAAAAATGAAACATAAGAAAGAGACTAACGTGATTTATCAGCGAATGCACCATATCAGCGAGTGCACCACTGGTAAGGGCTGCATATATATTTGGGTGCAGCACTAACAACGGGAATAAGCGGGGAATAAGTTGTTAGTACTTCGACTAAGTGTCTGTGCAGCCCTTACCAGTGGTGCACTCGCTGATATGGTGCACTCGCTGATAAAACACGTTAATGTTAGAAGGGAAAGACCTGAATATTCACTCTCAATACCAGCCACCGGCCCTGACAGCAGCACATCCGCCCCCGGCCCTGGCAGCAGCAGCAGCACCAGCACATTGGCGGGGCAGGATTTGGGGGATGAGATTACCTATTCTGATGATGAGATGGCATATTAGTGTACGATCAGATCTTTTCTGGTAGTTGTAATCAATAAGATTACAAATAATTGCTCATGATGCTCCTAGTTCGTCCGTGACTTGCCGCGCCTCCGAATGGTTACTCATGTTTTGGAGAGGTGCTTCGCCGAGGTGTCGCCCGTCAAGGGGGTAATAGCTGCAGTCTGTTCATCCTAGCTCAAGTAGGGGAGAGCGGTGAGGGGACAGAGCCTGGACGGATTGAAACGGCCCCGTTCTGATGTAGCCAAGGTAAGATCCAACTCCAGGAGCATCAAGGCGTCCGAAAATCTCGTAGCAAAGAGTGCATGCGACAGAATATTGCAAGTGGAGAGAAGAGCGCGATTAAATCGCTCAATTTTTGTTCGACTCGGTTTCTCTGAGGGTGACCTCAATCGTCTCGAGACCAAGCTTGCGATCAATCAGTGGCTGTCTTCCCGGCCGTCGCTCCTGGGCTGCGAGCGCAGGGTGGAGGCGGTCTCCAGGACCGGGAGACACGTAGATGGGATTCTGATTCACTCCATGGGGCCAATAAGTGGCGAAAATTGACTCGAGAAATCCATTCTCGGCCGAGTAGAAGAGCCATCGTCTCACCGCCGTGGAGTCAGGGGCAGCGGCGGCATAAAGAGCGCGGGGTCGGCGATGGAGTACATCCAGTGTTTTTGTCTGTGCCGAAGCAGCAGGGTCTGAAAGCGACAGAGTATTGGCGGCGACCGCGGTCAGAACCTCATCTAGAAGAGAAAGAATGGGCGTCATGTTGTAGAGATAATTGAGTTGAGGCTCAAACAGTTGCAAGGTTCTGCGCTGCTTGGTTTATGTCCAATTCCTCCACTTAAGTTGATTGTGACCGCGGCATGTGCGGCAGCCAGGTGGTCAATAAACATGACGAATGGAAACAAACGAGAAAAAAAGAAAAAAAAGAGAGCAATTGGAAACGACAGTGGGAAGAGACGCCTCGCAATAGGATGCCGAGGCAGACATGCTGAGGCTGCCACGCTTGCCCAAAGTCTTGTTGCCCCCAGGTGCCTTACTAGCTCAAGGAGCAAGCTGTTAGAAGTAAACAACTCAGGGGTTGAAGGCGGTCGAATGGTTGGTGACAGCACGTGATACTGGTACCACTATGATTTGGTCCGTGCGCAGGCTGCAGACTTCAAGCTCCCATAAGTTCTTGGCAGGCTTCGCCGATTTTTGGAGGGGCAACTCGCAGCAAACGACGACCACCGACGACTTCCTCACCGGCTTGAAACTTCGCCTCGACCTGTAGACGCACTTCAACTTTCTTTCCCCTCACAATGAGCTTCGGTGGACAAACACCGACGATTATTGTCCTGAAAGAGGGCACAGACACCTCTCAGGTATTTATTGGCCCCAAGTGAAGTTTTCCTGTATCGGTAACTTAATTGCATCTAAACAGGGCAAAGGTCAGATCATTTCCAACATCAACGCCTGCTTAGCGGTCCAGGCGACGATCAAGTCGACACTCGGTCCCTATGGCGGCGACCTATTAATGGTGGATGCCAACGGCAAGCAGACCATCACCAACGATGGAGCCACCGTCATGAAGGTGCGCGTCCCGAACCATGGCGAGAGACCGAGACAGTTTCTGACTTTAGGAAGCTTCTCGACATTGTCCACCCGGCTGCTCGGATTCTCGTCGACATTGCGCGATCGCAAGATGCGGAAGTGGGAGACGGCACAACCTCGGTAGTCGTCTTGGCCGGCGAGATCTTGAAGGAGATCAAGGAGCACGTGGAGGCTGGTGTCAGCTCGCAGATCATCATCAAGGGCTTGAGGAGAGCGTCAACCATGGCAGTCAACAAGATCAAGGAGATCCAGGTCAGCACAAACGAGGCGAACAGGAGGGACACCCTCAATAAACTTGCCGGGACCGCCATGACGAGCAAGCTCATCAAGCGGAATACCGACTTCTTTACCAAGAGTGAGCCCTCTCCAGCGTTGCACTGTTGGGCATGCACTAACAGCACTAGTGGTCGTCGACGCCGTCCTCTCTCTCGACCAGGAAGATTTGAACGAGAAGTTGATAGGCATCAAGAAGATTCCCGGCGGCTCGCTGACGGACTCTCTCTTCGTGAATGGCGTGGCATTCAAGAAGACCTTTTCATATGCCGGTTTCGAACAGCAGCCAAAGTCGTTCAAGAAGCCCAAGATTTTGTGCCTCAATGTCGAGTTGGAGTTGAAGGCCGAAAAGGACAATGCCGAGGTTCGCGTCGAGCAGGTGTCCGAGTACCAAGCCATTGTCGACGCCGAGTGGCAAATCATCTACAAGAAGCTTGAGGCCGCCTATCAGACTGGCGCGAAGGTCGTGCTGTCCAAGCTTCCCATCGGTGACCTAGCGACCCAGTATTTCGCCGACCGCGATATCTTCTGCGCCGGCCGTGTGTCAGCCGACGACATAGAGCGTGTGGTTCAGGCGACAGGCGCAACCATCCAGAGCACCTGCTCCGACATCCGGCCGGAGCACTTGGGCACCTGCGGCAGTTTTGAGGAGCGGCAAATCGGCGGCGAGCGCTTCAACTTCTTCGAAGACTGCCCGGAGGCCAAGACGTGCACGCTCGTGCTGCGCGGTGGTGCCGAGCAGTTTATTGCCGAGGTCGAGCGGTCGCTGCACGACGCTATCATGATCGTTAAGCGCGCCATCCGTAACAAGACCATCGTCGGTGGCGGCGGTTCCACTGAAATGGAGGTGTCGGCATACCTGCACCGCTTCGCCGATCAGGACGTTCGCAACAAGCAGCAGGCTATCATCAAGAGCTTCGCCAAGGCACTCGAGGTCATCCCGCGGCAGCTGTGCGACAACGCCGGCTTCGATGCTACCGACATCCTCAACAGGCTGCGCGTCGAGCACCGGCGTGGCAACACGTGGGCAGGCGTCGATTTCCAGAATGAGGGTGTCACGGACATGATGGCCCGCTTCGTCTGGGAGCCGGCGCTGGTCAAGATCAACGCCATTCAAGCGGCTACGGAGGCGGCTTGCCTGATTCTGAGCGTCGACGAGACCATTCGCAACGAGGAAAGCCAGGCACCCCAGCCGCCGGGCAAGCCTCTGCCCGCCGGAGCGGCTCAACGGGCCCTGCGCGGGCGCGGTAGGGGAATGCCGAGGCGGTAGAGACTTTAGCTTGTTAACATGAGTGAAACACGCCATCCGGTCAATGCACTACTGCGATTGATACCAGTGTCTAGGTGCTGAGACCTACAAATGATGAACCGATTAGAAACGTGGATCTTGCCGCTCAAGTCTTTATGAGTATTCCGACTCCGTTCCCCTCCGGTTTCCGCACCCTCCCCCTCAACTCCTCAACTCCTCAACTCCTATCAACCTCCAGCACTTCCAGGGCCCCGTTCACTTTCGTCATCCACTGTCAGTAACCCAGCTACATCCGTCCTTCCTCCAACTCCACCGGCAGCGGTCTTGGCCCCTGTGCCAAGGCCAACGCCCATATCTACGGCCATTAATCCTGACCCGCCTGGGTCTGTCTCTCGTTGGTGCTGCCCCGTCAACCCTTCGTCTTCTTGTTCATCAGCGGGATGATTCCCTGGCGACTCAATCAGCATGTCCAAGTCCAGGTCCCGGTCCCCAACCACTCCTCCATCATGTTCCTCCTGTTCTCCTGCTGTGGGTAGTGCTGTTGCCGTTACTGCGGCTTCTGTTTGTTCTCGCAGCGGTGACCGGTGAATGGGATGTCTACTTGTACCAGCACCACCATAACCTGGTTCGTGGTGGTGGTGTCGGTGATGGAGCGGCGTTGAGGAGTCACTGCCCCTGATCGTGGCTGCAGTCACCTCTGTGGTTCCGGTGGCGGCCGCAGCGATGATGGCGATGTGTGCTCCTACTCCCAGGCCATGCTCCGCTTCGAGTTCGTCGTCGTCAGTAGCGGCGGCGTTAATCAGCGCTTGGAACGTTTCGGCGTCGGCAGCGTCAGAGTCAGGGTCGTGATGGGTATCGGCGTGGTGGTGGTGTGCGGGGGAATGTTGGGAAAAGGCGTAGTGGTCGCTGTGATGATCAAGGCTTGTATGAATATGTGGGTTGTTTTCGGCCACGGAGGACTGTCCTATTATTTGTGGGTCAATGGGTTGGTAGTCCGGGACGGGAAGCTCATGTGGATGGGCAGCAAGGGCCGGGAGATGCACTGGGTGAGCGGATGGTGAGTGGTGGTGTGAATGTATTGGCCTGTGGGATGTGTTTTGGAGCATTGGGTTGTGGTTATCTCGAGCCATTGCGTCGTGCTGTGTCATGGTAGCATCGGAGGGTGACGGCAGAGCCTGGGCTGCCGGCCGGAGGATGGAGATGGCGCCGGGATCAGCGAACTGATGGTGGGATGGCAGCGTGAACGGTGACAGGTGCGACGGATCGGCCACGGACGGCCGAGGTCCTCCGGCGGCCAGCTCTATGCCGGATCCGGGAACCGGAGGGCTTGGCGAGGCACGTTTGGAGGCAGGGGCAGACGTAGGACTCAGGTTGGGGCGCTTGAGGCCGTTAACCGGAATCCCCGGAGATGGCTGCTGGGTCTGGGCCGACGACGCCTTGCTCGTATCTTTGCATTCAGCACAATTCCTAATTACATCCGAGACCGTCTCTTTGATGCGACTCCAATGGTACCGCTCGGCGATGGTGGCCGTGGTCTTGTTGATGCCGCCATGGGCCTGGTTGTGAACGCTCCTGGCGATATCGTACTGCCGCTGGGGGTCCGAAATGACCTCTTTGTCCTTGAGCATCAGAACGTCGCCGTCCAGGAGTTTGTAGTGGGTAGCAGCGCTACGCAGCCTGCTTTTCTCGGCTCGGTCAGCGCCGTTGGGATAGCGGCCGTATTTGAGGTAGAACTTGATCTTGTCGAAACGCTCTTCACTCACAAGTTCCTCGTTGCCCGCGCCGCCTGGCGCGTCGCCCAAGTCGCGCCCGTAGATGATGGCGTCCACCAGTCGGTCCGGATAACTCTTGAGGTTGCCGGCGCCCTTGACCCGTCCGATGCGCTTGAAGCCCAGGGCGTCCCAGATCTTGCACGACGCCACATTCGTCTCGTACACGAGGTTGAAGACGGAGTACTTGTATCCCAGCTTGGGCGCCCAGTCGAGGTAGGTCTCGCCCATCAGCCGGCCTACACCGCGGTTGCGGGATGCGTCGGTGACGATGAAACCAGCATTGCAGATATGGCTGCTGCGCCCTGGGTAGTTGGGCTTGATGTAGAAGGTGCCAAGACACTCCTTGGACCAGTCCTTTCCCTCGACGACCTCGGCTGCACTCCCGATATGGCCCAGGAGCATGATGCCGCCAAAGTTCTGGAACCAGTACGAGGCAAACTTGTCGAAGGGCATTGGCTCCAACATCGGGTACGTGTCGCCGCCCTCGATTTCCTTGTTGAACTGGTCACTCAGGTAGTGAAGAAGGGACTCGGGGACCTCGTGGCGAGATGCAAAGGGGACGACAGTAGCGACCGTCTGACGGTCGCGGAGTGTTACATGGCGGGACATGATTGTTGGCGGCACGGCAGGATTGGCTGGGTCGGGATACGGGGCATCTCCGGACACCCGATAGATGGTCGGAGATGCCGGGTCGTCTAGAATCGCCGGCATCCTGGCGATATTCGGTAGGGACTGGGGACCCGCACCGTTGAGTGTCACCGAGGGCGCCGAAGCCGGAAAAAGAGCGAGCAGCCCTAAAGGGAGAGGCAACTACATGGTGATTATTAGCCTTGCATGAATGTCACAAACTGGATATGGCTATGGACAACAAGCACAAAGAAAGGCCAAAAAAAGGGAGGCCGAGCCGTACCTCAAGCCAGGCGTGTAAGTGACGGCTTCGGTTCTAAGTCTACAGTCCGCAGCCAGAAATGCTGTCACCTGCAGCACCGAGATCCTCGCCGCTGCCGGGATGTCTGGTCCCGGCACGATTCAGGTACCCGACAACCCGTGTGCGCACAGTTCCCCGCGACGAGGCACACCAATCAGAAAATTCCCGGCGTGGCGTGATGCGAGAACGAGGCAGGGTGCAGTGACGTGACGGTAACGGAGTTGCTGTGCTGAAATGTTCGTGGTGATGAGTTGTGCTGGGGAGGGCAGATTCGCAGCCGGGATGAGGGAGGGGTTTGTGGGTCTGCTGAGTCAGGATTCACGAGTGAGTTTAGCACGTAGGGACTAAGACGTCCCAAAACACCCATCAGTAAGGAAGGGGTTCAAGATGGCGGTATATTCTAGAAATGGACGTCTATGGCAATATGGTACAAGGAAAAACTACACGCCCTCAAGCCGCTGAAGAGGTGATTGGGCCATCCACCATCTCCTTTAGGAGCTCATCATCGGTCAAGAAGTCCTCCCTCGTCATCACCTTTTTGTCCAAGACACCCTCAGCCGCAGCAGCCTTGTACTCTTCCTGTGCCTTGGCCTCGGCGTCCTTCCGTATAAAGATCTCGATATCGCGAGCGTTTTCCCAAGTACAAATGCCGTCGTTGGCATCCGCTAACCTCCGCTGCTGCCCGCGCTCTCCCGCCCTGCCTAGTACGCCCGCAATGAGCGTGACAGATCGGACACTGTAGAAGAACGTCGGTTAGCCACCGTCCACCATCAATCCTTCCCAACGCCGGCGCTCACCTGTCATCGTTGGCCGGGATCTGGTACGTAACCCAGGTAGGGTCAGCGTCGGTGTCAATGACGCCAATGGTCGGGATGTTGGCCAGGCCGCACTCGTGCAGCAGCGGGTAGTTCTCGAGCGGGTTCAGACACACCACCAGATCGGGCACCACGGGCCTGCAGTCGCGGAGGTGCATGTCGAACCCCTGCAACTCCGCGTCCCGCTCATCCACCATCTTCAGCTGGCCGCTAGCCAGAATGACGTCTCGGTTGGTGATGGCGCCAGGCGTCCACTGCTGGAAGAGGTGGCAACCCTTGGCCAGCTCGGCCGCGCGCACCACGATCGGCCTGTGCTCCTTCCTGTTGCCGACAAAGAGAATCAGGCCGCCGTAGTAGGCCACCTCTTCGACGACGCGCGCGGCGCGGCGCAGGTGGGCTGCCGTCGTCTCGAGGCTGATGATGTGGATGCCGGCGCGCTCGCCGTAAATGTACCGCTGGTTGGCCGGGTTCCACTGCGAGACGTGATGACCCATGTGGCACTGGGCGGCCATGAGCATCTCGAGCGTGGCGTCATGCGGCGGGTCGAGCAGCATCTGATCCGGGTGATACCTCGACTCGACGCGGGCGCCTATGCTCCGAGTGTGCTCGCGCTGGTGCTGGTACTCGAGATAAATTGCTGGAATCTGGGCGAGCTCGGCCTTCCGGGCGGCGGTCTTGGCCGCGTGGTAGGACTGGACATTCGTTGGCGTTGCGGTGGTGGGCATTGCGGTAGGTTCAGCGAATGTCGTTGGCGCCGTGGCCGGCCGTGTCGCCGAGCTGGAAATGGTTCGGAGGCATAATCGGCTGATGGGTGCTGCTAGGGCACGACGACCTGTAGAAAGGTCAATTGGCGGTCGCATCGACATGTATAACTATTAAATATGCTTACCGTGCCTGACACCGAAACTCCTCAAGATCATGGTGGAAAATGTTGGGGTTGGGGTCATTGCATTGCAATGCTGCCAGCCGCTGCTGCGAAAGGAGCAACTTTTCTGTCTTCTCGATCGTTGTGGTCCGTGCGGTCCCTGCCAAGATGGTATCGATCACCCCCCACATTTAACCCGGACGAGTCATTGAGAATGTCAAACTCAAGTTCTCGACTTTACACAGACACACCTCCTCGCTGCTCAGAACTCAGATGAAGAGTCAGAAGACAAGCCTTCTAGGAGCTACATATTACATTCAAAAGCCAGGGCGCTCAAAAAATGACAATGCTTGTTGATCGGCCATCCCCACCACCACCTCATAGGGCCTGTCTCTCCGATTCCTACCCAATCAACTCAAATGCACAGCTGATCAGAGTAGCGTCCGACGAAAGGCCAATGTATTATAGATGTTCTATGGAATCAACAGCTGTTTCATGAAGCCTTGTTACAGAAGTGTACAGCCCGAGCCTCGCATTTTTGGGGGGATCAAATGCCTACCCCAACAGTGGGAGCCCAGACAACGAAGCTCACACCCTCACGCGTCCTCACCACCCACTTCCTTGAAACACAACAACTCGCTTACCGGCTAGACATTCTCGAAATGGTAAACACACCCACAATCACTACCGCCAACATCGCAATCGCACCCGGCAGCAACAACTCGTTGGGCACACCGGCAATGACCTGCTCCGGCTGCGGCGCCGTCCGCGTGCGGGGATGCCTGCTGGTGCGGACGGGCGTCTCGTCCCCCTCGGACACGTCGCCATCCTCTTCATCCTCGTCGTTACCAACCGGCTTCCTGCGCTCACGCACGACAGAAGACAGCGGCGGCGTCGGCACTACGAGCGGCTCGGGCGCCGGCGCGGGTGCAAGTGCCGGGGCAACGGGCGGCTCCTTGGGATCGTGCACGAACAGGTCAACTTTTTCGCGGCGGCCTTGGCGAGCGAGGACGATAGCCTCCAGCAAGTCCTGGTCTGTTGTGATGGACACGGAGTCGCCCTCGTCGTCGAGGTAGCTGAGCGCGTATCCGCCCGAGAGCTTGCCGTCCTCGACGGTGGGCGCGCCGCCGATGGCGTCGACCTCGGAGCCGAGCTTGGCCGTGACGTTGGCGACGAACTCGGCCATGCCGTGCGCGGCAGTAACTTGCAGTCGGTGAACGCGGCCACTAGGGGCCTTGAATTTGAACGGGAATGGGGTTTCGGCGGGTGGCACCTCCGGCGTAGCGCCCACGGCGCTGTGGGGAGGTGATTCGACACCGGTGTGGCTCGCAGAATCGCCCGGCAGGACGCTATCGGTTGGCAGGCGCTCGCTCCGTGAGATGTCCGGGGACATCAAGGATCTCGCATTCGCGTTGGTGTGGTGGTGCGAGCCGTCACCGGAAACCATAGACTCGGTCTCGTGGTCAAGCGACAGCCAGAACTTGTTCCATGCAGGTCCTTCGCTGTCGTTGCTATTCATCGAATTGATCTGCTCGAGGGTGGCGTATGTAAGCTTGAGGACATCCACCATGCCGACAATCTCGCCGCCGTCGTTCATGACGGGAAGGTTAAGGTAGTGACCATCTGCAAACAGTCAATAAACTGCATACCACAGATTCAGTACATAATGTATCTTACCATGCATCTTACGCAGCGCAGCCTGGATGCTCATGTCCATGGGCGCAAAGTCGGGATGAGGGGTCATGACACGGACAACGCTGCAGGTAGCGGGATCCAGGCCGGGCGCAATCACACGCAGGACAACATCCTTGCTCGTGAAGATACCGGTAATGGCCCCTTGGTCCTGGACCAGGACCGCCGTGGTGTGGTTCTCCTTCATCAACTGGGCGGCCTCCTTTACCGACGTCCGAACGCTCACCGTTGTCGGCGGTAAGCCGTTCAACACCGACTCGAGAGTAGGGCCCGACATCTTGGACCGGAGAGCCTCAACGTACTGGATGATCTGCTGCGGCTGGCTGGAGCCGAGCTCGGACTGCACACCCTCGAGCGCGTCGTAAAGCCGCCGGGAGGACGAATAAGCACGCTCCAGCTTCTCCATGGCCTCGTAAAAGCACTTTGTGATATCGAGCACGCCAGAAATATCCTGATTTTCGTCCATGACGGGAAGGTGGCGGAAGCCCTTACGGACCATCAGGTCGAGGGCATCCGTGGCGCTGGTGTCGGTCCTGGCGCACAACGGATTTTTGGTCATGATCTCGGCGATGGTGACATTGTTTGGCTTCAGCCCGGCTCCCACGACACGGAAGGCAAGATCCTTGGCTGTGAAGATACCCGCAATTCGGTCGTCGTCATCCGTGACCAGCACGCAGTCTTCGCGCTTGGCTGCCATGAGCTGTGCGGCTTCGGCGACGCTGGTCTGGGGCTTGATCTGCAGCGCCTGGCTAGGCTTGAGGGCGAGGACGGTTCCTGGAGGTGCCTTGCGAGACTGCCGGGCGCGGCTTGTCAAGTGCTTCTTTTTGGAGAGATCATTCTCCATCTTGCGGCGGATGGCCTGCACCGCCCAAGTCAGTGAGTGTTCCATCTGGCTGCGAGGAGCAGGATAGAAGTTGGTGGCGTGGAGCGCGGATGGAGGAAACGAACTTCATCTCTCTTGGATTGCTTCTGCCTGCTGGCGCTAACGGTGGAAGAGGGCCCGGCCTCGCTGGTTGTTGATGGCGTGGCTTCCAGAACCGGTCGAGGGATGCCCGAGGTCGGGGTGTTGGCGAAGGGGATGGCACCGCGTGACTGACCACGATTGGGCGTGCCCCGAAGAGTGCCCGGGTTGACAGACATGATGGGCGGCGCTTGTGTGAAGTGTATATTAAGTGAAGCTGCTGCGCTATAATAGATTGTCGCACCGAAAATTCTGGATGTGCTCGTCGACTTGTCGAGAGCTGAAAGCAGGAGCCAATCAATGAGCGATGGATCAGACGACAGGACTCGACTCGAAGGAAAAACACGGGTTGAAGATTGGCTTGGTTGCCTGGCGACGCACGGACCAACATCGAACATCTCCAGGTGCTCGGGTCCTGCACCATCCGATGAAGGCAGGGGTCAGGAAGACATCCAGCGACGGAAAGTTCAAAAGTTCATGTTCGGATCGCCCGAGCATTTTTTAACAACGTTATGCCGAGTCTTGGGCGCTTGCCTGACCGCACATTTTTGCTCCGAAGCCTACACACTCACTGGCTCAGCATAAGGGAGTAATGGAGTTTCGACATCCCAGGTGACCCACCAAGGCTTGTTGATGTACATGGATCGTTACCGACTTGAATAGGGGTTGCAAAGGATCTGCTTTGTAACCACCTTCTCCGCCCAGCTACCCTCATCTACGCACGTTAGCCTTGTGCCTGCTATGAACCCGGAAGGGTTCCTGCAGAGTGCTGCTGAAATGCCTGCATGCGCTTCGCTGCATGAAAGGCTAAGCTACATTGGTCCTCAATGTCCGGATTGATGCTCATCTTTCACCGAAGCAATTTCCTCCATCCACGACCGTCTTGATGGATTCCTCTTCACGTGTAGGTTAAACTCTACATCGGCTTCTCTAAGAGTGTTGTTAATTCTGAAGACATCTCATATAATGACGTAGGACAGTAAGTTGTCTCAAACTCGACCCGGGAACAACACCTAAACAGAATGTCACGATCTCCGGTTTTGGTACACTCTGCCTTGGCCTGATCTCTATTAAAAGGGCCGATATTGCCGAACTTGCCGTGCCAATGGGCAGCCAGATCCTAAGTTCGGGTTTTCTCTATTACGGTGCTTCTTGAAAGTTGAAGACAGTCGATGCTTCCTTGACTCGGTCCAACAGAATCGCTGATGTAAGGATCGCAGGATTCTTTGTCCTCGATTTTGGCTGCCCGGTGGTTGGCATCCCAGTGGTTTGACTAGGGTGGGGATCGGTTGATCCCCCTGGTTCGTGGTGGGTCTTTCTCGATACGTCACCTTCCAGAATTTGAATTTAGGAGGTTGATTAGGGACCTAAGGAACTGTACCTCCATACCCTTTCTGCTTCACCTCCTTTCGCGCCGAACCTACCAAACCCTCGCAGCCGGTCGCGCGACTCAACGAGCTTGCCAGCAGGCAGTGCACGTGAACCGGTTTTCACGTCGCGTTTTGTGCCAGACCGAAGAATCGCTTTAACTGCGACATTCCTGCGACCGGTTCGACGACACAGAACTTGGTTCGATTACGCGACATCCAACCAGCCGTCTCTGATCTGGCCGTCCTACCCGCGCACAGCCTCAGACTTCGGGTCGCTGCGCTGGCCAACACGGTCTTAACTTGAGGCCTCTCCACCATCCTTCGGCGGCCGATCTAGGGCCCACTCAAGCTACGCGCACTCGGCCGAAGGAAACAGGACTCACCTTGGCTATTAAGTCGCTGCGCGAGGACGAAGTGGTTTCGAAAACCGACTGCAATCCCAGACAAAGCGCCATGGCAAGGATAACGGAACCGCGAAGGGAAGTTGCCGGCGCGTCGACCCGCTCGTTCGCGGCAAACATCAAACGAGCACTGGTCGACATGGTCCGGCGTGAAGATGAATGCCACCCCCTACCGAATGTCGACCTGTGCGAGAAGCCCGCGATCTCATCTACAAAAGTTACATGGATTATCGTCGGCGTTTGCGTGTGAGTCTGAGCCTCGCGCCCCTCGCCGCAGCAGTTTCCTAACATGGTGCACAGCGGGTGCTTAGTCCTCGGCACATTCTCAGTCCTCATCTTCCTCCATTTCAGGCGCAAGAAGCGGGACAAGCAGGAGGATATGGATGACAGATTCGAGAGGTCGGATTACGGCCTGGACGAAATACCTGCGTCAAGGAAACCGCGGCCAGTCGACGACATGAACTCGCACGACCGGTCGCCACAGGGCTATGGGAGACGGTCGCGCGATCCCCTGCAGGTTGGCACCGAGCCCAAGTATCAGCCCGGACAGTTAAACGACCATCTGAATCCATTCGACGACGCCTCATCGTTCAGGTCCGGCAAAGGGTCGCCGAAGCCTCCTAGCGCCAACCCTGCGTGACCAAAGAGGGAGAGCAGTCAACACACGTCGCCCTGGCAGGGAAGATGATGTCATCTGCGAGCGTTTCTGGGAACGAGCGACGACTGTATTGGGATGAGTTACGACGGTATCTGTGTACGATACCAAGCGACGGAGGCGCCCTATACTCATGTGGGAGTCGTTTGTGACTGTGTGTTCAGCTGGCAGAGCCGATGTGGCTGGTCATATCGGCTCTCTGAAAACAATCCAATGTTGCAATTCAGCGAGCGGCGAGCCTGCACGTCCAATTATAAGACCGCCACTGACGGCCCAGCGCATTGTCTCGTCGAGGCATTTAACCCCTACATTTCTTCCCATGCAACTGGCCTCGCGCCGTGAACCAACACTGCCCATGGATATGGTGGATTGGGGGAAGCACTGACAGGTTGTCCCACTGTTGTTGATTTGACCTGGGTAGTCGTGGAAGAATATCAACGGTTCAGAGGGGAGTGCTTGAGACAACACTAACGGCTTGAGATAATGGTAGTCAAAAAGCTTCCGCTGTAAGGCTGACACCAGGTTCACGCCAGTTTCATTGACGCTTCTCACCTGCAAGGGTCCAGCTCTGCAGAGCCCTATCCATCGAAGGGACTCGTCTAAGTAGGGCCATAACGTAGGGCCATAACCATTGCCGGCCCGCCTGGTATGTGGCCGGGAATGTCGCTGATTTCGACAAGACACCAATTGACGAACATCCAGACTTGGCATCCTTCCCAAACATCGGCATTGTCCACATGTGCAATGTCCTTGTCCACAGGCGGGCTGCCCTGACTCACGGAGCCGTCGTCGGGACGTTCTGAACCCGGGGCACGGCCTAGGGGCGAAAAGCCTCCAAAGCTGTGTTCGAGACATCCATCCCCTAAACCCGACCGGGAACAGTGGCCGTGCTGTGGGCCGCCTTGAGGGCATTGATATAAAGAGCGCCTCATCTAGGTCCTCCTGGTTATGCGTCGAGAGGCTGCCGGCTGCACACCAGCTCACGGCTATCTCCCGCAGGCTCAGACATATCCAACCTGTTCGGGCTCGAACTCAGCCATAGCCGACAGTGGCAATTCTTGTCGTCAGAGTCGACTTGAAGGCGGGGAACGGTTTGTTCCTTCCTACCTCCTCCGATACTGTCCCTCTCCATCAGAGCTTCCTCGGTTTCCATCCAACACCATCAACTCACCACCACCCGGACATCCCTTGTCTGCGACTCACCTGAGTCGCCTGGGTGACTGCTCTGTCTTCATCGGAGTCTGACCAGTTTTCTGGTTTGATACCGAGGGCCGAGGTCCACTTTGGATTGAAGAAGCATCTACACCATCCGTTCGTCTCTTCCAAAGCAAGCGCGGATGGACAACTTGCTGTGACCTGCGTCTCCTTTCCAAAAGCATTACGAGTTTTCGCATATCAGGCTAGACGGCCACTACCAACGGCAATTTAGGCGGATAGGCTCTCACGGCAGTTGAGAGGCGCCTTGTGGTGCTGCTCGATATGGACACCAACCCGCCGGTCTGGGCCGTCGTCCACGTCATCTTCGGCGTTGGCTACAACATCTTGATCCATCTGAGTCTCTTGATACTTGGTGAGTGGGAAGCGATTTAGGCTGAGTATTTGGTAGTTTATCGGAGATCGATAACGACTTTGTATATGACCATAACGTTAGCTATATGTGCACCCCAAGTCTAGCGTTTTCGAAGTCCATGACAGACGCCCCTGTCCATCAGTGGTATAGTTCATTCCTCCTCAACTCCTCAACGCCGTCTCTACTCGTCACCAGCTGCGCCCGACCGGCCGCGTCAGCCCGGATGCCAACCCTGACCCGCCATCTCGATACGTGGACCGCCACGCTCGTCCGGCTTAGAGCGGGACTCAATCGAGAGTTCCACGCGAGCAACAAAAGTTCTGCCACATCACCCCACGCACTGATGGTCGGGATGTCCGACTTGAACCAGAACTTGGACAACACCATGACGTAGAGGAAGTACGTCCCTACAACGATCATGTACGTGATGACGACGGTAAGGGCAAAGGTCATCGTCGGCCCACCCTTGCCGGATCCATAGCCGTATCTTTCGACTTCGAATTCGAGGTGTGTCAGGTTGGAGAGATAGTCAACAAACTCCTGAGGGCTGCTGTAAAGCCCGTTATACCCAACGAACTCGGGCTGATTAGACGTATTTTTAATATACCCGAGGTGGCTCAAGATTGACTCCTTGAACTTATTGAAGAGGAAATCAGGGTCGCGGGGTTGGATTTCAACTACCGTGCCGTTGGACCAGGTAGCCGATTCCTTCACGGCATCGCGCTGGTGCCTATGAGTACCGATGTCGGTCACCTCGATGATAGTGTTGTTGTACGAATTCACCATATAGCTTCGTGACTTAGGTGCAACGCGAGCCAAAGCCTCGGTCACCATCCCGGTGAAGGCCTTTTGGACGTATTCCTGGCCCTTCAAGATGCCGTAGAGATTCTGCCAAGGATTATCTGAGCCCAGATTTCCGGCAGGCTCAAGGATCATATCATCCGCCAAGAAAGCGTCAAAGATCAACCGCACTGGCCTAGTTCTTGTCATGTTACCGGAGGGCGTCGAGACGTTGATCATCGGTGCCAAGAAATCAATCCAGTCCTCTTCGATCTTAATGGCGGGTCCGGCCGAGCCGGTCAGCAAATTGAGGTCGTCAGCGCCGGAGATGAAGTTCGTGACGTTGCTCTGGACAATGTCACTGTCCTTGGGTGAGACGGACAGAGTCGCGGGCATCCAATGAGCCATGATGGCGCAAGCGAAGAGCCCTACGCCCGTCTTAGTTCCATTGCGGTACGGTAGGGTGATCGATGCGAGCAGCAAGGGATAAGGTTCGCTGGAATTTGGCGCCCCGAAGTGGTATTGTCCTATCGAATCGGAGATATTCGGGTTATTCCTGCAAAAGACTGAAAGTCAGTTGATCTTCCATCCCTCCCAGTCTTCACAGAAATCGTCTTACCACAGCCTCTCGGTAACAACAAATCCGCGTCCGCGCTCAAGCGTGCTCTCACGCATGCTCTCACAGGCGGGATCGCCGAGGCAATTCAGCTGGTCGTATTCATAGAAAGGGAGATGTCTCGGTCTAGAGAGGCCGGTTAGGTCGTACGACGTACATTGTGATTGGACAATCGGCTGAAAAATGGTTGACTCGCTCGAAGTAGTTAACTTGATTTGTGGCGTAGGATGCTGCCGCTTATCGTCGGCGTAGATCGCGCCCAAATTCGTTTCGTAGATGGCGCCCTGGTTGTCCCACTTTATGAAGTTGAGAAGGCGACCGATCGTGAGGAGCGGTGCGATCGATATTGTAGTCATGACCGAAGTGCCATCCCTGAAGTTCCCCCTGGCGGACAGCCGGCGTCGCACGGCGCCCGTTGGATCCTGGCCGATCAAGTCGTTGCTAAGATCTGAGCTCTCCCATTCTGCGAGCCACTTGGACAGATCCACAAACCCCCCGGAAGGACACCAAGAGGCCCACCATCCGACGAAGCTGTCACAGTGGTGCCCCGAAGAGACAGCCGCGTTTAGGACACGGGGCCAGGTCGAGTTGGTAGGTGAGTTATAAAAGAAAACGGGGTGCTGGACCTTGTTAAAAGCGCCGGGTAGTGGATACCAGTCTAGCTGCGGGACAAGCAAAATCGCGGAGGATGGGCCGACAAGCGTGGAGAGGAGGGTGTTGCCAAGGACAAGAAGGGCCAAGAGCTGGGAGGTCTTGACTCCTGCCTTGTGAACTGCGCGCCAAAAATAACCGCTAAAGATATACGGGACATCGCCGACGCGGTAGGCGCCCGTTAATAATCCGAGCGGAAGATGCGATTCGACCAGCCGGCGTTTAAACACCTTCAACGTGAGCGCACCGAGAGAGGCGATGACCAGCAACTCGTATACTTTGGCAACGAGCTGAAGCATATGCCCGAGGCCTTCTGTGGTGAAGAGAAATCCGGGACCATCCACCTCGCTGAACCAATATAGTCTTTGGATGTTTATGGTGATGATAAAGACCGAGATCGTCAGCGGCAATACGTGGATCAACGAAGTCCAGAGCCGTGCATCAGTCCCGAGGATAACGGGTCTGCCCTCGGGAGGTGGCGGTTGTTGTTGCCTCTTACCGGCGTCGTCTCTGGACTCGGGGCTGGGCTCGGCGTTTTGTCCATCGGCGGCTGAAGCGTCATCGACCTGGGAGATTTCAATGTAGGGTTGATCGGAGAGCTCCTTGGGTCTAATGTCCGCGCCGTCCATATTAGGATGTGTTGCTTGACTCACTCGGGCGAAGAGTAAGGCAAATTCGATGCCAAAAATGAAGGAGAGTGATGAGACCAAAATCTGCTGGGCTGCGAAAGGGCCCAACGCGTTGGTGCGGTCAGCGCGCAGTCGATTTGAATTCGCTTCCTACACAGTACAGTACTGTATGGCTGCATGCCCAGCCTGCTGCAAATCACGAAATTTCAGGCCAATAGCACCCCAAGACGCAGGACCCAAATCGGCCAATGCTCGAAGAGGGAAGGGAGTCGACGAACACTTTGTTCTCCGAATTGTCGAATCTCTTCAGTATGGGGTTCTCAGTGGCTGGAATGAGCTGGTCCTGTTCGTCTGCAGCCTCGGCAAGCAGGCAGTTAAGCGATCGGGTTCTCAGTTTCGAGCCGACTGAGCTTGCGTAGCCGTACAGTAGTTGCAAAATCAAGCTGCACTGTGACATATGCAGGCAGCGCCGCGCCGCATCGGCGCTCCTGCCAAACCGCTACTGTAGTCAATGCGACCCTGCTCGGGACATTCTCACGAGCGCCAACCTGCTCCAACGGCACGGAAGAAGGTGGTGAGTTCAACTCTGGTAATGGCAGCGAAGATGACGATGCAGCGTAGATTGACTGCAACCGCATGAAAAGTGGCGGATTTGCTCACAAAGGGACTGTTGAATTCAAACAGGTGATCACGACGCCGTAGGATTGATAAGAACGTTCAGGTAGCTCCTTGTTGAAAAGCCAACAGCCGCGATTCCATGGTGGCACGCTTTATGGGAGCCCTTCTAAAACAGTAACTATTGTTTTTGAGCGCCCGGGAGCAGCCCAGAATCTGTCGATTTTAGAGTTCTGTTCTTATCCTCCTTCTCCAAGTTGCCTGGGTGCCTCCCAGACTTTATGCAACAGCTGTATGTGATCCCTGTTGGACAGCAACAGTTATAGGCTCGACTAGGCATAGACCAACCAGGTGATACTACATCAATTGAGGCACAAGATGAAGCTTGAATTGGCTGTCTGAACCGTGTATCTTATATGTATGTTGCTTGAAAAACTGAGGGCTTCGGGACCCTCGCCAGACCCTGCTTTTGGGTGGGCGACGAGTCTTCCGCACTTACTACTGTTGGAAGACCAACAGCCACGATTCCACGGTGATCACACAGATGATGGTAGCTTACAACAGTGGGTTTTTGATGCTCGGAGCAACCCAGAAGTCCTTGATTAAAGGTTGTTCTTCTCTCACGTCTCCAGCGATGAGGGAATCACCCTAACCTCGTTGCCCAGCGCTCTGGTTACCCCTCACCTTACCTGACACTCAGTTGGTCAGCCATGCATCCAACAGTAGGGCACTTGCAGCTGAGCGTCCGAGTTCCCAATGCCACGACTTTCCAACAAGTAGATAGCCTAACGAAGGCACTTGCTTAGGAGCAGTTTGTTAGATTCAGAGAGCAGATAGGCTTGGTTGACGTGAGCGAGAGGCTCGCAGAGCGCAGAGAAAGGGAAGAAAAGCAGGTCCTGGAAGCAGAGGCATAAGAGGGATAGAAGCAGTGGAGGGTATTCGAAGTGGTCGTTCCAGCCTCCCCAGCGCAGACATCGCGCTAGCTCGGTTGAGGGGGGGCATGTTGGATTTGGCAGGTGGTCAGGGAGGGCAGTTCAGAGGTGACTATTGGCAATGCACCAGGCACCTCAGGATCAGGAAGAGGCGGGCAACTCTTTGGAAGAACATAGACACCTGCATCTTCATCAATTGAGTGGGTGCCCATCTTGTGGTGCCCAATTACTACGGTGCGGTAAATTCGTGGCTGTTGGCTTTCCAACACAAGGCCCCCTACTCACTGCTTTCTTCTGAGCCTCCCAATCTCTACGCGTCTTTCGCATCGTTGGCATAGTTAAGTTATTCGGACCCAATCTTTGCGCCTCAACTGTTCGACATAACTTCAAGTCCCGAGAGCAGTCGACTCTTTCAGGTCCAGCAAACGGGCCTGGGCAAAAAGGGAAGCCCGAACAACCAAGATTTTGCCGGCAGCTTATGAGCTCAGGCTCTCTGCGTCAACTCGCCGTAAGTCCAATTGGCAGTCGTTGGCACCTGTTGCCAACAGGTTCCTTTGTGTGCAAGCCCGCCCACTTATCCCATGCAGTTGCAATTGCAGTCATCATGCTTGCATCTTTGTCTTCATGGCCATCATCACCGCTGACTTCATCACATTCCAAGCTCTTCAGTGGCTTTAGAGGAGTCAGCGTCCCGAGCGGGGTCGCTGACCGGTCACATTTGCAGAAGCGCCGATGAGGCGATACGGTGCAGCCTGCAGAGCTCACGGTGCATCTTGGTCCAAATACTGTACATCCGTAAGCTCTCAGACGATTCGAAACTGGGCGCTTAGCTGGCTGAATGCCGAGCTTGCCATTGGGTTGAGACCCGCCTGGCTCCCGTGATCTGCAGGCTGCCCATGCATGACTCCGTAAAGCGTTTCCGCACCACAGCGGATTTTGACTCTATCTCTCTTTTAATGTTTGGCATGGAATTCGCCTACTTCGACTTCCCCGAGTGAGTCGAGAAAACACGTCCTAATCATGGACGACTCGGCCACAAAGCTCAAGGATATCTCCGATCAACCCTACATTGAAATCTCCCAGGTCGATGACGCTTCGGCCGCCGATGGACAAGACGCCGAGCCCAGCCCCGAGTCCGCAGGCGATCCCGGTGAGAGGCAACAGAACCCCCCGCTTCCCGAAGGTAAACCCGTGATTCTCGGGACTGATGCACGACTATGGACCTCGTTGGTCCACGTACTGCCGTTGGCGACCTCAGTCTTTCTTATCACCATAAACATACGCAGGCTATATTGGTTCGATGAGGAAGGTATTAGGTGGCTGCATCTGAGCGCAGATAGCGTCAGGAACGTGCTTCAGCTCGCTGCCAAAGTCTACGAGTTGTTGGTCATCGCCTCGCTTGGCGCACTCACGGTGAAGGTGTTCAAGCGCCAACTTATCGAGTCGCATCTTCCTCTCGGCCTATTGACTGGCGCCTACCGCGTTAGCGACATCCCGTACGTCTTTGGCGGTTTCTTTTGGCACGCATTTCGCGAGACTTCCTGTCTCCTGGCCCTCCTGCTCTTTGGTAATACAATCCTCTCCACGCTCGTCGGCCCATCGTCAGCGATTCTCCTTGTGCCGGAGCTGGACTGGTATCCACTACCCGGTGCTTTCAGCAATGTTCACCCTGTCTTCTTTTACAACTTACCCACCAACTCGACCTGGCCCTACGTGGTGAACACGTCTGTTTCTTGGGGTAATTCCTGTAATAGCATCGTCGGATGGTGGGCCCCTTGGTGTCCTTCCGCGGCCTTTGCGAGTTTATCTCAGTGGCTCGTAGAATGGGAGAGCTCAGATCTCATCAACGACTTGGTCAGCCAGGATCCAACGGGCGCTGTACGACGCCGACTATCCGCCATAGAGAACAGAGAACTTGGCACTGTGGCCATGACCACATTATCAATGGCACCGTTCCTCACGACCGGTCGTCTTCTCAACTTCATACGATGGGACAACATAGGCGCTATCCACGATACGCCAAAGTTCAAGTTAACTACTTCGAGCGAGTCAACCATTTTTCAGCCGCTTGTCCAATCACAATGTACGGTGTACAACCGAACCGATCTCTCCCCGAGTGCTCCAGCCTGGTATGAGTTTGGAGAGTTGAACTGCCTGGGCGATCCGGTCTGTGAGAGCATGCTTGAGCGCAGGATTTATGTTCCCGAGGAGCTATATCGGTAAGAATGGACGCCGGCATATCAAACGATAGCCATGGTGCCTGGCCAGACTGGAAAGAGTGAAAGATCAGCTAACTTTCAGTCTTTCGCAGGAATCTGTCGGAAACCTCCTCCGAGTGGATCTCCTTCAGGGCGCCAAATGCCACCGAACATCATCCGGTACTAGCATCGATGACCGTACACTACCGCGGCGGGAGTGATCCGGATGCAGGAGGGTGGGCTGGCGTATGGGTCTTTGCTTGCGGCATCATAGCGCACTGGATGCCCGCGGCTTTGTCCGTCTCACCCAGGGACACCGATCTTGTCCAGAGCAACGTTACGGACTTCATTTCCGGGATGAAGCATTACAACCTCAGTCCGCTGATCGTCTCAGCCGGACCCGCCATCAAGTTTGAAGAAGACTGGCTTGATTTTCTGGCATTGAAAGTCAACGTCTCTGAGACACCCTCCGGTAACATTACAGGATTCAGGCCAGTGCTGTCCATCTTCAATGGTTTATTGGGGGAGACGGGTGTTTTCCTTGAGCCTGCTGGCAATCAGAACGTGGACTCGGGCCAGGTTGATCCTGAGCAGATCCGCATCAACCGGTTGAGGGCCAAGAGCTACGTCCAGAAGGCCTTCACCGGGATTGTGACCGAGGCTCTAGCTCGCATTGCAGGCAAGTCACGAAGCTACGTGGTGCGTTCGTACGACAACGCCGCTGTGGTGGTGACCGACATTGGCACCCAGGCTGTCGGCCAGAACGAAGTGGCTACCTGGTCCGACGGCAGGCCATTTATTGATGGCCGCTACCGGAAGCCCCTTTTGATGAAGTTCAACGAGTCCATCTTGAGCCACCTCGAATATGTATCGTCCGATGATCGGCGCGAGTTCGTCGGGTATTACAGCAGCCCCCAGGAGTTTGTCAACAATCTCTCCGCCCTAACGCACCTTGAGTTCGGTGTCGAAAGATACGGCTACGGATCCGGCAGGGGCGGGCCAACGATGACCTTTGCCCTCGCCGTCATCTACACGTACATGATCATCTTGGGGACATACTTCCTCTACGTCATGGTGGTGTCTAAATTCTGGCTCATGTCGGACATTCCCACCATCAGTGCGTGGGGCGATATGGCGGAAGTTGTGTTGCTCGCGTGGAACTCCAAATCGAGTCCCGCGCTGAGCCGGACGAGCGTGGCAGTCGACAAGTCGAGGTGGCGGGTCGAGGTGGGCATCCGGGCTGACGCGACCGGACGGGCGCAGCTGGTGACTAGCAACGACGGCGTTGAGCGACTGAGGAGGAACGAACTATATCACTAATAGATAGGGAGGTGTGTCCCAGACTTTGGGAACGGTAGACTCCGGGTGCGCATGTAACTATTTTCATAGGATTGGCATTGACGATCTCGGATAAACTACTCAACCTGAACCACTTTGCCCTTACAAGGTACTAGGAAACCTCGGGTAGATCAAGATGTTGTAACCAATGCCGGGGAAGGCAAGGACGACAGTCTAGACCGACGTGTTGGTGTCCACATCGAGCAGCACCGCAAGACGCCACTCAAGTGCGTGAGAGCCTACCTGTACTAAAATTGCCCTTGGTAGTGGCCGTCCGGCTTGATATGCGCAAACTTGTAATGCTTCTGCAAAGGAGAAGGCAGGTCACATGAAGGAGGTCTATGCCTGGGCAATTTGGAAGAGACGATCGGAAGGCGGAGATGCTCTTTTCTGGATGTTGGCCTAGGAATGCTGACCAGAAAGCTGACCAGACTCCAGGAGCCGGTGAAGACAAAGCCGAGACCCAGGCGACTCACGCGACTTCGAAGACAAAACATCTGGGTGGGTGTGAGTTGATGGAAATGGATGGGAATAAAGAAAGCCCAACCTGCAGGAGGGAGATTGTGGGATTATGATTGGGACGAAAGATATGAGGCCGAGTGACGCGCTCAACAAACACCCAATGCCTCAATGTAACAATAACACGTGCCAGGTGCTAGGATCATGATCGAGAGATGCTTGCAGCCGATGAGGGGGCCGCTGCGAAGATAGGAAGAAGGAGCAACGGTTCATACGATGCAAGAACGGAAGGCACGAAATCCATAAGCGCCCCCCCTCTTCCCTTGAGTCTTCTTCTCTTTTCAACCTCGCCCTCTTATCTTCCTCCGCATTTCGACGATCAACCATACTTCAACAAAACAACCAGATTCGTGGAATTATAACATGAGATTGTCCAACTTGTCCAGTCAGGCGAATGGGTGTCTTGAACCGCATGTCACTACCCTACTTAACCTGTGCTATTGTACGGTCATGACGTGTTCGCATGGTGATGGTTCCGCCACCATCGATGCCGGGGCTGCAAGCTTCAATGCCCCTACCTGGCGCCTACTCGTACTATGGAGGAAAACGGCTCGGGTATCTTTGCTTCGAAGAGTGCTTAGCACACGAAGCCCCCGTTTCCTGCCCAGTTCAGGACTTATGTTATATACTGAATATACCTTGAGGAGTTGGTCGGTTCAGCGGGAAATCGACAGGAAGCGAGCCTGTTCGGTTACTCAATATCGCTATGAAATAGCCAGAGAAGGAAGAAGCCTGGAAGTCTACAGCTATTTATTCGGAACTCAGCCTGTTACATCGGTGCCTTATACAGCATATACCGCCAGAGATATGTAAAGAGGTACATCTATAGTTCAAGTGATACTTGATTGAGCGGAACATGCTATAGACAAGGACATCTATTGTTTAAGACCGCTTGAAGAAGGGTACAGGTAACGTGCACGAATCGTAGACTGGGCAACGAGACATGATGAATAGCAGTAAGAGCCCTGTATATGCCGCCGAATCCCAGATGCTCCTCTATGACGAACTCCTCAAAGCTAGTGTTGGAAGTGAAGGCACTTGAAACTCGGAAACTGGGTTGCCGGTATCGTACCCTGGTCAGGGGTAATACACAGCTGTTACATAAGGTCTAGGAGGCACCCAGGCAACTTGGAGAAGGAGAGGACAGAACACTCAATTGACAGATTCTGGGCTGGTCCCGGGCACTCGAGAAGTTCACTGTCTCAAGGGCTCCCATAAAGCGTAACACCGTGGAATCGTGGCTGTTGGCTTTCCAACAGCTAGAAAGAATGGTCGCAAACGTCTCCATCCCCAACTCCATCATGCTTCCCTCAAAGTATACCAGCGGCATACCCGACAGCAGCGGCCAGAACAGCCCCAGCGATCCCAACAACGTCACTAGGCCCAGCAGCAGTCGCGGCAGACCTCTTCGGGCCATACACTTGGCAGTGCATGATTGTCTCCGTCAAGTTCAGGAAGACTTCCACCATAGCCTCCTGCGTGTCGTTCTTTTTCTCGGGCTTCTCCGTCAAGGCCTTGCAGATGGCAAGCATTTTCCCTTCTTCGTAATCCTTCTCAACACACCCGAGGCAGTCGTATGGTTCCTGGGACGTCCCGTTGCTCGCCGGCTCGGAGAAACACCTCTTAGTCGCGTCCTCCCAGGCCTGGCCCGGGGCGGTGTTGGTCGCGCTGCTCTTGCACATGCAGTCGATGTCGATTTGGGGGCGTGAGCTTTTTGTGTAGCAGGCCTTGGGCATCCTCTTTAATCCGCAGAGCGCCATGCATGGGGAGTCTTTAGGTTTGGACAGGTCGCTCACCATCGAGTCCGGGTCGCCGACGTTGCGCTTGAGAATGTTGGTCATGGTGGAGGTGGAGGCCGTGGCCGTTGTGAGGGGAAGGAGGAGGAGAGTGTGAGCGAGGGTAAGCTGCATATCTGGATTTGGGGGAAGGTTATGGATTGGACGTTTGTGTTTGTGCGCCTCCTGTTCTGAGTTGTGGTCAAATCAGTAAAGGAGTGATCAACTCTGTTGATGTGTTGTTTATACATGATCCGATGAAATTGAGTTCCAGAGATGGTCGGTGCAGATAAGGTCGTCTTATATAACTGGGGCTTGACAAGTTGAGGTCTCCTCTTACTGATGTGTGAAATCTTCGAAGTTGACTTTTGAGAGCTTGGCCCCGGGCCGGTGTTGCTTTAGATGGAGGCCGTGGCCGGGCGGGAGATCGGCCTGTGACCATGCTCGATGACCGCATGGAAAAGAATTCCAAGCCCAAATCGGATGATGCTAGGCTGGTGGTTGAATGTACAAGGCGATCTCAAACCCTTAAACGACTGTTATATTGGCCTGCTGCTTGGGGCGCGACCGGCCCCCCGAACTGGCACGAAACCTAGACGAGCGGCGGGTGTCGGCCCGGCGTGGGGCCGGGCGTCATCCGAGTTTCGGAAGCTATTTTCACTGCAGCCAATCAACGGCCAGCATGTGGTTTGGGCAGAGAGGAAATGGGCAAGACAGGTCTGTGCACCAATTTGCAACGGAAGCGTAGGCCAGATCACGTTGGCGAGTTTGTTCATCCTGTTTTCACTGATTCTTCATAGCTCTCGGTCTATACGCGTTTCTGGCATCCGGTTGGCATTCAGAGACATTTAGGGCCTCTACTCAGATCAAGCTGGCCCAGCCTAGGCTAATCGTTTGATTAGCTGTGCTTCTGGTTTCCGTTTATTATGGTTGTAACGGTCTCAGGTAGTATATTGCAACTAGCTGATGACGACTCTACCAGTACACTGAACTTGGAGAAGAAAAGGAGAGACGACAGACTCTGGTAGCTCGCAAGCATACTTATCCTCGTAGGCGCGCTGGTCTGAGCGCGTTGCTAGAAGGTTCGGTGTGCTGTGGGGCGAGTGTGAATAGCCTCATCAGGGGTCTTGGTATTGGCCGAGAGTCGCCGAGGCTCGCACCGGGCCCAGCCCGTTACAGGAAGTGTTCTCGCGATGGAGGGGATAAATGCCAGAGCAAGTGAGGCACTCACGAGCAAGGCAAGCGCGCACCTCGACGGCGGGTGCCGTCACAGCTACTAGGCTCTGGGAGACTCCTAGGGTATTGGCTAGTTGTACAGCTAGGGCTGAGCTAGTTCACTAGCTCAGTGAGCCACCTATTCCTTTCTTTTTACCGTAGTGGGAAGATTCAAAGTTGCAGACTGGTATAGGGTAGGTAAAAGTTTTTAGTCCAGCCTTGCAGAATAGTTTTCCTTTGATATTAGCTGTAGATGGTCCCGCAAGCCCTAGGGCAGAGCGGAGTAGGAATAACTTATAATAATAAGATTACCTGGTCCTCACCATCCCAGCTGCTTTAACAACTACCACTTGCAGTGTATGCAGCCGAAGGTTCTAAATTAGGTCTCAATCTGATCTCCGCCTTGCTTGTGGGGCATAAAAAGGGCTCATTGCCTCTCTTCTTCCATCCCCCAGACAGTCTCAGAAACCCAACTCGAGATCCAAACAACTTTACATGAAGCTACCTACCTTACCCTACCAGGTGTCTTACCTACCTCGACGACTACCCTTCAATCTTCTGGATTCAAGACCGACGGAAAAGCAAGCTCCTGCAGTAATTTTTGCAGCTTACCCGTTTTAACACAGCAGCATCCTCGACAATGCGTCTTCTCAGCGCTCTGACAGTCAATGTGACTGTTATTGTCGGAAGCGGTTATGCAGCGCCCCTTGCCAATGCCCATTTTAGCATTATTGAAGGACGGGCCGAGCCGCCAGGAAGAGTAGGAGGAGTAATCTGCAAGTGGCCGCGTTGCGTGAGACCGAACAATACTCCCAAGTATCCTTAATCAAGGCAAAGAAAACATCTTGAAACTTCTGGTTGGGGTAGGCTCGGGACGGTGAGGGGGTGAACGAAATATCTACAGTCAAGCAAACTTCAATTGAAAAGCCCTGGAGCCTTCAGTCTGCACCAACGCCATATCTCCCGCAGGACAATGTTGAACTGCTTCCCAAACCGGCAATCGTCTCTCAGCTGAATGGAACCTTGGCTTGATTGATGCTTTACGTACTCCGTAATTCCCGGCTACAGTACGCTGCTCGATGCCTGAAAGCTCCCCTGACTACCTCGGCAATTTACAGAAAGGCTAAACGCTTGGCGGCGACGTGTTCAGACTTGCGAGGTTAATGGCCCGTAGAGGGCTGCCGCGGCTGCGGGTGGGCTTGGTGGAGTTGCTGAGATTGCTGGGGCTGTTCTGGCCGCTACTTCGGGGATGCCGCCAGTATATTTTGACGGAAGCGTATGGAGTTGGGGATGGAGACGTTGCACGCCATTTTTTCTGGCGTTAAGGAGTACATCATAGAGGAGCATTTGGGATACGGCGGCAAATATAGGGCTCTTGCTGCCGTTCATTTGTGTCTTGTCGCTTCAGTCTACGGTTTGTGGACGTTGGCCGTGCCCTTCTTCAAACGGTATAAAACAATACTGTACATGTCCTTTTCCACAGCATGTTCCGCTCAGTCAAGTACCACTTGAACCTTGGATGCACCTCCTCATTTATGTCTCGGGTTACAGGCTGTGACAGCGATAGATATGACAACCTGACTTCCGAATAGGTAGCCGTAGACTTCCTGGCTTCTTCCTTCTATGGCTAGTTCAAAGCGATATTGACTAACCCAACAGGCTCGCTTCCTGTCGGTTTTCCGCTGGACCGACCAACTCCCAGTGTCCAGCAACCAACACAGTTCCTCATACTGGAAGGGAAACGGGGCTTTCGTGTGCTAAGCACTCTTCAAAGCAAAGATATTTGAGCCGTTTATCTCCATACCCTGAGGAGCCGCCTGGTAGGGGCATTGAGGCTCGCAGCCCTGATGGATTGCTTGACTGGGGTCGGGTTCCTGACATGCGCCCAATGCTTTCACCGAGCACGGACGGTTAAGCTCTTAGCAAGCCGGGCCACACACCCCACGATAACTGGCGGTACGCTTGTATCGCCAATGCACTTGATTTTGAAGACTCTTAAGCGCTAGCAGTGTCACTGCCGCTGCCGCCGTTCGTAGCCTTACGCTGCTTGGGGACGCCGTGTGAGTAGCGAACGTCGCGAAGGTCCTCGAGATGGGAAAGATACGGCAGCTTGCAGTACGCCTTGCCGCCGCGATGCTTGCAGTCCATATTTTGGCAGATGTGCCCGTGGGTGCACTCCACCAGTCTGCATGCGCCGCGCCGTGGGCATGGCTGGGTTCGAGCGAGCGCCTCCAAGGCCGGTAGGAATTCGGCATCTAGGGGCTCGTGATCGTATTCACATCGATCGCCGGCGTCGCAGATTCCTTGAAGCTGGAAGCTGTTGCAGACCCGCCGTTTGTCGACGCGGGCCTTGAGGCGGCCCATGACACTGGCGCTGACGGGGGCCAGGTACGGGTCAAGGCGGTAATTGTTTTCGTTTACCGCGACGTAGCCCTGCGGCATCTCGTCTTTCCTTGGGAGATTGGCCAGCAGATGGGACACTTCTAGGGACCCATTGCCAGTGGCTGGCACGCCGGAGGGGGCAGGTGGGTCTGCGTACTGCTGCGTGCCTTTGGCATCAGTCGGGGAATTGACGTGCAGCATCTTGCAAGACTTGCCATAACGGCACTTCCCGATTGCGTAGAACAAGCAGGACGTCTTGTGCTCCTCACCGGGCTTGCCGGCTGAGCTCGACGACTGTTTGATGGGCGAGGCCAGCTGCACTGGCCCGGTATTGGGCTTGGAGCCGCTGGCGTCAATGGGATGATACTGGTTGGCGCCGTCGAAGGGAGCATGTCTGAAGACGGTGCGGAACTCTTCAATACCCATACCCAGCTTGGTGAACTCATCATGGAACCGGACACCAGGGGTATTAATCAGAGTGAACTTGGAGCTATTTCCCATAAAAGGTGTAAGCTCGGAAATGTAGCCGACGTCGTGGCAAGCGCCAAAGTATATGTGCTTGCACTGGCTGTTCTCGGCATAAAGACGTAGGAGCGCCCGCAACTTGAAGTCTGCGTTCTCCTTTAGCTGGCCGGCATCGACGAACTCGGTCAAGCCGCAGGAGCGGTTAAAGCTGGCAATAAATGGGGCCAGCGACCGGCTCTCGGCTCCGACCACGCCCGTCCTGGATAGAGCTTTTGACAAGCCGAAGACATTGGCGTAGATTCGCACCATGACCTGGCAGTGCTCCAGACCCTTGCGGCGCATACTGGCCTTGACCTCGTCGTTGAGCTTTTGCGCAGCGATGCTTCCACCCTCGGAACGTTTGGCGAGCAACGAGTCGTTGAAGACGTAGCCATCGCCATCGATCAAGACGAGCACAAACGGGTTTCGCTCCTGGTCCTTGGCCATTTTCTTGTATTTCTCTCTTGCCTCGCGCTCTTCCTCGTAATCGCTTTTGAGCCTCTTGTAATCCTCAATCAAAACCGCGTACTGGTCCAGCAGCCGAGAAAGGGCATCGCTCCTCCGGTATTCGGCGAGTTGGGCCGCGGCCCGTTCGATTTCTGGATCGCTGAGCATGGCTCCTGCTGTGGGAAAGGCGCTAGGGAATAATTAAAGAGAAAACTGGTCGTCAATTAGTCGATAGCGGAGGACAATCCCGATGGGGACGGCGATATCTATACTGGGCCTGCAAACACGCTATTTGAAGGTGCAGGGTTGGGTTGCAGTCGACGCTGCCCATGTGAGAATTAGTCTAGGGCGAAATGAATGGGGCATTGACCGATGAAAACGATGAGCCACGCAATGGGCTCGTGCATTGAGAGTTCCTGGTGAGAGATAACACGGACATCCAGAAGGAAAAGGCCTGAACAAAAGGTGACGTGAAGATCCTTGAAGCAAACAAAGGCGAAGAGCGGTAAGCAGCGGCAGGATTGATTGGGCCCCACCAAAGCAACACCCTGCGCCCCGCTGTCGGGTCCGGTTGACGTTGACCAGTAACGGAAACATGTGAGGGTCACTGGAAGGGCAAAGCAGACAACTCCCATTTCTCTCCCCTCTATCACCAAACACTTATCGACAGGCAGCTCTCACAATTCCCCAAAAACGCCCTCCACCACGTCCCCAAGCATCCGCAACCCATAGAACTTTGCCACATTCCGATACACCCTCAACCTCCTCATCACCTCCCCGCGACTGACACTCTCCCCCCACTCCCCGCTGCACGTACAATGCTCCATAAACTCATTGACCCTCAGCGCCCCGCACCGACCACACTTGAGATCTTGCGTAGTCCACTGCACCACCAGCCCCTCCACCTCCGCCAACAACCTCTCCTCGACCTCGTTCCGATCATACTCTTGCTCGCAGTACAGACACCGCCAGCTCCAGCTGCTCCTCTCGTCCTCGGACGTCGTCGCGGGAGGAAGCAAATCCTCGTCGCGGCACAGGTCGAGGTCGCGCGTCATGGTGCAGTTGTCGCAGCTTAGCTGCGGCAGGCGCAGCGACTCGGACGGGTTCTGGAAGGCGCCCTCCCGGGAAAATTCGCGCACGTCGAACAGGGCGAGGAGTTCCTTGCGGAGCAGCCGCGCTTCCAGCGTGGTGTTCTTGTCGAGCGAGAGGACCTGCATGAGCGATTTGACCAGTTCGAGGACTGGGTTGGCCAAGGAGTTTGGTTTGGTGCCGGTGCTGTTGACGAGGGCGGCTTGTGGGGTAAAGTGGGCGAGGTGAGAGCCTGGGAGGGAGGGGAAGGTGTAATCTGCTGCGAGCTCCGGGTGGAGGAGTTCGCGTATTTGAGTGGCGATGAGGGAGGTGATTTCCTTCTTGAGGGGCTTCTCGAAGGCCTTGCCGAGAATGATTTGCCCCGGGGCGTCCTCGGCGAGGGTCGCGTTGCCGTTGCGGATGGGGAGCTGGGTGAGGCGGGGGGAGGCGGTCGGGTCGGAGCCAGTTGCGGGCCGTTTGATGCCGTGCATGAGCTCGATGAACTCGACGACCCAGTCGCGGAAGATTGGCTGCAGCCGGACGGGAAGGAAGGTTGCCATTTGCCAATGCATAATCATCTGGAGGTCCTGCTCATCACGCTCAACAACTTGCTGGCACGCCTTGCCGCCGTAGTTGAACTCATCGTACCACACGAGGTAATCCCAATACTCCTTAATCTCCAGGTCGATAAAGTGAAACAGGGGCTTGCCCTTGATGCTCTTGAGGATGTATTGCGCGTAGGCATAGGCGTTGCCGACCTCGGATTTGGTCGTCTGCAGGAGCAAACGATTGGGGCTGGCGTAGATGACCTGCGAGCCAACCCTGCGGAAGTCAGCCATGAGCTGGAGGAGGGCCTTTCGGCTCATCATCTGCACATAGTAGTGCAGAGCACGGTCGTAGAGACACGACGCGGGAGACTCCACCCAGCGGACAAGGTGTTGGACCATGACATCAGCCATGGTCGACCCCTTGCAAGCTTCAGCCCACCAGGACTTGACCATCTCCCGAAGCACCTGCACGCCGGCATTTGCGAAAGCATTCTCGGCATATAAGACCTCATTGCCATCCGTGGTCCCGTCAGCTGCAGGGTTAAACGAGATGCTGTCGGCACCTTCAAGCTCGTTAATGAGCGATGAAGTAAGGATAGTGTTGATGGCAAGATTCCGGACGTCGATGTCAATGCAGACAGAGGCGAAGGTGCCGGGGTTGTTGACAGACGGCATTTGGACTTGATCGAGCGGTCCCGCCACATCATCTCTCTCGTACCCTGCGTGGTCAGGGCGTGGACTGGGCGACCACCAGAGGACCACATTGTTGGCCTGCAGACGGCGGGCGTAAGCCACATCGATCAAGAACCGAGGGTCGTCGCGCTCCAGGTTGCACAGAGGTATGTCTCCGTACTTGGCCAGCGCGGTGAGATGGTTGACCCAGGAGCCGAGGCTGAGGTAGTGGTTTACCAAGCGGCGCGCTACCACTGTCTGCCAACCCAGCGGCGGTAACGAGCTGTCGGCCGGGTCGTACCGTAGCGGCAGCACGGGGAATTCGCCCAGAATCGGAATGTCGTGCACGAGCAAGTTCCGCTGCGAAGACTGAATGACCAGCATGGTCGGTCCAGTCTCTTCCTTCTTCATCTTCTTCACCACATCGCCGACCTCAAGAAACGCCTTTCGACGCGTCGTGACCTGAGTGACCTTGAAGGCGAGCTTTTCCTGGTAGGGGAAGCATTCCTGCCAGTTGGAGTCAGCGCCTTCTTCGCGGTTCCTACGTGCTAGGAAGTCCGAGTACAGCTTGGCAATGTTTGGCAGATCTTGGCCGCCGTCTTTGCCCTTCTGCTGGATGACGATATGAGCCTGGTTAGCGCTCGTGGAGAACAGCCCGAAGATCTGACGCTCGCCGGCGCTGATGTGGGACAGGTAGATGTACGACATGCGAGCACCTTCCAGATAAGGTTTCGGCTTGGGCGGCTTTTTGAGGCTGTCGAGGTCGAAGCCTTGGTCAAGCCCTTTGCCAAGAACACCTGACTGGCTCTCGTCAATGGTGCAACGGTTGCCCAGCTGTAGCATGGCGCGAAGATTGAGTGGAAGCTGCTTCTCATACACTCCCTCGACACTGGGATGGTTAAAGAGCAGCGAGAACTTTTCGGCTTCGGCAAAGTAGATCTCCTCGGGCACGGTGAGTTTGAACAGGTGCACCGACGAATGCCCGTTTGGAAGCGTGTGATAGACTTGCTCGACGTGACACCCGTCAACTTCAATGTCCGGAAGCTCCCGGCCCTTGAGGTTAAGGAAGACCTGACGCGGGACGTTGATCTTCACCGAGTGGATCTTGGCATCTATCAGCACAAAGGCAAGAACGGTGCCGGGGCTGTCGGTTGCTCTGAGCTGCAGCAGTTGCCAGGTATTCCTGAAGGTGATCTCAACCTGGTTGCGGAAAGTCTGCTGGATATTGCTCTGGATGTGCCCGCGTCTGTCGCCAAAGAGATGACGCCTGCGGGCGCGAGCTTGTTTCTGCAGCTTCCACTTTAGTTTCTGGTACTCCAAGAATGAGGGATAATCATCGCTCGGAGAAGGCATCGTCTTCGGAAGCGCAGCAAACGGGTCCTGGTTCTCAGCCGGCTCAGGGGACTTGCGTTTCTGGGCCGCTGGTGGCTCCTGGGATGCGGATATGGCAGGGCTGACAGTCTTGGGTTTCAAAAGCTGCCCGATGTCCTCCAAGTCACCCAAGCGATGGGGAGTGTTAGGAAGGGCAATCTCCTCCAGGGGGCCTCCTTTCGTTGCCGGGCCAAACAAATCAGTAAGCTTCTTCTGCTTCATCTTGTCGTCCTTGATGTTGATCCTTCGCTGCAGCCAGTCTGGATGGGGGACGCGCGGCACAGGATTGCGCACTTTCTGCAATGCCGCAGGGATGGTAATCAGCTTCTGGATAACCGATCCAAGACGCTCGAGGTAGTAGTCCCAGTCAAGCAGTGCTCTTGGGTCTGTATCGGCGGGTTCCTCCTTGAGCCATTTCTTGAGGTACATGCGCTTCGTGTCCTCTTCTGCCGAGAAAATAGCAACGGGAACGGCACGCTCTGTGACAGGAGCGTTTTTCGGCCTGGCGCAGATGATAAATTTGCAATTCAGGCCCTTGTCCTTGACCATGCCCTCGCCCAGGAAATCGGCCAGACGCTTGGCAGTCGTGATGGAGGTCGACTTCTGCCCAGCATACTCCTCTAATGTCTTGGTCATGCTGCGGTTCTCGGAAATGAGATCCATCAGTTCCTCGTCCGCTAGTGTCGCCCCCTTACTGTGAAGCACATCAAGCCATTGGTTTGCGACCTTGGCAACCGCAGCATAGCACTCGGCCAGGGTCGTGCCCTCAAGGAAGAACTTGAAGATCTGCTGCTGGAAGATCTTGATGAGCTTGAGCTCACCTCTCCGCTTGACCTCGAAACCCTTCAGCTCCGCGAGACTGCCATCGTCGTTGAACACGGCATATCTCTTCTTGAGGTTCTTGTCCTCCTCTTTGGACGTGGGCAGAATCATGGCCTTGTAAGGGCCATCGACCTCGAAGAAGATGGAGTTGTCGCTGTGTGTCTCGTACTTGAAGGTCTTCGGGTCAACCAATGTCTGGTATTGGTGATTGGTAAACTTGGCATGGACAAGATGATTCAGCATGACGCAGGGGTACGAGATGGCGAGCTTCTTGCCGTTCTTGAGCTTGAAGGCAAAGTTTTCAGGAAATGTGGCCGGCAGCATGCACCAGATACCATCCGTGTCGAGCTCCAGGGGTCGGCCAAGTCTCTCAACCAGTGATCTGGCCAGTTGAATGATGGTCGCCCCTGTGAGACAGGTGACGCCTGCCATTTCCATTGAGTACCATCGCGAGCCCTTGCGCATCACGTAGCCGTAGAAGGAGTTGAGAATGACCTTATGTGCCAACTGCAGCGAGTCGAAAAGCACAATCATCTTTTTGGCATTGTCAACTTCTGAGGCTGGAGCGCCGGAATTCTTGAGCGCCTCAGTCTTGCCTTTCCAAACCTTGGCCTTGCCCTTGTAGTCGTAGCGACGGTCTCGGAAGTCACGGACCGTGTTGATGTAAAAGGGATTCTCTCGCTGGCAGATGATGGCTTCGCGGACGATGGTGGTCGAGTCGTGAATTTTGTGGTACACCTTTTGCGAGTACAGCTGCAGCCTCTTTCTGGTGAGAGTAGCTTGCTCATCAAGGCTCAGCTCCTGCCACGAGCGCATCGGATTGTTGGGCCCTTTGCCCGGAAATTTCTCATTCTCCAGGGCGTGCCGGATCATGTTGTACTCGTCGCGCTTCGCTGGCAAGTACTCGCCTCTCCATGCCCAAGGGAGCCTCCTGTCGCAAGTCTTCCCTGGACGGTTGAAGTCACATGCCGCGCAGTCGGATTCTGAAATCATGGAGTCGGGCTGAAGCCGGTTCGTCGTCATGATGTTGGGGTACATGGAGGCGACATCAAGATGGTAAATCAGCGGTCGCTCGCTGCGGTTGGGCGTCTCCTTGAGGTTTAGTAGCTTGGCTGTGATCTGCTGCTTGACCTCTTCGTAGTTCGTGACGTCGTCCATCGACTTCTTTTCTTCCACCGTGATGCTGAAGGTCAGAGCAGCGTCGAGATCGCGAAGAAGTTCGTCGACAGCACCAGGATCGACCGCAAAGTTCACTGGGATGTCGGAGCGGAAAACACCCGCCTCGATACTCTCGACATGCCCACCCACGTAAGTCTCCGAGTCCAACAAGTGACCCTCCCAGAAAGCCTCCTTGGGTGCGACATGCTTGTTCGGCAGCACGATATCCTTCTGGTATGCTTGTACCATTAGAAGCATTTCGCAGAGCGTACCGGTTCCCTTTCGTAATGTGTCGTCGGGCCCGAGGGGTAGAATGGTGCACAGGGAGAAGATGAAGGGATGGACGTATTTCATGTACAGATAGTAAGTGGCGACAGCATCGGAGACTGAATACTCAGCCAGGGTCTGGGGCCGCTCGCTCGCGTATGGGGTCATGAGCTCTGGGTCGAGCTCATCCGGGTCGTATCCGAGTTTGGCAACAGTGACAGCCTTGAGACCACGACTGCCCTGGGGCAGGTAACTGTCACGGTTGACCCAGTGGAAGCAGTCCATGTGCACGCTGTAGTTGCATTTGTACTGGTCTTCACTGTCCTTCTTCCACCCGATCTCGTGGTACATGTCGATGCCGTTCACGCTCGCTCGAGCCTCGACAAACGGCCAGTCGAAAAAGTCACCGTTGTAAGTGGCGATGACGGTGGGCCGTGCCTCCTTAACATGAAGGAAGAAGCGCTCAAGAAGCGCTTTCTCGTCTGGCTCGTTGAAGATCATGAAAGGCCCTGGGTATTCGGGTTTGGGCGTGTAGTCAAAGTCGGCAATATCCTCAGAGACAATCTCGCGGTTGGTGATTAAGAACCCTTGGCCGTCAATCATGTACGAGATCATCATGATTTGGTCGACGGCCGCATCGGGGAACTTCAGGGGCGCCTTGCACGTCTCGATATCGAAGGCCATGACGACGGGATCCGCTGGGGCCAGGCGCTCCTCGTTCCGAACGACAGTTGTAACCCCGTTCTTCGCCTCGACAAAGTACCAATTACCCACACGAATGTCTGCCGCAAATCAGTTCAGCACTGCCAGTTCAAGGCTCGGGGTCTGACATACCCAGGTCTATCATTACTCGGACGTGGTAGGGGACGTCGTACTCCCGGATATCGACAATGAAATCGCTCGCCTCGGCAAAAGAGGCATTATTTCGTCGCTCATCAATCGGTGAATCATCGTCAAAAAGATCGAAATTATCATTCGCGCTGTTCGTGTCAGTCACATCTTGGGACAGTCTTGGAGGGGGCGCTCACTTCGCGACCTCGGCATACGTGTCCATGGCATCCATGCCCTTCTTGTTCCTCTCAGCAATGGGCATAATATCCCTTCTGGCCGCCATCAAGTCTTGAACATTGTGAAACCTCAATTCCAGGAATGTCCGCCGATATCCGAGCAGATGGTTTGGCATCTTGAGATCCTCCTTCTCGATCCGCTTGATGCCCTTGACCACGCCGCCTCCTGGGACCCGTTTGCACCACTCTTCCACCTCGCCTTCGTGCCCTTTCCGGCAAGCGACAAGAAAGTATGGCTCGTACTCGACGGTTGCTTTGAACGTGGATCCGTCCTCCTCAATGAAGTAGCAGTCGAGAGCCGCCCTGCCCCCGCCGCCGGGGACTCGAGGGTCGTCGATTGAGGTGGGCTGCACATTGACGAGCCAGCCTTCGCGCTTCCGTCCAGCGTCATAGCGCGCAAAGCCCATGTTCTCGTCGATCTGGTGTGCCAGTGCTGTCCGCTCCCATTTCTCGTCTATGGACGTCGCCTCTCCCCGTGCGCTGGACGAGGCCGCGAATGTCCGGGTCCGTGTGCCATGGTAGGCAGCCTTGCCTCCGCGGCGGTACCCTTTCTGCGGTCTCCGGAGAGATGTGTTGGGCATTATCGTCGCCTGGGCCGGTGCCGCTCTGGGCTTCTGTAGGTAGGCAGGTTCCGCAGAGACTGAACTCCCTCGGCGCGGATGTGGTCTTATGATAACTTAAGACAAGGGACACAACAGAGAGAAAGAAGGGAATGTCGTCATGGAGCTGGCTACTCTGCTCGAGTGCCAAATAATCCTTTGGGAGCGCCGAAAGGTCTTGTTTTCCAGGGTTGATAAACTGGAGCCCTGCTTGCATCCCATTAAACTTGATTGGAGACGCGCGCGGTGAACCGCGACTGACGCGACCGCGACTGGCGGGTCGCAAGTCTGTCAACTGTTTGACCCTAACCCTGTATTCAGGCCCCCACCGCATTGTCGGTAAAGCACGGCCCGAACCGCAGACTGAAGATCGGATTGACGCTTGCATCACAAGCTCAGCACAGCTCAATGCTAAAAGGTATTTCCACTTCTGCTGATGCAGCTCCAGGACCAATGCATGTGCAATTGCTAATTTTGGGCTTCTTAGGTTAGGACAGTCCCCATGGACTAGTCAAGCCATTGCTCCAGGTCCACGGGCTGCTGATCGGTCAACACACTCTTCAACCGACCCTGACGACCGCCGGCACCACCGATAGTCACCTCCAAAATCCACCATGTCGACACCACAACCACCCGCCCGGGACCAAGGGCCCGCGGACTCAACCCCTCCATGGGTTCAAGGAACAAACGCACCTCCTCCATCCACCTTCCAGTTCTCGACCCAACAACCTCCTGAAATACAGCAACCCCAACAACCAGGGGCCAAACCCCGCCCTCGGCAGCCAACATTAACCGAAGCCGTACAAACCATCAAACCCTCCGACTTTTTAACTTTCCACCAAGCGCCATGCTCACGCACCGGCCTGCTGACGGGCATCGGCACGGGCGCAGCCGTCGGCGTCATGCGTTGGATCATGGGCTTGCCGATCCCCAGGGCGGCCAACTGGGCGGTGGGGACGGGGGCGCTGGCCGCTATGGGGCAGTACGAGTACTGCCAATTCCGCAGGCGGCAGGAGCGGGAGAAGGTGAAGCGCGTCGTCGAGGTGTACGCGGCAAAGCAGGCGCGGGAGAAGAGGGAGAAGGAGGAGGCGGAGAGGAAGGAAAGGGAGCGGATAGCGAAGGAGGAGGAGGAGAGGAGAAGGACGTCGTGGTGGAGATTTTGGTAGGAAAGAGTCCGGCTACGGCACAGGGAGCCATTGGGGGAGAGTGTATCATAGGGGGATGTAGGATACCATCTGTTCTAATGCCATAAGTGTCGACCATTCGGAGAAGGTTCTCTCACCGTCACGAAGTTCGCTGTTTCGGGGCTGACAGAGTTTTGGGACTAGTGAAGGAGAGATGCAAAGGAAGGTGGGTTCCAGACCCTCTACCTGCCAACAACCCTGCTCCGAGTCTGAGCCTAAAGGAGATCACCCAGTTGCTTTCAGACTGTCTCAACACTCCTTCCCACTCTGTATCTCACGGAGACCCTTGAGCTCATCAGTAATCGTAATCAGACTACCGCAATGATAATCTCTCGAAAACTGTTGGAGATGCGTTGTTGAAAAGAACCGAAGCGTGTCCGCAGTCAGGTCACTGACGCCGCGAAGCCGAAATCCCAGCATATCAACTCTTCTCTCCCTGTGCCGATTCTCGTCAATGCCGCTCGAACGAAAAAACCGCTTCCAATGATTGCCCAGCACCGCCCATCCAACCCCTCAACCAGAAAACGCCGTGCCTAAGGCAAAATCCTTGATCCCTTTAGCAATCCTGAAGCTCATTGTAGTCATTCCTCGTAACAAATCCAACCCAGCCGCCCAACACCAATCCAGCAAAGCAAATAGCACCCAATACCTCCCTCTTCAAACGCCAATTAACTCCTGACCGACCCCCTCCCTATCCAGAAACCGCACCCGTCTCTGCGGCTCCCCCTTCCCCTTGGTCTTATTCGTCCCTGCGATCTCCAGGATCCGGGGGGCAGGGCTGCCGCCGCGCCGGCGCAGGCTGCGCTTCGCCCGCGCCTCCTTCTCCTCGCGCTTCTTGTACTCGGCCAGCTGTTGGCGGCGCCGAACGGTGCGCGCGTACGCGGTTGCTGGCGTCGGCTTGAACCCGATCCCGTTGATGCCGGTGCCGTCGTCGTCTGAGTCGTCTGGGTCATAGATTGTGATTTCGTCGTCGTGCCATGTTAGCGAGGCGCGCAGAGGGTCGGTTATGGTTGGTTTTGCGGAGGTGGTTGGCGGTTTGGTTTTGGTCTTGGCTGTTGAGGTTGGGAAAGGGGGTGTGCCGGCTCGTTTGGAGGTGCGGTTGCGGGCTGGTAATTGAGGGTGTGACGACAGCGGTGGGCTCGGAAGGGGAAGGGATGGGGTCACGGTGCTGCCATTGTCGTCGGCGCTGGTGTCGGATGGTGCCTCGGGTGGCTCGGCGGAATCATTGAGGACGATGCGGACAGATTTGTGCAACTTGCTGGGGGTGCCTTCGTCGTGGACAAACTGGGTTTGCCGGGTGGATGGAGGGACGCCGGGGTAGACCTTTACCGCGGCGGCATCGGTATCGAAGTCAAGCATCTCGACATCGGGGAGCTTGACTCGTTTTCGTGATCCGTCGTCGTCGTTACCGACTGCAGACACGTCTGATGCAGATCCATCCCCGCCCCCACCTCCTAGCTGAAGACCCCGGAACCTCTGTGCTACACAAGTCCTCGGGCTGGCATTGTCGTCGTCCGGAGCAGAACTAACGTCGAAGGTGAAATGGGTGCTAGTGTCTAGTTTGGACAGCCCATCATTGAGCATTTCGCTCCGCTTTCGCTTGGGTGTTGAGAGAGGTGACTCGGTCATGGCGGGCGGCTAGCTGCTGATGTTGGCTGCGCTTAATTGCAGTCGCATAAGCTCGGCAGGGCAGCAGCGAGCTCAGATGGTTATTTGGTACAATCGAGCCTGTAAATAGCGCTCCTGTGAATGACGGGGAGGACGTGATTAAAGATTTAGACAAGGGAAAGCTGTCGAAGGTGGCACTCTACTGACCGAGCTGCAACTTGCCAAACCACTTGCGTGGCCCTGACTTTGTTGTGGAGAGAGGCCAAATGCCGGCAATCCTTCAGTTGCATCCGGTCGCATGCGACAAGGGAATCCACCCAGTGGATCCTTGCTGCCCAACAACTGGTGGGGCCTGCACAGGGCCTGTGTTTCCGAGCCAGTTAACATCTGAACTTCAATGGTTTTCCCCCGCCTCAGTTGTGCAGCCACGTGGGCGGAGCCAGCAAAAGAAGCTCCATGGTAGCGACTCGATTTTTCTACTCCGTGACATCTAGCTAAGCTCTTGGGCCTCTGAGATGTTTGTACCAAGGAATTGAGGGCTCAGGTGAATTTCTTCAAATTAGATGGAAGGCTGGCATTGTCTGAATCGAGTATGGTGAGGAATCTACCTAAGGGTAGGTACCTGGTAGTTTCACGGACTGTTACAGGTAGACTGATCATCTACTGATTACTACCAGGTAGTTATGTATCATACGATATAAATCCAATTCGGTCCGTGTAAGAATGACAGTGACTCTCGGCGTATAGGAGACGCATCTTGCATTTCTGTTTTCAGCTGTAACGTTATTGATGTCGCGCTTGTAGGAAGCTCGTCGTCGTTCTATGTTTGTGTCGGCGCTGAGCAAACGACTGAGTATGGAATCCTGGTTATCAGAAATAGCAGTGGTATGTCTAGTGCCGGGAAGATTTACCCGTTTGACCATCAATGGCGATTCTGAAACGGCTCCATACCTACCAGGTACTGCACTTGGTACCGTATGATAAACTTGGCACCAAAGACTCCAGTTTGCGGACGTCGCCAAGTTTAGGTTAAGGGCGGACGCAAGATACCTAGTCTAGGTACAGTACTTAAACAAGTGGTCGAATCGAAATGACGCCTTGTAAAACTAGTTCATTGACATTCCTGTATTCAAACTCTACCACCGCTGCCTTACCCTAGGTAGGCAGCACCCTGGTGGCAAGAATTCGCCTCTGTGAGGCTCCCTTGAATTTTCCTAGGTACGGTGCCCAATGTTAACGTTGACCCGAATGCTACGCTGAGCTGGATTCTAAAAATAAGCCCCAAACCGTCGGGCAAATGATACCGAGCAAAACAATCCAGCTCCACCCTCGCTGATCATTCTTTGTTTGTGAGTCCATGTAAAGGCAATACCTTTCCTTACGGTGAAGTGTTGCTATTCTGTTGGGCTCAACCGCCAGTCTAACCTCGATCCGAGTTCCACGCCGCTCAGAGCACCCATTCAGCGCAACCAACAGCAGCTCATACTGCCTGATTTCATTATCATTTTATCAACGACGGAACTCAGCGGGTTTTCGGTCTTCCCGTCATGCAGCTCGAAAGCCTCCTTCTGACAGTGGCTACGGCGGTCTCAGTCAAAGCTCACACAATCACTACCGACAACGTCAATTGCCGCAGTGGCCCAGAAACGACTTTCAGTGTTGTCAGGACATACGCACTAGGGGCCAGCGTAACAATAACATGCCAGACCTCTGGCCAGGACATTTTCGGCAATGCCCTCTGGGACAAGACCTCCGACGGCTGCTACGTATCCGACTACTACGTGCAGGGGGACGAGACGGACACGACCATCCCACCATGCCCCGGCCCCAGCGACGGCATCTCCTTGTACAACGGCCCGATCAACCGCACCGAGATCCTCACGCGCGGCCAGTACTGGATCTCGCGCCACGTGCCTTACTCCATGGAGGCCGTCTATCCGGACCCGCAGGGCCGCAACTACCGCACCGACTGCTCAGGCTTCGTGTCTATGGCGCTACACGCGAACGCACCTGGGTACAACACAGTGAGCCTGCCGGCTATCTCCGAGGCCATCGCCTGGGAGGACTTGCGCCCGGGCGACTTTGTGGGCACATTGGGGGAGGGCACCGCCGGCGCGAATGGGCACGTCGTGCTGTTTGTCTCGTGGGTTGATGAGTCTCACACGCAGCACAACGCGCTCGAGTGCCGCGACACGGCGTCCGGTTGTATCGCGACGATCCGCCCGGTAGGTTGGAAGAAGGGCAGTGTTGATGCGAAGCCGTACAGGTATATCCGGGTGACGGACTGAGCTGAGAGGTTTCGAGAGAGGACTGGTAGCGTGTCGGAGTGTCGACTGTCGTGGCGGCAGAAAGTGAGAAGTGCGGAGCGATTCGGACTGTTAGAGGCGAGGAGGCAGACGCTGAGCGCAGAGCCGGCAGAATTCAATGTTCTTACAGTCTTGCATAATCTTCATCTGGGTTCCAACACTCTGAGCCCATACCGAATTCAAGCCTTTAAATCATCCGTCTCACCTCGCTCTCTCACCGGCAACATCTTCCAGTTCCGCCTCCTGACAATTTCCACCACCAGGTGATACTCAACCTCCTCCTGCACCTTATCTGCAACCTCTTCGGCCGACCCATCTATCATCCCAACCCCCATCTCCTCCCACGCATCCACCACCCCCTCACACTCCCAACACAAACAGACTTCATACTTCACGCCCACCCTCACTACCGACACCTCCCTCGTCCTATCCATCCCCCCTTTCAGCACCCCGTTACCCAGTTTATCATCATGATCGATAAACCGGCCCGTCCTCACCAGCATATCCCTCTAATGTCGTCCCGCACTCAACTGGTGCGTGTGCCAGACGAGGTCGATATCCAGCGTCGGCACGAGCATCTCGCCCGGGTACAGCGCAAACAGCCGGAGGAAGGAGTCGTATTTCTCGACGGCGCGCCGCACGGTGCCCTCGAGCGAGGGCGCGCGGATCCACAGGTGGCGGTGCATCTTGTCGACGAAGGCGGCTTGCCGTGTGATGTTGTCTGCCAGCGGGGCGAGGCGGAGGCGGGAGGACTGGGCGTGGCGCATCATCTCGAGGAAGGCGAGGGTTTGTTTTGTCGGGGCGGGGCCGGTGGTGGTGTTGCGGAGGGTGTCAAGGTGTTTTGTCAGGAACGCGGTGCCCGTAAATTGGCGGCTACCGAAGCAGGTGGTTGCGGTTAGGATGGCTTCGCGGTGTGGTTGATGGTCGATGATCTTGAGGAAGGAGAGGAGGTCGGAGGGGAGGTTGAACGTGGTGGTGTACCAGGTTGCTGAGGCGGCTGGGAGGGTAAGGGTGAAATTAGAAGAGTCGATAGCGTTGTGCTAAGGAGATCAAAGTTGTTAAGTGACAGGTCTAAAGGGAAGGTCTTGGTAGACGACGTACGATTTCTTGCCAGGGAAAGATCTCGGCCAGCAGTCTGGCAGTACCGCTCGAAGGATTTGGGGTTGAGCAAGAAGCCATGCCAAACCATGAGAATATCTGTCCCGTACGCAGTGTCATTTTTGCCAAATGCTGGCTTGGATTGGAACTCACTCACCTAGAGGAGGCAGAAATGGCAATTGCAGTGATATACCTTGCTTCTGAGACACAATACTTGCTGCCTTGTCGACCCACAAGTCGAAGCGCGCAACTGCTAGGGTCAAGAAGTATTCCCACTTTCGTCTTCTCTTCTTTGCCCAGTCTGAGTCCCGGAGTTTGAAGGGCTGTCTTTGGGAGTGGCCATGGACTTTGCGGTAGACGATTCGATGAACTTGCTTGACACCGAACACGGTGTCGAGATCTGAACTATTGATGATGTCGGACGCCACTGACCGAAGCTCCAGGTGCCAGTTGACGACATCGATGCAGAATTTCGGCACACAATGTCAATGCCACGGGCCTGTGCCATGCTGCGTTCATGCAGCGTTTTGAGGTGGGCGGCATCAATAAGCGGCATGTTGCCCAACTTGCCAAAACCTGTCGAGTTATTCGACTCGAAGTCTGAACAGTGGGTGGAGCCCGACCTAATTTAATGTCTGCCTCACTCTCCACCTCGCAGGCAGCATGCTCCGGATTTCTCAAGCAAGAGCCTCGCCGTCTTGCCTCGCCGAGTGTTATCAGCCTTCAGTACAACGTCTCTTCCCCAAAGCAGAACCGAGTAAACGCGCGAAGGGTGGATCGGCGCGATGATTCCCCGTGCCCGCCCTTTGGCACAGCCACGCCATCACCAGTCCCTGCGAGTGGACCCCACGACAACAGTATCGGGGAGCGTGACCACGTCCAAGATAAGGCGGCATTCCCAAGGCGACCACCGAGGGTCGTCAGAAAACCGTAGGAAATCATCCGAAGCGGCGCAAAGGCAGGCTCAAAACCCAGTGCCCGCTGCTACACCAAAACCATCCTCGAGGGCTGAGCCTGGCATTGACCTCACACTCGACTCGTTCCAACTGTCAGGACGCCTTCATTTCAGCACAATGTCCCGCTTCAAAGCAATGACTGCAGCTTTGCGTCTGGGCAAAGGGCCGCCGGCATATATCACGCCCGGGCTAGATGTCGACGAAGTACCGCTTGATGGAGGTTTCGAAACACTGCGGAGTGAGCTGGAGAGGTTGTACTGGCAAGGGATCAAAGCCGAGCTCGAAAACATCATCCACACTCTTCAGGCATGGCAGGAGCCCGAATTCGCAGACAGCCCAACTTCCGGCGAAGACGATTTCGTCCATGGATACGATGCATTTCTTGATCATGTCAGCCAGGGGGCTCGGGAATTTGCCATCCGTCATGGTATGGTATTTACCTTACTGCTCACACTGCGCCCCAGGGACAAGCCTCTGTATGGCGGATGTGCTTGCTCACACGCACAATCCCCATAGACAGAAAGAAACAAGAATCCTTCCGGTATGAGCCGGCCCTGTGCCGGGTAGCGATGGACCGGAGGGCCGAGTACGTGAGCACCAAGCTCAAGTCGTCTGTCAGGAGAGGCATTGAAGGTGTGCATTCCTACAGGATTCAGATGCTTCGAAACAGCTAACGGATGTAGCACGGCCTACATGTAAGCTCGATGGAATGGAATTGCGAGCGTGGTCGTTACTCCAGGCTGCTGGTCCGTAATCACGCCCATTATGGAAGAACCGTGATTTACTCGACGCAGGCTTCCTGGACATCGACAAGCTTATCGAACATCGACCGCCGTTGAACAAGTCACAGAGACCGGCAATTCCTCAACGTATGTTTTCCATCCAGTTCCTTATCCTCAGCTCTAACAGGATGAGGCAGTCACTCTCGCCCAGGATGACAGCCTTCAGACCCCCAAGTTGCAGGCCCTGCGCTGCGCACGGCCCGACTGCAACAAAAGCATATCAGGTAGCATGTTTGTCTCCGACGACCCCAAGGACCCAGGCACAATCTGTGAAGATTGTTACTGGCAGCATCACTACGGCGACGACTCTTACTCCAAAGCCTACAAGCACTGCGTCTTGCAGGGCTCCATTACACCCGAGAAAAGCAGACAGCTTTGTTCCTGCCGAGCAGTGCCGCACCACGACGGCTCTGGCATCCCTCTGACCCTATTCCCCGTCAACAAGGAAGCGAAACACAATGTCGGCATCGGCCAGGGTGACGTGAAGTGCAGCCTTCTCGAACTCGACGAGCTCGTCGGCCGGGCCAAGTACGACGGACTGTTGGAAAGCGTGGGCATGAAGGAGAGCAAACTCTCTAACATCCTGGCCAAGATTTCAGCTGCTGAAGCAGCCGCCAACACCGGGAACTCCGGAAGCTTCTCAGAGGGCCGGCTGACCAAGATGAAAACGGCGATAAGATTAAGCTCTGATGACATGCCGAGTGCAGCCGAAACGTATCCTGATATTCCCCCATTCTCCCGGGCGTTCGCACGAAAGAACGCCTCTAGGGATGTTCATATGGCGCAGAATCGGACCCCTTGTGGTTGAGAATGGTGTAGCCAAGTGAGTTTACCTTTGTGCAGTTTCTGGGAGATATGGCGGCTGACATAGCATACTAGTACCAAGTCAGGGGCACTCATCGCTCTTCGCGAGGTGCCTGTCTTTCATGAGCGATTTGCGCTGGCCACTAAGCGAGACACAGCGCTTGTCGTGTCCGGTTCTTCTCAGCGGACCTTGTGGAAACAGACGCGTAAGCCCAATGTTCCCAAGCGATACAAGGCAGTCATGAAGCAGGTTATTGGTGCACCTTTTACTGGTATCTTTCCGCTGGACGACGAGCTCGAAATCGGCCGGGATCTCCTGGCTGCCAGCAAGCAACTAGACGATCTCAGCTTCAAGGACCAAGCCGTGCTGGACTCGGTTCTTGAATCCTCGATGCACAAGCTGAAGAACCTCTTACAGATTCATGTGCGACTGTACCTGAACAGCCTTGCTTCTCGGCTTTTTGACCCCAACACAACCTTGGCTTGGAGTGCAGACAACAACTGCCAAACCTTCTGCAACTCCCTCATCGATGCCTCCATCTTCGAGCCCCTCGTGAGCAAGCCACTTCCAGGCGACGCCTCACCCGGGCCTCTTTACCTCTTCAGCTTCGTCACCCGGTCCCCACCTGAATCCGGGTACGTCCGGCACAAGGTCAACAGCAAATATGACGTTCCTCTAGGGTATGTCGAGGAGTACCTCCTCCGCTTCCATTTCGGTCACAATTCCTCGGACCTAATCGACACCTGCCACGAGTACTGGACCGACTGGGCGGCGTTCGACGGCCCCATCCACCCCGACCCCTACCACTCCCCCTTTCCCTGGGACTGCACCGAAGCCTACGGTCGCTACCCGACCGTCTGCGGCGGGCACCAGCTGGAAGGCAAAAAGGACACAGCATGCAACCTCTCCAAGCACATTTGGGCCTTTCCCTTCGACGCATGGTCCTTCATCGCGCAGCACCTGACCCGTGACAAGTACCTCTACCCGACCATCACCATGATCACCGACACAGCCACCGCCAATAAACAACAGCAACAATCCTGGACGACAAACCGGCTCACCCTCCTCCGCGCCAACACCCTCCTCAGCCGCGCCGCCGTCGCGATGGCCGGCACCCCGTTATTCCACGCCGCCACCGCCTGGCTGCACTCGGACTCGCCCACCTCACTCCTCGCCCACCACACGAACCTGGCGAGAGTCAGGTTAGGCGGTATTCACCGCGCCCAGCCGTTCAGCCACTACTTTGACACCGGGCGTGGGGGCTTACTTTCTTGCCGAGTGGGCGCTGTGGTCTCGGGAGGAGAAGATCAAGGCGTATGAGGGGGCAAGGAGGGAGAGGATGGTGATGGCAGATGTGCCTGTTCGTGGGGAGACGGGGATGGGGTTGTTGGTTTTGACCAGTCCTGGAAGAAGGGGGAGAGGAGGATGATTAAGGGGATGGATAAGGGGGTTAGCGGTGTTGCTGGGTTTACTGGGACGCGGAATAGTACTGGCGGCGGTCCTTGGAGAGGGTGGGATGTGCAGGTTCAGACAGCGATTGTGTGGGAGGCGCTGGATACAGCAGACTGTGGATTTACGGCTGGTGATACCGTCAGTGGTGGTGCAGAGGGAGCGGGAGGGACAGGCTTTGCGGTGAGTTCTGGACCGAACTGTGGCAGCTGCAGCGGCTCAGCGACGGCTTGCGGAGGAGGGACAGATGGCGGCGGTGGGGATGGGGCCAGCGGTGGGACAGGGGATGGCGGTGGAAGTAGCGGTGGTGGAGGTGGAGGTTGTGGCGGCGGTTGTGGTGGCGGGTGTGGAGGGGGAGGAGGTTGACGTGGGTCAAACAACTTCAAGTTCGAGCCTTCTCAGCTCTGTGTGAGAAGTTGAGTATCAATTCGCAAAGTCTATGCCGCCGTCTGAGTCAGACCCCTTGCCTGGACGTTAATAGGAGTAACAACAAAGCACGTCGCTCGACGAGTGACTTTAACACGGAGTATAGTACTGTACTAAGCAGTCTGTATTGCGATAGATCAGGGCCTTGAGACGAGGGTAAAGGGAGTGATATGCCAGATGGTTACTCGATGCGGGGTCGAGATGCCGGTGCCGCCTGAGGTTTCATCGTGGCCGGGGATGGCGGAAGAGCAACAGGCCGCAGATCGGGCTATGAACCTTTTGCTGCATTAGTCGCCGCGTCAGCATAGGCCAGTGCAGAGAGCATAGATGCATAGATAATATGAGGGTGGTCTAACCATTGATGCGCATGCCGCTCTGTTTTCCTCATATGAACTTGAATGTCTTGCAGCGCAATCCCAACCCCTTAAGCTCGCGTTGCAGTCACCGCCCCCCCCCCCCCCCACTCACCCCAACTCGCTGCCCAACTTTAGGAATTTATCGCAAATAAGCTTGATTCTCGTTCAGAGGTCGACTGACGAACTCAGCTCAAAATGACGTTTTTGGAGAGTTTGGAGGGGCACAAATGGCAATGGCCGATTTTGGCGAGCTTTGTCGCCCTTTACCTCGTGCGCATGGCAGTGAGGTACCACAGACTTCGCTACTTCAGAGGGCCATGGGGATCTGGCTTCTCCAAACTTCAGTATGATTACAAAGTCTATACGGGCGAAGCTCACGCCTGGTGCCGAGACGTGAACGAAAAATACGGTGCGTACCATTCGTGGCATGGCTCAGCTTCCACTTACATTGTGAGACTGATTAACCCTCAGGTCCCATCGCCCGTATTGGGCCCAACTCTCTCATTACATCATCCTCCAATGTTTGGATGCACATCAACACAAAACCGGAGTACAAACGATCCAAGTGGTACTTCAGCGCCGTGCGCGTCGAACATCAGCGCGACCACATCTTTAGCCAGACCGACACCAGGCTCCACGATGAGCGCCGCAAACAGATCGCTCCAGGTGTAAGCCATCCGAACGTTGAACCTTTCCCAAACCACATAGTCACCTCTTTAATTCTATCTAGTACTCCGGCCGCGAAAACCTCGAGCTCGAGTCCTCCATCGACTACCGCCTGCTCGAGCTCCTCGACCTGATCCGCACCAAATACCTCTCAGACCCCTCCAGAGGCTACATCAACCCCATGGATCTCTCCAAGAAAATTCAGTACTTCACCATGGACGTCATCAGCACGCTCGGCATGGGCCGGCCCGGTTTCGGCATGCTGCGCGCCGACGCCGACATCGACAACTATATCCGCTCAAGCGAGGAGGGCATGCGCATCGCCAACACATTCAGCGCGCTGCGGCTGAGCTGGATCGCCCAGGCGCCCGTCATTGGCAAGCTGGTCTGTCCGCAGTCGACGGACGTGAAAGGATTCGGTGCCATGATGGGCGCCTGTTTCCGGGCTGTCGATGAGCGGCTGCGGGACGCGGACCATGACAAAAGACGGGACATGCTCGCGTCGTTTATCCGGCACAAGCTAGTCGGGGATGAATTGAAGAGTGAGGTGTTGGAGACGCTGATTGCTGGTTCGGATACCACTGCCGGCGCGTTGAGGGCTACCATGTTGTATGTTATGGCGAACAAGAGGGTGTACGTCAAGTTGCAGGAGGAGATTGATCGGGCGGTCAGAGAGGGGAGGGTAAGCGGGGAAGGGGTGATATCGTATTCTACGGCAAAGCAGCTGCCGTATTTGCAGGCCGTCATCAAGGAGGGCCTGCGGGTGTTTCCTCCTGTGAGGAATATCGTACCTAAAGACGTGCCGGTCGGCGGCGATACAGTCCTTGTGGAGGGCAAGCCGGTGTTCCTACCCGGTGGTGTGGATATTGGGTTCTCAGCCTTGGCCATGCATCGCGATAAGAAGGTGTACGGAGAGGACGCAGATTCGTTCCGTCCGGAGCGGTGGTTTGATGCAAACCAAGGCAAGCTCGCTGCTATGATGAAGGTTCATGAGCTGAGTTTTGGGCACGGTAGATGGCAGTGCTTGGGGAGGAATGTGGCTCAGATGGAGTTGAATAAGGCAATCTTTGAGGTAAGTGCTCCTATTGTACGATCTAGCAACAAAAGATTGCTGACAGAGACAGTTGTTTCGGTACTTTGACTGGGCTATTGCGAATCCCGTCAAACCATGGGATGCTATGAACGCTCTGGGACTTTTCATCATCAATGACTTTCTGGTCCAGGTTTCAGCCCGATGAAGATTGGAAGACACGACGGGCTTGACTCTCCATTGTACAACCATGGTTAGGAAGATATGTTAAGTAGTGCGAAGTAGCTGTTGCCCAATATTTCTGCTGTCATTCTATGGCACACCGTCGTCAACTTGCTGTCCCGGAGATGTTTTACGCAGCAGAAGTCGGTGAAGCGGCAGCTCTAATTTTTTCCTGCTATATAAACACAAGTTTTTAGCAAATTACTAAGCGTCAGTGGTTTAGTGGTAAAATCCATCGTTGCCATCGATGGGCCCCGCGTTCGATTCGCGGCTGACGCATTGTTTTAGTTCTTCTCAAATCTCTTTTTTCCAAGAAATATCATGGATGATCCACAGCTTGAATGGAATTAGTTGCATCACTTCCACACGTTCCTGGCAGCTCATGAGTCGTCTGCTCATGAGTCGTCTGCTCATGAGTCGTCTGCTCATGAGTCGTCTGCTCATGAGGACCTATGACCACCCCTTTGCGGCTTCATTTTGAGCCCATCGGTGGCCCTGGCTGCCAATACCGTCTGTCCCACCATCCCTTCATCAATGAAGTCGTGTTCCGGCAGCTTGGCCGCTCGTGGGCCTCCTTGTCGCCGTACGGCCACACTGGGATAAAGCAGACCTCGTCAAAGCCGCAGCCGGCGCACTCCTTCCACCTGGCCCATCTCAGCTTGTCCATCAGATTCCGCAATTCCCGTCTCGCCCGCTCCAGTGAGCCCTCTGCAGCATCTGGTTCCTCCACCACCATTTTGCGCACCTGGAACAAAGTGGAGCAGATGCTGTGTGTAACGGTTTCGACGGCGGCGAGGACGAGACCGTCTTCGTGTGTCTGGGGGGCGACCCCCAATGTGTAGAACCGGCTACAACGCCCCATAGCGGCACTGTGCCCATCGTCCTCAACCGCATGGTCGATATGAGTGTTCAACAGCCCATTGACCTCGGCCTGCATCACCTCAACGGTATCAACCTCGGCCATGTACTTCAACCGGTCAGCGTACCGAGCCACCACCATGTCCACCACCCCCTGCCAGTCAACTGCCATCTTCACTTCACCTCTCCGCCCCTTGACGACGTCCTCAACCCTTAGCCTAATGGCTCTCAACTCGTCATCACTCGGACCCACCAGTCTCGGCATCCTCTCTGTCCCATTGGGATTCGCAAGATCAATCTCATAAAAGAACCCTGACACCATGCTCCCCCAGTCAATCTTGACTCTTCCGCCCCCGATATCATGATACCTCCTGGAAACAGCCCTGATATACTCGAACAACCTTACCTCCCCTTCGACACCACCGCCGCCAGAACCACAACCACCCGCAGGACAATCCGGCCGCCGATTTGCAGACACCAGCTCCAACCCCTTGGAAAAATCGCACTTGATCACCTCGAACCCAGCCTCCATCCGCAACACGCCGTCCAGACCCCAAGATGAGACAATATCGCAGAGCTCTTGCGCACGGCCCCTCTCGTCCCAGAGCGGAGCAGAGCGGTTGAGTCGCAGGATGAGGTCTTGAGTGTCGAGCGTGCCCATGTCGGTGTTGCCTGCGGAGGTGCCGTCGAGGTAGAGGAGTTGGAGTAGGGTGGTGGTTAGGTAGGTGTGCAGGTAGCCGTAGGAGTCCGCGTCAGCGTCCTTGGCTAGATGGAGAGAAGGTTGGTGATAGTAAGAGGGTTGACGAGGGAAGTGGAGGGGCTGCTGGGCCATGGATGGCGGCGGTGATGATCCCGGTGGTGGTGAACCGGGTGACCCGGGGTTGTCTCTTCGCCGCCAGCGGGGATGCGCAAACTGTTCGGCATGCTCAATCTCGAAGGCGAGCCACTCCGGCCCAGGAGGCGGGGTCGGGCTATGGGTGCCATGATGGAGAGTGACGCCGGCTGGGATCGTGGTGAGGAACAAGGACATGCCGTTGTGGTTGAGGGACGAGCCCCACTGGCGCATGGCTGAGTGAATTGTGTTGAATATATCAAAGGCATTTTGCCGCGCGGCGGCTTCACTAGGGCCAAAGCCTTCATGCTCGGCGTCAGTGATGGAGGCGGTGGCGGATGAGAGTGTCGCGAAGGCTGCTATGCAGGCGAGTCCGAATCGCGTGATTCGCGCCGTTCGTTCCATCTGGCGGTGGATTTGCTAATTAAGTCTGCGTCGCTGACACCAACCGCGCGTGCTCCTCAAGGGTGCCGTTGTTGGTAATTGCCGGACAGACTAGGTAAGTGTACGCGAGTGGAAAAATCACTAGGCTGTTTGAATGATGGACAAGCCTTGAGTTTTCATTCCCGTAACAAAATGCAGTTTTAGGCTAACGAATCACCCACCTTCCCAAACTGGTCAAATATCCTGACGCGGCATTTGAGCTGTGCCGAAACCGGATGCTGTCCGACATCAAGGGATGCAACACCACTATAAGCCTCGACAGCGGGCAAACCTGTCACAGAAACGGCTGGGGAATGATACTAACATCATCAACCATCATGAAGTTCTCAACTGCGTAATCTAATTACCCCTCCACTTTCTTGATGCCTTGGGCCTGAAGCTTCAATGTCGCTTCATTGAACTCTTCATCTTCCGACGGCAACTCCAAGTGGAAGTTGGACAGTTGCGCGGCTCCAATTTCCACGTCCCCATCCGTCTCAAAAGCCAGAATATGACCTCCCCGTTGCCTGTCCTCCGTGATGAAGTGGAAGTGGTCGCCGGCAACATTGACTCCCATCACGTACTCCGGGCACCTGAATCCGACGATTGTCCCCTTGACCGCCTCAAACGTATGGGTCGTCTGCCGGGAGCACACATCCACCATCCCTTCCCTAGGCTTGAGCTGCCCGCCAGCTGTTCGGACATTGATCTTTGTGAAAACCCCATCCATGCGTACCGCCAGGAAGTGATTCCTTGCTTTGGGGAACATTGAGTTCAGCAGATCCTCGAGGCCGGCCTTTCCCGAAACGGCAGCCTTTTTGGTCGTTGTAGGGCGGAACCGCGTTACGGTAGCAAAGGGCGTGATGGTGGTTTCTGGGTCAATGTGCACGACGGACCCATCGGCTTTCATCTGGTACACTTCGCTCTCGACCACGATCATCTCTCCGACCATATTGCGGAAAGTGCCCAGGCCGTGGTCGCCGTGCTCGAGAACGCGAGCAATCGGGATGCCATGAGTGGCGACGCCATCCATCAAGGCCGAGACAATAGAGTATTGAAAGACTTCGTTGAAGGCCATTCTGAGTCGACTCATTGCGTGCTGGCGGTGTTCAGTGATTTCGGGCGGAGATGTAGAGGAATCCAGTTAAGCATACGGAATACAGAGCATACTTGGCTGTCCGTGGGCCAGTGCTTTTTTTCAACTGTCCTACTCTCCTCCGGAGGAGAGTGGGCCACAAAACCGATGGTCAGCCTAGAAGCAGTGGTCAGGCGTGTGAGAGACAAGTGGCATCAAGGCGAGGCACCGGGCACTGCAAATGCCGACTCAATTCTGCTAATCCAAAGCTAAGGAAAGGAAGAGGGGGAGTATACAGGATGCGCGTCTCCGACGCAAGAAAGATAAGTGGGCGCACAGGCCACCCACCGATGACCCACCGATGAGAGCATGAGTCCAGAGTGCGCTTTCCGTCACAACCGTTGTTGGATTCGTGTGACTGCGAACTCCGCTACAAGCAGCACATTGCCAAGACGACAACCAAAGGTCTCACAGCCGCTCTGGCCCTGAGGAGGCTGAAGATGCTTTCCCCGCAACAGCAAGACAACTGTTTGTAGCGACAGTGGCTCCCGTCATGGACTATGCGGCCGGCGTCTGGATGCATGCGTGTGGGGAAAAGGCGCTAAGCTGGCTGAACAGAGCGCAGAAGATCGGTGCCCTAGCAACCACAGGAACCTTTCGGACCGTGGCCACGGTTATAGCAGAAGCCGAAGCGAGCATTCTCCCTATACGAGAACGACATACCTGGGCGGCAGCCAGACTACATTATGGATCAACATTCAGACATTGCCTAGGACTCATCCCCTAGCTTGGAAGAAAATCCGGACAACAGCGCGATTCGTCTCCCCGCTTCAGAAGATCGCCCGTAAGGTAAAAGGAATAAACACCGAACAGATGGAAACAATCCAGGAATACGCCGTCGCTCCCTGGGCACCTCGCCTGCAGCCGACGATCGAAGCTGACCGAAAGAAGGCGACCGAGATGGCCAACGGAGCCATGGGCATCGTGATTGTAACCAGCTCATTCGTGAAGAAAGGCATTGTCGGTGTTGGTGGCATCGCACGAGACACTTCTCTTCAACAGGACCAGCGAGACCGTGACAAGATTTGCTATAACCCTTGGCATGAGGGAGGAGCCGAACCTAGATATAGCAGAACTAGCAGCCATCGCAAAGGCCCTGGAGAAGATTCCGGCCAACGCCTGCCATAGGCATATCTCCATCGTCACCAGGAACTAGTCAGCGCTAGCAGCAATTAGGCAACCGCGACAACAATCCGGCCAAGGCACTATAAGGCAAATATACGAGTTGGCTAGACTGCACCAAGAAAGAGGGAACTCGGTCAATTTCCTGTGGATCTCAGCGGAAGCCAACTTTACGTTGGGATTAGAGGCCAAGGCGGCAGCGCAAAGGACAACGAGGCAAGGGCAGATATCTAACCTCCAAATGCCCCAAGCCAAGTCCACCGCAACCAGACTAGCACTAGCCAGATAGCGACAGGGGAGAGTTCTACCCGAAGGCGTAGGTAAATTCTCAAAGACTCTGGACATGGCACTACCTGGCAAGCACACTCGCGATCTCTACGACAAGTTAAAACGAAGAGAGGCCTATATCTTGGCACAACTCCGAACCGGAATGGCGAGGCTGAACGGCTTTCTGAGCAGAATCGGAGCGGTCGAGTCAGACCTTTGTCCCTACGGCCGAGCGACGGGAACAGTGGAACATTTTCTATTACGTTGCGTGAGATGGGCAGCTCTGAGGGAAGACATGGTGCAATACACAGTGGCAAGGCGAGGGAGCCTCTCATTCTACCTGGGAGGGAAAGCACCATCGGATCCAAAGATGTGGTCGCCAGACATGAAAGCAGTCGGGCAACGATCAAGTACGCAATGGCGACAGGGAGACTGGATCTTGACGAGGAAGGACGGAGATTGGATCATTCACAGTAGGTACACAGCCTCAGCCAGCAGATCCCGCTTTAGCTGCTGAAGATAGGACGCTGAACACTTGGAGAACGCAGCCTCAAGTCGATCTGCTAAAACCCAAGTCAAGAGGCAATAGTTAGTGGCGTGAGACAGGGGAGAGTAGAGGGCTTGTACGAGTTGATGACCAAACGTCAACGAATTGGATGTACTTAGCGTGCCAAGGCCCTTTAGGCTTCGTGCCTCCGGGCGAAATAAATTCCATCCATCCACCCATTCGTGTGATTGTGTGGTAGGTCTTTCGGAGCACATCGCTGAGACTGATTTATTAGCGGCGTCGTACACACGGGCGGAGACATGGTCCGAAGTCGCTTATCACTCACCGAATGATGATCCAAATGAGTAATCCTTCCTGAGGTACATAAGGCTTACCGGTTTCAATTCGATGCGAGCCGTGCTTCACCCACCGGCGAACCCACGGAGGTTTGGTGGTTGGGCGTTAGCGGGGGAGATCTTCTGTGCCCTCCGCGGCTCCGCCAACCGCTGACGTTACACGTGTAGTGGATCGCAGGTGTGCAGGCCCAGGCGTGGCGCCTTCCAGACAAAATTTCCACAGCAGCTGACGGGAGGCTCCCGGCGTTCAAGTTACAGTACGTTCCACCTCAGCCGACTCCCGATTGCAACTCCAACCCCAAGAAATTAGTCCACCACCTACCTTCTCTACGCCCAGCCTACTTCGATCCTTACCTGGTAGCGGACAATAACTATTTCCCGCTTGGTCTACAATATCTTCTGAGTTTGCTTTGCCCGAATTCTCTACGGTCTCAAACGTCACACGGCTTAGCCATCACGACGCAACACAATGCCCAAGGAACGCCAATTTGAAAGTCCCGGCAGTCAAAAAGACGTCACTTGCGTCAGCCGCGAATCGAACGCGGGGCCCATCGATGGCAACGATGGATTTTACCACTAAACCACTAACGCTATTGACTCGAAGACTTGAGTGACCGGGTGTTCGGCGGGAGCGTGCGGTCTCCTTCTTTGGACAAGCTGATGTGGGAAACTCTAGTTGTCACAGCAGGTCAGAGCGGAGAGCGCCAAATTACCGCTCGTAGAAGCAGGTTAACGATTGCTTGAAAAGGTGCTGTCGACGTGAGGTTACCCGAAACTTTCTGATCAGAGGCCAACAGCTTCAATGTGAACGGCAGGAACCAGGCCGTCTCCATGGCCATACCTGGGTCTCAGCGCCGCCACACACACTGACACAGAAAACCAGACCTCCAAATCACCCGACATCCATCTCCAGATTCCTCGACATCCGTTTCCCCTGAACCCACACAACCCCACCCTTTCAAAGCCACACCCACGACCCACAAGAAGGCATCCACAACCAACAATGACTCAAAAAAACCCTCACATATCTCATATCACCGCCCTGAAAGCTCGCATTAAGCAAGGGCCGCTGGTCTAGTGGTATGATTCTCGCTTAGGGTTCACTCCTGGGCACTGTTCTGCGAGAGGTCCCGGGTTCAATCCCCGGGTGGCCCCTTCAAGTGGATGAAAGGGGAGGATAATTTTTTGGGTCCCGGACTCAGCGCGCCGCTGGTTGGTCATATTCTTGAGTTGTTGAGTCTCAGCTACAGTAAAGAGACCACATGAGCCAGGGCAGGCTTCGGCGATTCGAGATGGTCTGGTTAATTGGTTCGGACGAATTTGAGGTTAGTGAGGCTACGAGGGATTAAAAGAGGTTTGCTACTGATCGGCCAGGCAAGACCATCATCGTCCGGAGCCTTCCGGACGACAGGATGTGTGGCCCATGAGCCGCCAGAGAGTCTGCGCCACATCACTACCTTTCCTGGGAATCTTGGCTGGCGCCTCCTGTGAGCCGAGTGCGCTCACACAGTGCTTCTATTTCCTAGTTTTCTCCTGACTAAGGCTTGCCGCAGCAAGACTCAGATCCCCTTTCTGCCGTGGCGGCATACAAGATCTTTTCGAGTCGGCCCTCCTCTCCCCATACCAGATGTTCATTCTCCCATGCAAGGCACCAGTCCCTGAGGGATTCTCAACTTTCTGCCATACTCATTCTTCCCATAGATATCCGAGTAGGTCTAAGCGTCACACTTCTGGCATGTGCGCCGTGACAAAGCCCATATCCACCAGGGCGTGCAGGACTCTCTTCACATCAGCGACATCCGTGGAGTCCTTGGTGTAAACGCAGATCAGCCGCGTCGGGTCGCCAGGTACCTGGCAAGAAGTCGATACCTTGGCGGCTGTGCCTAGCCGGTCGCTGTCCACACCCTCAGAAATACGGCGCCAGACATCGTTGACCTCATACACCTTAGGAAAGAGCATCGATTCCCATCAGATGTCAGCGCCCAAAATCCATCAGTTCAGAGATCAAGAGCAGGAATCATGAGAGGAAAGGAATGGGATGTATATAGTAAGAGGATTGCAACAGATAGAGAACAGGGGAGATGAAGAAGCGAGTGAAGAGAGAGAACCAAATGGAAAAGACATGCCTTCCGAGTGGTACTACTCGCCAACCCTCCAGCCTCCCCCTTCAACACCTCGCGCAGCTGAGTTCGAATTGAATCATTCTTGGCGCACTGTGTGATGTTGGCCTGGAACTCCTGCAGCAGAGCGTGACCCTCGCGGGTAAACGAATGCACGTCGCCAATATCAGCTCGACCGTTGGGGTAGGCGCTGCGGTTGGGGTTGACAATCGAGTACCAGGGCGGGCGGAGGTGTGAGGAATGGAGAATCTGCCTCGGCGGGAGGCAGGCTCTGGATGGATAGCGTGACGGTTTCGTTTGTTTGGCGGGCGCGCCTGGGACAGAGCAGTACGCGTTGTACTGTTCCCATTGGCTGGGGGCTCGAGGGTTGGCGTTGGATTCCATGTTGGCGGCCGTGTGGAATGGGCCGGGTATTGGGCCGCAGAATTCAGCCAGGTTGAACCACCTACGGTGTATTGGATGGGAGGAGGAGCTGAAGATTGGGGGATGGGAATGAGGCTTGGAGATATGCAAGTCTAAGGCGCCAATGCTTCAGGCAGACATGTACCTTAGCCATGCATCACCTGGCTGGGTTTGAATTCAGCCCGCTGATTGTCCAAACACCTTTCATTTAGGTTGTCGAGAAGCTTGGTGACTGTATGGATTAACATTGAAAGCAATCAATTTTCATGATGACAAGGATATTCACGTACCTTGCCCCGCTGGTCCGTCAGTGGGGCCAAAATAATGTTTGCAAAAATTATCCTCTCGACTGACTACTGCTTTTAACAGAGTCTCAGGGCAGGTACATTGTGCATTGGCAGACGCTGGCGGCCGACCACTTGTATCGACCGTTGCCTGCAGGCTGCCGCGCTCTGCGCAGACCCGGGCCGGAATCTGCATTTGGTTGTATGATGCTTTCCAACACAGCCGACTTGAAGTCTTGAAAACAATACTGCGCCCCTATGACGATTTGCTTCAAGCTTCTACCCAAGAGGCAAACTACACAGGTTTCTAACCCACTGTTCTCACACATCACTGCAACATCAAGACTCACGTAAGCAAGGAAATGGACATCCCAACAATGCTGATGGAGTGCCTCTGCGGTCCCAACGACGCCCAACCCAACCAGCCTGTCCGCCGAAACTACACGCTCATTCGTGAAAAACCTCCTTTTGAGCCCTTCCCCTCCACCGATCCCAGTAGTGCACCTACCGACGACGATCTCACCCGCCTCACCAACAAGATTCTGGTCATCCTGCTTCAGTCTCCGGCGCCGGCCCCCTGCACCGACCTCACCCCTCAAGTCATCGCCACCACGGGCGTCACTACCAATGACTGGAGCTCGTACCTTGCTGAACGCCTCCTGCATGCCCTCGAGGACACGCTCAATGGAGACCATTCCACATGGGGCGAGGCCATCACCGTCGCGTATAACCGAGCCGTTGATTTCCTGAGGGAGGAGCTTCATGCGCTCTGGGAGTATGCCCAAGAACATCCATATGAGATTGCTGCGGAGGTTGTCTTGACCATGCTTGCGCTCGGGGTGTTGGCGAGGCTGGTTCCTGTCTTTGTGAGGGTTCTGGGATTTGCGGAGTTGGGTCCGGTTGAAGGTGAGTTCTGCTGTTCTCTCTCTGTGCAATCGTTGAACGAATGCTGACACATTATGAATGGGCAGCCTCTTTTGCGGCGTGGTGGCAGCAGTTGTATGGCGGATATGTGCCCAAGGGATCGGTCTTTTCGTTCCTACAACGGATGGGAATGACTTGGTAGGGGGGCAGTTGACATGTTGGCGTTGGAAGTGCATTTCACCGGGCACATCAGAACCATCACCGTCATCACAGACAGTCTGTAGGACACAAACATACACACAATCAGCTCACCAGATGTCATCTTGAACGTAGCAAACTCAAGAACAGATTGTCACCGGGCCACGATAATCTTGCGCCTGGAGATCATGGATTGTGTAACGTATCTTATAAGCGAGTGACCCATATAAGCGAATGACACCCCCCCCCGGCCACGCGACACCTCTGCACTCAACAACGCATTTTCCCTACCATCCGAGATGCCCACTACTTTAAAAGAGGCTCTGCTAGTCTTAGCCCTTGAAGCTCTCGAAAACGTTAAGAAACTAAGCGAGCGAGCTGCAGCTAAGATCTATGGGTTCGACCGTAGAACCCTAGCGCACCGACGCGCCGGCAACCCTGCACGATGCGATACTACGCCCAACTCGCGCCGGCTTACCGATTCCGAAGAGAATGCTATTGTTCAATACGTTATTGAGCTATGTGCACGAGCTTTCCCACCGAGACTGCGCGGTGTAGAAGATATGGCCAACCAACTGCTACGCGTACGCGACGCGCCACCTGTCGGAAAGCTCTGGGCACACAACTTCGTCAAACGCCAGCCAGAGCTCCGAATGCGCTATTCGCGTAAATATGACTACCAGAGGGCCAAGTGCGAGGATCAATATTAGCTGCTGTGGACCAGCTTGCCAAGGGTACGATGGCTGTAATGCACCAGATGACCCTCCTTCAGTCAGAGGTCTCTTCGCTTCGTAAGGCCAACGAGGCACTAAGTAAGCGCCGGAGAGCGAAAAGGACACGTGTTGGAAAGCCAACAGCCACGAATGTGCCGCACCGTAGTAATTGGGTATCAAAAAGATGGGCAACCACTCAATTGATGATGATGTTTCTGTCTGTGTTCTTCCAGAAGTTCCCTGCCTGTTCCTGATCCTGAGAATCCTGGTGCCAAGCCATTAGTCACCCCTGAACTGCCGTCTCTGACCACCTGCCAAACCTAACAGAGGCCGTCGTGTCTCCTTAGGGTTTTGTCTTGAAATAGAGTCTTATGCTGGTGGTCAGTTGTTCTCGAGATATTCTTTATTAGGTGGCGAGGTAAATGGAAGGGGCTGGGGTGCGGGGCATCTTGGATCCAAACCTTTGAACCCGCACTCCACAACACACCCAACCCACACCCCTCACCTCGTGACCAGGAGGTGATCGACGCGACAGGCAACACGTCGAAGTAGGTTCAGCCAGAAGATTGGGTAAAATGGCTATTTCGGTATGTTCCGAGTTTTGATCTTGGATAAAATTTGGGCTAGTTAACCCCACGTTGACTTACTTGTTATTCGATACCCTAACCCTACTGAGTGTCAAGTCTGTCAAGTCAACTCGGTGCATCAACTTGACTTGACAAGTCTACAGAAATAAGACAAGACTTGACTTGACTTGACTTGACTTGGAGACTTGACTTGGTAGACTTGACTTGTTGACAGCGCTGCGCAGCAGTCGTTTTGTCTTCACGCCCAAGAGCACATCTTGACATTCATATGGCTTCTGGCCCCGACTTGAGGTCAAAGTTAGATACTGAGTCCCCTGAGCAACTTTGCGTCACCCTCCTCCCATGGATGTTCGTGCTCGACTTCCCCAATCAGCTCAACATGCTTGTTGCTCCTCGGTACAATCCTACACTGGAAAGGTATTGGATGCGCCACAAGACCCGGTGTCGTTCCCACGACGGGCTCAATCACTTTGCCCGTGTTCTTGTCAACTGCCTTGTGAATCTCAAAGACGGCAAGAGTTTGCGCAATAGTGAGAAAGATTTCGCTGTCAGCCAACAGCCGTCCGGGGCAGATTCTTCTTCCAAAACCAAAGACATAGGCATACGGACTAGGCGCCGGGTCGGGCCCCAGGAATCTCTCAGGCCTGAACTGCTCAGGGTCCGGGTACACAGCCGGATCAGCCGAAAACCACTTAATCGAAGGGAGTACGATGGCCCCCTTGGGGATCCGGTACCCGCGGATCTCGTCCTCCTGGTCGCTCATATGGGGCGGTCCCAACGGCGCAAGCGGATGCCAGCGCAGCGTTTCCTTTACCACAGCCTCGATGTAGGGCAGCTTTTCGCGATCCTGGAAATTAGGGAGCCGGCCGGTACCCACAACGCGGTCGATCTCTTCGCGCGCCTTCGCTTGCACATCAGGGTAGGCCGTCATAGCCAGGAGAAAGAAACTCAGGCCGGCGGCAGTCGAGTCGGCCCCGCCAGCGTACAGGGCAGCAGCGCTCTGCTTGATGTGCTTCCAATTCTCGGCATCGGGCTCGGCGCTCCGGAGACGCTCGACGTACGATGGCTTCGCCGCACGTCGCTCCATTTGCTGCACCACAAAGTCTGCTGGCACGTCCATGACTTCGTCGCAGTCCTTCTTCCACTGGCGGGCCGTCTGCTTGAACCCCGTGCCGGGTACCCAATCTGGAAGGTATCGGAGCCAGGGGATCAGATCGACCATCCAGGCACCCACCACGACAGCTTCGCTGAACTCGGCCATGACTTTGTTGATCAGACGAACCAGCGCATCGGGCTCGGTAGGGGAAGGCGTGTATCCGTAGAGCATCCCGAGCATAACGGAACCGGACTCGCTGCAGCAAAGAATTGGTTAGGAACTCGGGGCTTATTATGGGGGATAGGAAGAGAAAAGCGAAAAAAGGAACTCACGTTTGGAGATGGTCGAGAACGCTGTCAGGTTTGTGCAGCGTTCGCACGAGAAAGCGGCGCACTTCCACATCGATTAAGGGATGGAATCGCGTGATGGCGGTATTCGTGCCGATTACCCCGCCCGCCAGTTTGCGTTGATGGCGAAAGGTTTTGTTGTATGGTTGAAAAGGCATCCTTTCGTTGTAGCCACACCTGTGTCACCCATCAACATCAGTCACGGACATATGGTCAGCTCGCTCTTTCTCCTAGTCCCGCATCCGGTCCAGAAGCGAGAAAAAATGGGAGATACGTGGGGATAAAAACTGTTGGGACGGGCCACATACATTTCACCTGCAAACACCATGCGCGGCCTCGAAGAGTACTTCGCCCCCCGTCTATCCAGGAGCTCCAGGGCCACCTCCAGGTCGTGCACCAGGACGATCGTCTGCCCGAAGACGTTGACTGAGCTGATGGGGCCATAAAGGTCCTTGTGCTTGACCCAATGCTGCCATTCTAGTCCTCCCTTTGGGGGAAGGTCGGCGATGTTTCCGACCAGAGGCAATCCTTTGGGACCCGGCGGCAGCGGCAGCTTTGTAGTCGTCGGCCGGAGAAATACTGTCCTGATAAGCAGGTACAAGACAGGTAAAAGTGCGGTCGAGTAGTACAGCTCGATGGGGATGTTTGCCATTGTGGAGGACTGCCAGCCAATGCCAGGCGAGCCGTTGCTGTAAACGGCCAAACAAACTTCTGATGAATTGGGGACAGAGATTCCTAAACCATGTGATTGTGGTCGAAAAGACTGTACTTCACGTTATCTGAGCTACTACTATAAAACTACACAAGACGAACCGGCCAGTAGGACTGATGTTAAGTCGGATTACAGAAGGGTGAGGTGACGGCGGGCGGCAACGACCCCAGTCCCCTCGGGTAATATCCCATGCCCGGGTTTGGAAGACGGGCGTTTTGGAGTTTCGCGGCGTGATACCGAAGTGCCTCAGGCAAGGTAATCTTCCCGGTCGGTGGCCGAAAAAGTCGTAAGCCGAGTTTCCTGGCTGCAGGGTTGCATTGTACTGTACGACATGCATTGCACATTGATCCCTGTACTCAGGCTCCAAGGCGAGCAGTGCATCGGGTCTCACGCTCGGGAGGAGATAAGTCTCTCCTGTCCCTATCTCCGTGCTGCAAGCCGACGAGAAAGCTGCAGCGCTGCTCGGTTGCCTGATGGTAAACTATTGCTCCCAGAGATCTTTTGTCCGCGTCTAAGAATCGCGATTTGGAGTGAGTTCCAGCCTTACGTATCCAACGGTACCGTCCTTCCCGCACAATACGCGCCCCTGGCCGATCCGATGAACCGCCGGACGGGACGGAACCCTTCCCCGTTACAACAAACACCCACCTTAACACCGCGTTATGTGGTAGGGCCGTTAACTCCGTGAGATCTTCCTGCCGAAGAGCAACAGGCAAGCATCCTTTCCAACCGGTTGTCTCTGATGCAAGAGCTTGTTACCCCGCGACAACAACAAGATGTCATACACTATCCCTCTGTTTGTTGTCTACGAGGAACCCGCAAATGCCCGGTGCATGTCACACAGACCCTCCACGGTCAAAAACTCGCACACAGCTCATTGAACTCGGTTTCCTCGCTTGCCTCTTTACTGCGCAAAACTACCACTGACAAAACAGCCTGGAACGACGCACCCTCTAAATTCTCACCGGTAGCGAACACGTCAATGTTGACCATGCCTGGCCCGTATGCGAAGGACCAGCCCCAGGGCTTTTCGAACCACGTTGAGAAAGTCGCCGTCATCGGGGTACGTTGACGCGTTGGGCGTTGCCTCAATTTGAGAAGCGCTGCTTTCTAATCCTTTTATCCTTCGCAGGCCGGCGGTCAAATTGGTGGTCACATTGTTGAGCAACTGCTCAAGAAGGGAAAGCATGTCGTGACAGCAATATCGCGTCCTGGAAGTACCAATACGCTCCCCGATGGTGTCGAGGTTGTCCGTATCGACTACAGCGGCGATGACATCTCGGCACTGGTGGAGGCACTTCGTGGTCAGCAAGCTCTGATCGTCACCATGGCCGTCTCGGCCCCAAAGGACACCATGAGCAAACTTATTCGTGCAGCCGCCGAGGCCGGCGTGCCGTATATCCTGCCCAACTGGTTCGGCCACGATGCTGCCAACGACTCGCTTTGCCAGGACAGCTTCCTGACGCAGATGCGCGACAACGTCCGTGACGAGGTCCAGCGCCTGGGCGTCAGCTCCCCCCTGTTTCTGATCTGCAATTTCTGGTACGAATTTAGCTTGGGCGGTGGACCTGATCGCTTCGGCTTCGACTTCCAGAACCGCTCCCTTGTCTTCTTCGATAAGGGCAGTGTGGCAATCAACACCAGCACCTGGCCGCAGTGCGGACGTGCAGTTGCCAATATCCTCAGTCTCAAGGAGCTCCCCGACGATGAGAAGGACCAGTCAACCACGATTTCCCAATTTCGAAACGATGGTGGCCTGATCTACATCTCAAGCTTCCGACTGAGCCAGCGAGACATGTTTGAGAGCGTCAAACGCGTCACGAAGACCACCGATGCGGATTGGACCATTACCCACGAATCCTCTGAGCAGCGGTGGAAGGATGGTATGGCCGAGGTGATGAGCGGCAATTTCAAGGCCTTCACCAAAATGCTGTATAGCCGCATGTTCTTCCCCAATGGCGACGGCGACTACCAGTCCAGGCGTGGCCTTCATAACGACGTTCTCGGCCTACCTGAGGAGGATTTGGATGCCGCCACAAGCATCGGCGTGCGTATGGGGGTGAATGATGAGGTGACACGGACTCATTGAAGGAACTGTGGCAGGGCTTGTACTTCCTCTCAGAGATCTGGACTCGGTCGATCAAATGCAGCATTTTAGCTCTCATAACACGTTGAGCCTCCACACTCGTACCGTTATGCCTTCCGTGCCTTTTGTCCTGGTTCCCTGCATGCCAGTAGCTTGGTATCGCTATCCACGTAGGAGCAAGGAGGTGTGTACTTGACACCTCTGGAATCCCACCTAGAACTTGAATGTGATGCGATCTATGGAGGTCTCAACCAAACTGTGCTGTTACGCAAACCCTCTCCCAAAAGATTTTCACTACCGTCAAACCGTACCTTAGCATGCTCCAATAGACTGTCTACAGATCACTTATGTGAGGTAGCTGAGGTAGGTATATCTCAAAAATTAGTAATAGATACTCCTGGCTGCTAGTAGCTCATATGACATAACGTAATCACTAGCATGTGTTGCTCTCCAGACAAGACGGATTCCCGATTTTGCAAGTCTGCTACTTCCAATCGCTGCATCCAGTCCTCTTACTCACTTCCGGCTAGCAAGTACAAGATACGCGGGCCAATTGATCCTCACTTTCCCGCCGGGACACTCCTCTTTAAACACTCTCTCCCAATTCGCGTACGCCTCCCGCGCCTCCTCGGACTCCACCCCAGGCGGACGGATCGTGTCGAAAAAGTTGGAAAGCCACTTCTTATCAACCTCGAATTCCCACCCGTCCGCCTCTGGATGAGTCCCCGTTTCATACCTGACAACACGATCCCTCTCGCCCACGCGCGAAATGCCTCCAACCTGCTCACCCGGGCGGGCGAACTTGCGGTACAAATCGCTCAACGCTATCTCCATCTCCCCACCAGGAGGACCCGCGTTGATGTACACGCGTACCGGGTCATCAAACCACTCCTTGGGCACCGGCAGCGAATCCAGCACTCCCTTGCCCGTCATGCGGCGCCGCACAACCTTGGCAAGCTGCGTGGCGCGACTCGCGTCGGCTCCCTTCCCTGCCTCCTTTGCCACGAGGGCGTGCAGGACGACCTTGTCGAAGGCGTTGGCGAAGGCGTCGGAGAAGCGCCGAGACTGCTCCGGGAAGGAGGGCATCCAATAGCTGAAGACGGCGAGCGTGCCGCCGGGGCGGAGCAGCTTGGCAATAGACGAGGCGAGGCCGTCCGGGTCAATGAAGTGTGCGGCCGTGGCGCAGATGGCGAGGTCGGCGTATTGGCTGTTGGGGATGAGGTGGGCGTGGGCTTCCTCGCCAGTGGATTGCGAGTATTCGAGGACTGGGTCGAGGTTGTGGCGCCCAGCGTAGTCGTTTAAAAAAGAGCGGGCTTGATCGAGATTGGAAGGGCTAGGGTCTGAGATGTGGATGGTTTTGAAGAAGGGCATGAAGTTAGTCGAGGCAACGCCGGAACCGGCGCCGATGTCGACCATGCGGTTCCATCCCGAATCTGGGATACCGTTGCCCTGCTGATGGCGACGGTGGTAGCTGAGTATGAGCTCGGTGAGGGATGGGGGGTAGGGTGGGCGACCCTGCTGATAGTGGTTCCAGTCGGTCGTGGCGTAGGTAGTCTTGGTCTTGGGGTCGACTGATGCCATCTCGAAAGTGATGTACTAAGTAGGCTGTTTGGCCTGACTGAAAATTTCAAGGAGTGGCACACTTTGATGCCATCTATCCGGGATAACTTTTTACAGAGGGGATCAGTTTTGCTGTTGGGATCGAGTACAAGTACTCGAACCCGAACTGCGTCGGGTGGGACGAATCAACAAGGGGTGGTCCAAACGGGGATCAAAGGACACATCTGTTTGGCTGGCTGGGAAAGCATTCGTGCATTTCCCGGCGCTACCCCGTCAAGTACATTGAGTCAGTCATTGGCGTCCCACCGGGAATTGGACGTTGCACAGAAAGGACTGTGCATTGTTGAGTGTCTGACTCGGAACGCATAGGAGACTTGTGGTCACTCCTTCTAATGATGAAAGAAATCAATTGGTGAATAAAACCTCTGTGGTCGGTTCTCAGTCCGTGTCTCGTGCACTACGCGAACTCTGTTTACCTTGGCCCCATTATCTCGCAGTTAAATCCAACAAATTCCAGTCAACCGCCACATCTTCTCCGTTAACACCAAGATGGATACAATCTCTCGTCTATGCCAAAACCACCCCCTCATAACGCTCCCCGCGCTCTTTGGCCTCGCGGTTTGGCTGATAGCATGGCTGCGCCGCGACCGCCGGCTGGGCACAATCCCTGGCCCTAAGGGGAGATACCCCTTTATCGGCGTCGGCTTCAAACTCCCACCCAAAGCGCCTGTTCTATTCCGCCAATGGGCTCAGACATATGGCGATGTCTTCAAGATCCGGGTAGGCTGGTACGACTGGGTCGTCATCAACACCCCAGAAGCCATCCGAGAGATCCTCGAGAAACAATCCGTCGTCACGTCCTCCAAGCCCCCTTCTCCGATGGGCCACGACGTCGTGACGGGCGGCAATCGGATGCCCACCATGTCGTACGGGCCCCGCTGGCGTGCCCTCCGCACCATGATTCGCCAGATGACCACGGTGCCCATGACGGCCTCGTTCATACCGAGCCAGGAGTTCGAGGCCAAGCAGCTGCTCTTCGACCTCGCCAACGACAACGCGGACCAGCGCAGCTTCTACCAGCACATGCGCCGCTTCGCCTTCAGCATCATCATGACAAACACGTTTGGCACGCGCGTCAAGAGCTGGGACCACCCGGACGCCCAGAACGCAGTCAAGAGCCAGGCGATACTCCGGGCCACATCTCGTCCCGGTGCGTTCCTCGTGGACGAACTCCCGCCTCTTGCGCGCCTGCCGCGGTGGCTGCAGCCCGGTCGACGAGCAGCAGAGGAAGCGGCAAAGCAAGTACTGGACATCAAGATGGCACTGTGGCGGCGCCTGGCAAAGGAAGTCGAAGCCGGCACAGCGCCCCACTGCTACGCCCGCGACATCTTCACGAGCAGGGAGTACTGGTACGCCCAGGGGCTGACCGAGGAGCAGCTGGCATGGGTGTCCACGGGCATTGTCGAGGCAGGGTTTGAGACGACGGCAGCCACGCTTAACAGCCTGGTCCTCCACCTTGCCGCAAACCGGCGCGTGCAAGACGCTGCGCAGGAGGAGCTGATGCGCGTCGTTGGGCCGCATCGACTACCCACGCTGGCCGACATGCGCGACCTGCCGTACGTGCGCGCCTGCGTCAAGGAGATGCTGCGCATGAACCCGATCCTGTCGCCCGGGATCCGGCACTATGCAGACCAAGACGTGGTGTACAAGGGGCATGTGATTCCCAAGGGCACGGTTCTGGTTGCGAACACGGCCTTTCTGCACTATGATCCTCAGCGATTCGAAAACCCGTTCGAGTTTGTGCCGGAGCGCTACCTGGGGCATTCACTGTACAGTTCCGAGTACGCGGCTATGAGTGACCCGTACAAGCGCGATCATTTCACGTTCAGCACGGGCAGGAGAACATGTCCTGGCGCAAGGCTGGCGGAGAATTCGCTCAACATTGCGCTGGCAGGAATTCTGTGGGCATTTGAGATACGGCCGCCGCTTGACGGGAAAGGCTTCGAGGGGCAAGTGGATTTGGGTGAGAATGCGTACCCGGATGCCGGATTCATGATACCGAAACCGTTTGCTGCTCGATTCATTCCCAGAGGGGAGGAGAGAACGCGAATTCTGGAGGGCGCTTGGGAGGCGGCAATGAAAGAGGGCTACGAACTGAGGGGGGTTCCGGTGGATGTGGATGGCATGGTTCAGCAGTACTGAGACAGCACAAGTGGAGATGTGTAAAAAACCAGTCTATACCGGGCAGTCTAGTCTCAGGTATTCAACTCTTTTAAGATCATCCGCATCATATTTGTAATCCGCGCATGCTCGCCTCGCAGCCATGAATCTAGGCTGTGATACAGGTTGCTCGTGTTCGTGTTCATGTACATGCCGACGCCGTGCAGAAGGAGCCTACCGGTCTCGTCCGTGCCGTTAGGATGCCGTGAGCTGCTGGCGCTGGCGGCGCTGGCTGCGGAATAATGAGCAGTGAGCTGATCGATTAGGCGACCAGCTCGACGAAGCTCGCCCGACAGCAGCTGGATCTTCACTGCATTCTGGATGCCAAGGTCGTCGACGTCGAAGGTACCGATAGCCATCTTGACTGGAGCGATACCGGTCATGGTCCCACTGGTTGGACCAGAGCCAGGGCCAATGATCGTGGTACCTCCAGTTGATGCGTGGCTGGAGACACCCGGAGACGATAAAGACGATGCCAACGCCGTCTCTTTCTCCGGTTTCGTTTTGCATATGGCTGTTGCCATGATTGAAGGGCAGCTGGGAGGGCTGCTCCACGAGGAGAGAGGGCTCCCGGCTTGCTTGGCGGTGGTGCAGCTGGCCGCTTGCTGGTACCAGTCAAGAATGCGCGAGATGACGGACACGTAGAGCAGTGAGAGGTGTGGAGATCTTACGCAGGGGCAGGCCAGTAGGCGACTGAGTTCCTCGCTTGCCTTGCGGTTGAGACGTAGCACATGATCTAGGCCACATGAGGGGGTGCCACTGCCGAGTTCCCGGTCGAGAGAGGACAGCGTCTTGAGGATTTCGTACGCCTCAAGAGCGCAGTCGTGACCTCCCCCTCGGATGCTGCCCGCGGTAGACGGCAGACTACTGGCCTCAGAGGAATTGTGCGGAGTCGCAGCGGGCTGGGGGGTCGGACTGCCGATCGATGAGTGGCTCCTGATGTTGGGCGATGCAATCTCTGGCCCGCCGAAGTAGCGGCCGGTAGCCGAGAAAGGCCCATTGTCGTGAGCTTTGGCATGGTCCGCGAGGCTCGCCCAGTCGATGAAGTCGAAGGGAGCGAAAGATGCTGAGAGCCCGGCCGGGGGCTGATGATGGCCGTCATGACGGTACAGGCCTGCTAACGCATCCAGGCCCATGTCATCCACAGCCTCCCGCTCCCAGTTAGTGATGGTGGTGGTGGTGGTCGACACGTCACTGACAGCAACGGTAACGCCCGCAGATGACTGCTCATTGGCGCCGGCAGCAGCGTCTGAAATTGCAATGCCATCACTTGTAGTGCCACCAGTTCCTGTCCCGCTCCTGTCGAGACCGCCTGCGGTTGTAGTCACGCCCGACTGTGATTGTTGTTTGTCCCGCCTCGGCTTCCCCATTTTCCGTGACAACCCGTAGAAGCACGGGACGCCGTGAGAGATGCAACGCTCGCACTCGGGCTGGCCGCGGTCGCATTTCAGTTTGGAAGCACCGCATCTGTCACAGCTGGCGCGTAACTTTGGCTGTTTCCGTGTTATTCGCGGCGCGTCGATATTGGTGTCCATAACTTCCCAGGTGCAAGATGAGGAGATCAGGCAGAGGCCAAGAGTGATAGTCGGGTAGGAGACTGGAGGGTCAGGTGTTCAGACCGATTGGTAGTTTTGCCCCATTCATAGCGAACCCTTTTATGGGTGCCCATTGTATTATCAACATTACAGACTATGACCCGGTGCTACTCTCGTGTAAGTTTACTGGACCGGGGCCATGTTGCGAAGCCCAGAGGTTTAGGGTGTGTCACGGATTGTGGCGGAAAGAATGTTACTGAAAGAAGATAAGGCAGGTTTGTACAAGTACCTGCGGCAGGTACCTTGGTGCTGTAACCTTGGTGCTGTAACCGTGCGTAAGCATGAGAAGCGCCTTTTCCTAAGGAAACAAGCACTCGGTTGAGACAAAGGAAAAAAGGTTGGTATGCAGGATGTCGTTTCCGGGCTGTAAACCGGGCATCCAATCAGTTCAAGATGCAACTTGTTACAGTAGGACCGAGTCAGCTCGGAGAGCCATTCTCTCCGCTTGTGATGCATTCCGTGCTTCGCGGACCCATCATTGGAGAATGGTGGGTAGCAATATAAATTACGGCTAATCCGGTCAACGGTTACACAGATCCAGCCGTCTCTCGTTCATGGAGCTGTAGCCCGACTCCCCTATTGGACCTCGCTTCGAAGATCCACCACATCCTTCCTGTGTGTGTATGTGTTAAGGTTAAGGCAGGGTTCGCTTCAAACCCCAACACCGCATTGCCTCGCCACCCTGTACACCTCAGCGGTCAGCTTCACCACATCCTCCGCCCTCAAGGGCACACGGTGCGGGCCGGCCCACTCCACCACAGTTGTGCTTTTCCCATCGCAATACTGTCGCGCCAGCTTGCGGTGCCATTCGAGGCCATCGTCCAGTAGCCCATGCACATGCACCGTGGGCATCCGGAGTACCAATCCATCGTCTTGACAATGCGGCAATGGCCGCTCATATCTTTGCAACCCTACCAGGTCACCCGGTTTAACCAGCGCAGGATGCCCCAAGGTGTGATTACTGAGTCCCACCAGGGGTCCTCGACCGGCAAGCAACACGCCGAAGCGGTAGTCATCGTAGCAGTTCTCAACGGGCTCCTTCTCGCGCCGCACCTGACAGTCCAGCAGCACACTGGCCGCGATTTTTGCGCCTTGACTGAATCCGAGCAACCCAACCCATGGTCCGGAACCCCCGCACGCGTCATCGTGGGCCTGTGCCTGGTCTAAGCACGTCATGATGGCGCGCGCTGTTGTTGCGTCGTCCAGCTGCGGGTGCCACGACTTCCAGGGCAGCCAGCTTAGAAAAGGGGGCCCCCAGCCCTCGTAGACTGGGAGGACGTCAGGCCCCGGTTCCGAGGGGAATGGGGCGCTGGCGAAAACGAGGCGGAAGTGTGGCAAGCCCTGGATCACGGCGCGGCACTGGGCGTGGAAGATGGCTCCCGTCGTGCCGCCGCCGTGCAGGCAGAGGATGCGCGGGCGGGGGTCGGGCATTTTGTGGTTGGCTGTCGAAGGTGTGGGGAGGACAGGCGAGGCGGCTATCGGAGCTGGCACGGATGATGGGTATGCCGTCGACCGAATAAAAAAAAGCGTCAAAAGAAAGGTGCGAACTGGTGTCCGCGCAGAGCAGGTTGGTCTCAGGGGGCTGACGGCCTGACTCTGACATGGTGGCGGCTTATTACCTTATGTTCGGATAGAAGCAGTTGATGCATATACACGAGGTGCTTGGTAGTTATGGCAGGCGAGGTTGCTACAACTCCATCTCACGGGGTCTGACACACGATCGACGATCGGCGGTCTTCAGTTCGGATAAGGTATGCTTGGCGACCCGGGAAGGATGCCGCCACCACAACTCTTGATGTGTCTCTTGCCTCAGCCCTGCACCGTAGGGTACAAATCCGAGCAGATGCGGAGTAGCTGCACCAGTCAGCTTCCTTTTCCATCGGATCTCAGTTGTGCCGTCTGACTGCAGATTCACAGCAATGCGCCAATTTAGCCTCACCGCCCACCGTCGCCTGCGAAGGAAGCATCGGGGAATGCAACGGTACGGAGTAGAGTAGGAATGTTCCTGATGAATGTGGGTCGGTGTCCGTAACTTCCGTTCGCCACCCACGACCGGAATTGGTCTTGCCAAGGCAAGCGGCCTCCATGGCAAGAGCTTGTTTATACGACATGCTGACAGTGAAGATGAAGCCAAGAGCGGCCCGTGCCTTAAAGACTTCTTTCCAATCAATAGTTACGGCACGCTTTATCATTCCCCTTATACCCTCCTATAGACAGTAGTAATATAGCTTTCTCTCCCCCGGGATACGCTGGAAGGGGTTGTGCTCCGGGACTGAGTTTGTTTACCATTCCCTACTTTACGTCGTTGCACGCGCTGGCACCGGCTTCGATCCCAAGATTGGGTTCTGCACAATGACGGGAATCGACGTTCCGTAACCGAGGTTGGAGCATGTGTAAGGGCCCGAGATGCTACTGTAGGTACAGACACCGGTTTTCGCACGGCGGCACGTGCTTGGGTACCAGGGAAGCCAGCCTGATAACAATTTGCGTATATGCAGGTGTTCGGGCATAAGCACCGGTGAGTGGCAGAACCGTCCGCCGAGGAAGCACCGCGAAGTGGCACGCCTGCAAAGCTGCGCCGCTGCGACAATTAACGCAGTATGCCCCAGCGCTGCTAACCCGGTTGGGGCAGTTAATCTCTGCTGGGGCTTCCCGGTGCGGTGGCCACATACCGTGGTAAGACGGACGCAACCAAATGCCTCGGTAAGGTGTTGATGTTGCCCAGGTCACTTCGGCCGCCGAGTGACAACTTCGAACCCGTGCATTGGATCCTACTCCGGGTACAACTACACAGATCCAGAAAACCAGAATAACATGTCTATACAAGCCGGGAGTTCAATCGTCGTGTTCCGAGTATGATCCAGGCGGCTTCTGGTGTGTATTCGCCTCCTGGAGGTGGAAGTTGATGCCACCGAGTCTGACGGCCAATTGCGACAAACCCGGAATACAACTCTTTACTGCCCGAAGAAAAGGCGTAGGGGACCTAGGGCAAATCTTTACGCATCTGAGTATCCACGGTCAAACAGTGTAGATTCCCGGGCGTCTCGGCTCTGTGCGCTACCTACTGGGCCAGCATCAGGTATGGCACCGAGACAAACTTTAGCACTGCGCCGCTCCATCGAAGGATAGAGCTGTTGGGAAGACCTCAAAGTGGTCAACTGGCTGCCCCTCCCTCTGCCGGCCCCGGGAAACAAAATGCCCTGGCTGCTTTTCCAGCGCGTGTTTCCCGACGTTGAATGGCAGGTGGCGGGAATGGTAATAGACATCGTCGGGCAGTGCTGCTAAGCGAAAGCATTATCCTGAGTTTGGATAGGGGTAACGCTTTCAATGTAATCTGGTATTCTAACCAAATGGGGGCCTATGAATGTAGAGAGTCAAACCCCGGGTTTTGCTAAATACACGAGAACCTGGAGCTCTACTACGTCGAGCCAGGAGCTGTCAAACTCTCCTGCTTGTGTTCCAGTTCAACGTTGACCGTGCGACTCGTCATTCAACACAGCACTATGGAGAGCAATTTGAAGTTGTATCTCTTCGGAGACCAAACCTTTGACATCCAGCCGCACTTGAGAGACCTTCTCGGCAAGAGACACAACCCCATCGTACAGAGCTTCCTGGTGAAAGCCTACGATGCCGTTCGAGCCGAGATTTACCAAGTGCCACGCCCGCTCCGGGACGACATGCCACGGTTCACCTGTCTCGAGGACTTGATCTTGTACGACCATGGCTCGAAGCGATGCCTTCCCCTCGACATGGCTGTTACCTCTTTGTATCAGCTGGGTGTATTTCTCGGGTACGTGACTTTACCAGGACATTCTGCTGTGCCGCTTGGCTAGATGCTTTGTGTGGATGCTAATCTACCGACTAAAAGCCAGGAGGCAGACACATGGCACTGTCCAGGGGCTAAGTCTAGCGTTCTCGGCCTCTGCACCGGGGCGTTAGCTGCGGCTGCCGTCAGTTCCAGTCGGAACTCGCTGGATCTCGTCCAGAAGGCCGTAGATGCAGTCACTGTCGCCTTCAGAATAGGAATGCGTGTGGCCGAGGTGGCGAAGAGAGTTACGTCTTCATTGAAGCCAGACCAGCACTGGTCAATCATCGTCCCCGGGTCCAAGGCCCACGAGATTATTGAAAAGTTCATTGAGCACACAGTGAGCAATGCCTACCCAGATTATTGACGTTGGATGGGTCGTCAGGTACCCATCGTATCTTGACTGTCAGCTAACCCCTCGTCTCATCAGACTTTGCCCCTGACAAGCAGGCCTTATCTCAGCGCCTTTGCACCGAACGGCGTCACTGTCAGCGGGCCCCCAGAATCGCTTGCGCAACTCGTCCAGGGCAACTTCAAGGAGGGGCAGTTCAAGAGTATCACAATCTACGGACCATATCATGCGCCGCACTTGTACTCTCAGTTTGATGTCAACGAAATTATCAGGGATCTGCCCTCGAGCAGCGCGAATTCGGAGACGGGCCATGCCAAACTCGCCTTCCTTTCGGGCGCCGGAGTGAAGACAGAAAATCAGGGTGATTTCACAACCCTCTTGAAGGATTCAGTGGGGCAAATTTTGCTCCAGCCAATTCGTTGGGGTGGCATCCTGGAAGAGTTGCAGACTTGGATCCAGAAGGCCGACGGCACAACCGCCAAGGCATTCACCGTGATTCCCATTGGAACCACTGCCGACCAGCTCATCTACACTGCGCTGAGACAGACGTCGTTGAGGACTGTGGTGCCTCCTCCTTTGATAGCAACCGGACGAAACAAACGCAGCTCCCTAGAGGGTGATGCGTCATCCTATCCGAATCCCTCGAAGCCCAAGCTTGCCATCGTGGGCATGTCAGGGCGGTTCCCCGGGGCCAAGGACAACGAAGCTTTCTGGCGGCTCCTGGAGCAAGGTTTGGATGTTCACAAGCCTGTTCCCCCGCTCCACTGGGATGCCAGAACCCACGTCGACCCGACCGGAACGGGAAAAAACACAAGCGCTACGCCATATGGCTGCTGGCTAGACGACCCCGCCGTGTTTGACGCGCGCTTCTTCAATATCTCGCCTCGCGAGGCACCGCAAATCGACCCTGCGCAGCGCCTTGCTCTGATGACGGCCTACGAAGCCATTGAACAGGCCGGCCTAGTCCCAGGCGCGACGCCTTCCACCCGACATGACCGCGTCGGAGTCTTTTACGGCGTGACAAGCAACGACTGGATGGAGACCAACAGCGCCCAAAACATTGATACGTACTTCATCCCCGGGGGCAATCGTGCCTTCATCCCCGGACGTATCAACTACTTCTTTAAGTTCAGCGGTCCAAGTTATGCAGTAGATACGGCCTGCTCGTCCAGCCTGGCAAGCATTCACCTGGCGTGCAACTCGCTATGGCGAGGCGATGTCGATACGGCCATTGCCGGCGGGACCAATGTCTTGACGAACCCAGACTTCACGGCCGGCCTCGACCGTGGCCACTTCCTCTCGCGCACGGGGAATTGCAAGACTTTTGATGACGAGGCTGACGGATACTGTCGGGGAGAAGGTATAGGCACTGTGATCCTGAAGCGCCTCGACGATGCCCTTGCCGATCACGATCCGATCTTGGGCGTCATCCTAGGTGCCTACACCAACCATTCAGCCGAATCCGAGTCCATTACTCGACCGCACGTTGGCGCCCAGCGTGCCATCTTCACCAAGATCTTGAACCAAGCTGCCGTGGACCCTTACACCGTTAGCTACGTCGAGATGCACGGGACAGGCACGCAAGCCGGCGATGCTGGCGAAATGTCGAGTGTTCTGGACGTCTTTGCGCCCCCACCGTCGCAGAGCAAGAGAGGACGAACCAGCGACGAGACTCTCCACATTGGATCAGCCAAAGCTAACATTGGCCACGGCGAGGCCGCCTCTGGCGTGTCTAGTCTCATCAAGGTACTTTTGATGATGCAAAAGAACACCATCGTCCCTCACTGCGGCATCAAGACGACGATCAACCGCAAGTTTCCGACCGACCTGCGGGATCGAAACGTCAGAATAGCCCTCAAACCGACGCCATGGAGGAGAAGCTCCAGCCCTTCAAAACCGAGGCGGGTGATGGTGAACAACTTCAGCGCAGCCGGTGGGAATTCGGCCCTGTTGATCGAAGATGCCCCCGCGACGCAGGAACCCGTCGCGACCGTAGACAATGACGCCGACCCGCGAAGTCCCCATCTCATAGCCTTGTCTGCCAAAAACGGGGTGTCCTTGCAGGGAAATCTTCGGTCCATGTCGGAATTCCTCAAGGAGAATCCGCAAGTCTCGCTTGGTCAGCTCTCATACACAACGACGGCACGTCGCATCCACCATCAACACCGTGTCATGTTTGCCGGCTCGAAGGTCGAGGAGCTGCGTACACAGATTGAAACGGCACTGCGGGATTCGGCGGGAATGACCAGACCCAAAAGCGCACCCAAGGTGGTCTTTGCCTTTACTGGTCAGGGCGCTCAGTACCCAGGAATGGGAAACCAGCTGTTCCAAACTTTGTCTTTCTTCCGCAGCGAGATCTGCCGGCTCGATCAGATCGCCCAGAAGCTGGGATTTCCGTCCATGCTGCCGTTCATTGAATCCGAGGAGCAAAACAGCGACGGGTTCGCCCCCGTCGTCGTGCAGACGGCCAACGTCTGCATGCAGATTGCTTTGAGCAAGCTTTGGCAGTCGTGGAATATCTCCCCCACCGCCGTCATCGGACACAGCCTGGGAGAGTACGCCGCTCTCAACACGGCTGGTGTGCTGTCGGACGCCGATACCATCTACCTCGTCGGGAAGAGAGCCCAGGCGCTTGTCGAGAAATGCACTCGCGATACCCATGGCATGCTTGTGGTCCGGGGATTGACCGATGAAATTGCGGCCGTCCTGGGAGACAAGGCCAGCTACGAAATCTCGTGCATCAATTCCCCGGTTGAGACGGTTCTCGCCGGTTCCAACGAGCAGATTTCTGTACTCAAGGATTTGCTCACGGATGCGGGCATGAAGACAACGCCGCTCAAAGTCCCGTTTGCGTTTCATTCCTCCCAGATGGACCCGATGCTACCGGACCTGTGGCAACTGGCCAGTTGTGTCACGTACAACAAAGCAAAGATTCCTGTCATTTGCCCCTTGGATACGCAGGTCCGTTATCATGGCAACGACGATGACGGCTTCATGTTCGGCCCGGATTATCTTGTTAGTCATACGCGCAAACCAGTCAACATGCTCGGGGCACTCGCAGGAGCGCACGCACGCCAGGTCATTGGCGACCAATCTACCATCCTAGAGATCGGCCCACACCCGGCCATCTCGGGCATGGTAAAAGCCCTCCTCGGGACTCGGATCCCATGCCTCCCCTCGGCGCAGCGTGGCAGATCGGCCTGGCAGGTCCTAGGTGGGAGCATCAAATCTCTCTACACTGCCGGGGCCGACATTGCATGGGCAGAATACCACCACGGTTTCAAAGCTTCGCACAAGGTCCTTCCGTTGCCGGCGTACAGCTGGGACCTGAAGGAGTACTGGATTCAATACGTCAACGACTGGTCCCTGCGGAAAGGGGATCCGCCCCTGGTCGTCAGCAGCGGTAGCTCAAGACTGGAGAGCACCACCATCCACAGAGTTGTCGAGGAGACACACGACTCTGCGGACCGAACCCGTATTGTCGTCGAGGCGGATATCGCACGCGAGGACCTCAGCCCGCTCGTCCAGGGCCACGAGGTCGATGGCATTCCGCTCTGTACTCCGTCAGTGTATGCGGATATTGCGTTGACCCTGGGCACGTACCTTCAGCAGCAACGCCGGCAGCGAGCAAACGACATGGGGAATCTCGTCGACGTGTCCGACATGACCATTTCGAAAGCCTTGATCCTCCGGGCCGGCGCAGACAAGCAGCCCCTTCAGGCGCACGCCGAGGTCGATTGGTCTTCTCAGTCGGCGACCGTCAAGTTCATGTCCTTTGATAGCAAGCAAAAACTGCAGGAACACGCGCGCTGTCTGGTCCATTTCGACAAGGATCGAAAGGCCCTGCAGCAGGCGCTGCAGGCGAACACGGCCAGCGTGAAGCAAAAGATGCAGGCTCTCCGGGACGGCATCGCGGCGGAAACCACAGCCCGCTTCAACCGACCCATGGTGTACCGCGCCATCCGGCCGCTGGCCCGCTTCCATGACGACTACCGCGCCATCGACGAGATCGTCCTAAACAGCAAGACGCTGGAAGCCTCGAGTCGTCTCAGCTTCGGCAGTGTCAAGCGAGGTGGGAACTTCCATACCCATCCGGCCATCATCGACGCCCTGACGCAGTCCTGCGGCTTCACCATGAATTGCAACGACAACACCGACTTGGATAACGAGGTCTTCATGAACCACGGATGGGGTTCGCTGCAATTGTTTGAAGAGATGGACTTTGACAAAGTGTACACGACATACACACGGATGGAGGAGGGGAAGGATAAGCTGTGGCATGGCGATGTGATCATCTTTGACGGGGACAAGGTTGCGGCGTATTTTGGGCAGATCGCGGTCCGTTTCCCTTCTTATTTGACAATGCCGAGAGTTACGATAGTGTGGCTAACTTCTCCGATATCCAGATCCAAGGCGTACCACGTCGAGTCCTCAAGGTCATCCTCTCGATCGAAAGCGGCGTCAAATCGTCCCAGAAGCAGCAAGCTGCGCCAGCAAAAGCCAACCAACAGGAACATCCGTCCATCAGAGCAGGACGAGTTCCTGCTGCAAATGGCAACTTTGCCAAGGCGCTCGCCATTATAGCTGAGGAGAGCGGGCTTGCTGTGGCCGACTTGGAAGCCGAGGGCGTCGTCTTCAGTGACGTCGGCATTGACTCTCTGCTGGGACTGACCATCTCGGCTCGTTTCAAGGAGGAACTCGACCTCGATCTAGACTTCAACGCCCTGTTCTACGAGTACCCCACCGTGGGCCACCTGAAAGTGTTCTTGGGGGGTGCCGGTCACGATCCGACATCAAATAGTGGCAGCGACACCGAATCACGGTTCCCGTCTGCGCCGAGAAGCACTACGACGGGAGCCACCACGCCTGATGCCAGAGTCGATTTTCAGCGCGCCCTTCAGATCATCTCGGAAGAAAGCGGTATCGAGGTCAAAGATCTCACCGACAACACGAGCTTCGCTGACGCCGGCGTGGATTCTCTGCTGTCGTTGGTCATCGCCAGCCGGTTTCGGGACGAGCTTGACCTGGACATGTCGCATGAGCAGCTTTTCCTCGAGTGTCCGACCGTGGAGGATTTGAGAAAGATGTTGGCTGGAAATGAGATTGACAGCGGTCTCGCAAGAGATTCCGGCGCGGATGGCTTGGTTGGCAACTTGAACACTGAGAAAGTGTCCGCCAGACTTGCCGCCGAAGCATCTGGGCCTTCTTCCGAGTCGACGACGTTGAGGGATCGCCCTGCACACAGCGACCCGGGCGAGAGTGCTGCTGCTGCTGCTGCTGCCGCTCCCGCGGCGGTTCAGGCTGCTCAAGTTGCCCAAGCCGCCCTTGAAGCACGCAGGGCAGCTGTTGACGCATATGTTCGGAAGTACGTTGCCGGCTTCTCTGCGCCCGGTCAAGTTGTTTCACTTTCGACTGGTACCGCACCAAGTGGCGACGAAAAGGTGGTCCTGGTGACCGGCGCATCCGGCAGCCTGGGAAGCAACCTGGTGTACCACCTCGCGCAACTTCCCGACGTGAAGACGGTTGTCTGCCTGAACCGCGAGAACAAACTGGAGCCCTACCTCCGTCAACAGAAGGCCATGCGGGAGAAGGGTATCCGGTTTCCCGAATCTCTAATGTCTAAGCTGCTTGTCTTGCAGACGGATAGCTCAAAGGCCATGCTGGGGCTGTCGAAGAGCCAGTATGAGGGCCTCGCAAAAACAGTCACGCACTTGATCCACAACGCGTGGCCCATGAGCGCGAAGCGCCCCCTGGCCGGCTTTGAGTCGCAGTTCCAGACTATGCGGAACCTCATCGACCTCGCCTGCGACGCCGCGTCTCAACGCCCAGAGTCCTTCCTGTTCAGCTTTCAGATGGTGTCTTCCATCGGGGTGGTTGGGCACTATGGTCTCGGCAATTGGGATGGAAAGGGGAAAACCGTGGTGCCAGAGAGCAGGGTGGATATCGACTCCGTCCTGCCCAACGGCTACGGTGACGCAAAGTGGGCATGCGAGAGGATGCTCGACGAGACGCTGCACAGGTACCCCAGCCGCTTCCGCACCATGGCTGTCCGTCTGGGCCAGATCGCCGGTTCCATGACTAGTGGGTATTGGAACCCGATGGAGCACTTCGGGTTCCTGGTCAAGTCATCGCAAACACTCAACGCCCTCCCAGACGTGGACGGCACCGCCTACTGGACTCCCGTCAACCAGGTCGCGGCTGTCCTGTCGGACCTGGTTCTTAACCCCAATACTCCCAATCCCTACCCCGTCTACCACATTGAGAACCCCGTCGGGCAACCGTGGCGGAAGTTGAACGCCATTCTCGCGGATGCGCTCGGGATTCCGAATCTGATCCCGTTCGGGGAGTGGGTTGAGCGCGTGCGGACGGCACCTGCGAAGAACAACCCGGCCGCGACCTTGTTGGAGTTCTTGGATAGTAATTATCTCCGTATGTCGTGTGGCGGGCTGGTTCTGGATGTAAAGCATAGTCTGGAGCACTCCAAGACCTTGCGTGCCGTAGGCCCGGTGAGCGAGGAAGTTGTGAGGAAGTACATTCACATTTGGAGGGAGATTGGTTTCATACATTAGGAGGGTGGACCAAGGGATTATATCAAAAAAAAAAAAAAAAAATGGGTTTCCTTTTTTTTTTTCCCTATTGGTGCCAGCGATAGAGAATCCACTTTTGTTCTTCTGCGTTCTTTCGTCACAGCCTAGGTGAGGTACTGCATGAGGTCGACTCATGCTCCAAATCTACGTCAAATTGTCAATCCTTTGAAAAGGCTTAACAACCGTAACGTTTCAAACATGATGGCAATATAACGTTACCAGTCTCGTGTTTTTTGTCACTGCCGGCATTTTTCGAACCTGACACCACGTTCCATCCGACCATCCCCGTCACATCAGACCGGAGGTTCGACCGATGCCAAGGTACCTTGACGCATATATCTGCCCACCTAGGAGGATCTGGAATTTTTCCAGATCGATGGTCCCTACTTCTGTACAGAGGGTCCGTGAACCAGGAGGAAGAAATACCGCAGCGTCACATCGAGTCCGGGACTCAAGTTCCATTTGCCTAGCCAGAGGACTGCTTCCCAGTTTATCTGCTTTCCATTGCTATCAAAAGCTGTGCCAAAGGCAGCAGCCTCTTATAGCTGAACTCCATACTCTTCAGGCCCCTTTCACTTGAACTAGGTACTGGTTGAGCCACATCATACTCCGAGAGCCGATGGCCAGCTCACTACCAACCAAGTACTTTATGCAGCAATTCCCGGCAACAAGGAGTGAGTAAAGTTCCAGATGAGCGATGAGCTGTGGGAGATGAAGGCGGCTCCGGTGTACCAAGTGTCACGGCGACCTTGGACTATTGGCATGTTAGTGATTTTTAGTTCGGTCCCATTGAAGACGGCGACCCTAAGCCTATAGTGAATGAAGAATTGGGAACTAAGAGCTAGTACTTACGCGCTTTCAACTCTTGATAAAATCCACCAGTAACCGCCTGGGCCGGAACCACAAGCTTGAACGGAGTGTTGCTGCGGAACTCGACGAATGTGGGAGGTGTGGTAACGGTTGAGTTGAAAGTGTGACGCAGTCGTTTTATCACAGCCGTGACATCTGCCTTAACTTCGGCTTCGGTCATATCATGGGGACTGCCGTACCAGACGTAGAAGAGCCCCGGGATGCGCGTCCCGGTGATCTGATACGGGGCAGGGAGGTTGGGGATGCTGAAGGTGCCTGCTGAAGAGTTGACGGCGTTTGCGAACTGGAACCCAGATGGCAAGCCGGTGTTGTTGACTAGCATGCTGAAGTAGTTGCTGTAGCGCCATTGAGAGAAGAGACGTCGTTCGGTGGAGTCGAGGTCGAAGGGGGCCACTGCGGTGTGGGTGGTGAGTACGCTTTGATCGGGCGTTGACATTGCTCACGGGAGGACTTACGGTTGTTTAGGAGAGGCGGGATGGTGATAACCAGCTTGGAGGCTTTGATGAGCTTCCGGCCCGAACCACTTTTGACAATGAGGCGCACGCCGCCGTGGTTGGAAGACCGTTTGGAGGCTACGATAGTCGATGACAGAAGAGTGTCTGAGCCCAATATGGCCAAGGCTTTGTCATACAGCTCGCCGTTGTTGCCGCTCACGGGCATCATAGCCGCTCCGGTCATGGAGTTCAGATACGAATCGTCAATCATCTTGAAGACGTTCACTGTCAACTGCTGGAGGATGTTGGTGCATCCCTGGCCACCAAAGTAGACGCCGTAGCCGACGCCCTCAATGTTGTACTTGGTGAGAAATTTTCCGAATGGCAGAAGCAAATCCTCCGGCACCGGTGAAGGGAGATCCCAGCTGTAAGCAAGATAGGGGTACTTGTGAAGCTGCTCCGCGTACCCGGCAAAGCCAGGGCTTTTCGGAGCGGAGACTGGTTTTCCCGTCTTGAAGTCTGCATACGTTCTTGTCACGGGGTTGGGCTGGAAGGGGCCCATGAGGACACCGAGAAGAGAAAGGTAATCTCTGGCCGCAGAGACTGCCGGGCCAAGAACTGTTAGCATTGGCTCTTTCTTGTCAGTAACACAAGATCCAACCGATGCAACGTACTGTTGTAGATCGCCTGCAGGCCCCAGTTGATGGTTACACCCGTTGATGGATCGGCATAAGTGTAGGTGTGGCCGCCAAGGCGGTTGTTCTTCTCGACAACAATGACGCTCTTTCCAAGCGCACGCAGGTTGATAGCGGTGTAAGTGCCACTGGAGCCGCCGCCAATCACAGCGACGTCGCGGGTGATGACATCGTGGCTGGCGTAGGATCGATCGTCAAACAGGTCCGCCGTCCTGGGCCCGGGTGCAAGGGCGCACGACAGCGGCCCCCAAGAAAGCGCCGCGATCAAAATACAAGTCCTCATGACGGGTGAATGTACTTGCAGCTTCTCTTAAAAATGATGCAAAAAATGATGAGCGTCTATTCCCCGTGACATATCACGATCTAGGTACGTTCTACTAGCACTTAAACTCGAAGCTCGCAATTATATGTGACATGCAAAGAACCTAGTATACTATGGTAGTGCGCGCTCTTTGCCGTCGTGGATGACCGACAAGGCTCAGCAGCTGTTCCCCGTCTGTACGCAGGAAGCGTTCTCGGAAATCATAGCTTTGTTCGTGGTCATGGAAAATGAGTCGCATTCGGGATTAAATGGCCTAAGTGGGTCGTCGGGAAAGTGCCGTCGGGTTTCAAGAATCGTACTGTACGTTGAAACAGACCCGAATGGGAGTGTACCTATTGTGCAACCCCAGAGGAAAGTAACGTTAAAGCTTTGCGATACCCAAGTATCCCGGACAAAAGATGATGGCGCGGGTGGTGAAAGGCACATGTGGATTCCGGAGTTAAGCCGGGGTTCAAGACTACCTCACCGGAAAACTTAAGGAAATGAGGCGCATTCTCGATTGCCGGTTACTGTACCACCAGTAAAGTATTCGGGAAGTGCTATCATCGGGTTTCAAGAGTTGTACGGAGTTGAATACTGTAGCAATTGGGACACGGATTTAAATGGGCGTGTCCCGGAGTTAACCTCTGGTTTTAGTTGGGTACCGCGTGGTCGAGAATGAGAAAGGTGCATTTGGGTTCAGGCGGGGTACTGTAATAATCTAAGTTGCAAGGACAAGTGCAATCGGGGTTCAAAAGGCCGCGGCCAATTTTTCAGTGAATACTACCCGAGTCGAGTCGAGCGTATGGTCCGAGAGTAACAGCCAATGCGGCGCCGGGTATTGGACTCCGGAGTTAAGCTCGGCGTTGAGACTCGCTTTCGTCAACGCCAACGCCAACTACACAGAAGCATCACAAGATAGACGCGAATCCTCACTCGGTCGTATTCATTAGAGGATACCGTTCATCGCCGCCACTATGGAGAACGACCCAGGAAAACAGGAAGTCAATCCGGAATCCACGGGTTCTCCCGTGACGGACAGCGGCGCCGGCGTCGACCCGGTCAACCCAGTCCGAACCAAGAGAACCAGGGTGCAAGCTGGCCTCCTCATGACCTCTCTATGCGTGAGTGCCCTTCTGTTGCTCACCGAGGTTGCTGGCTCGTGTCTTGGCAAGCGCTAACACTTTCTGCTCCCATAGATGGCTGTCTTCCTTGCCGCGCTTGACATCACGATCATTGCGACCGCGTTACCGACCATCTCTGACCACTTCCACTCCACATCCGGCTATACTTGGATTGGCTCTGCCTTCCTTCTTGCTGCTGCCGTCGTGGCACCGAGTTGGGGCAAATTCAGCGACATCTGGGGCAGGAAGGCGATTCTGTTGATCGCCGTGGGGGTATTCTTCTTGGGAAGCGCGCTCTGCGGTGCTGCTGTCAGCCTTTCCATGCTGCTTGTGGGCAGGTCCGTCCAAGGAATCGGCGCAGGTGGCCTACTCTCTCTAGTCAGCATCGTCGTCGGTGACCTCTACCCCCCAAGGTGAGTTCCTAAGGCCTCTCTGTCCAGACAATACCAGTCCATCCCCGGACTAACCAGTGCTCTCTCCAGAGAACGTGGCAAATACTACGGAATCGTGGGCTTGGTTTGGGCCATTGCTTTCACGCTCGGCCCACTCGTTGGAGGCGCCTTCACCAGAGGCGTATCATGGAGGTGGTGCTTCTACATCAATCGTGAGTCCCCATCAATGCCGGCCCAGGATAGCGCACAGGCCGATAACTAACCAAATCGACACCGCAGTGCCTATTGCGGGCGCCGCATACGTTATGATTGTGTTCTTGCTCAAGCTAGAAACGCCAAAAACCCCCTTCGTCGCGGGCATCAAGGCCGTCGACTGGATCGGCAGCTTCGCGTTGATCGGCGGCACGTTGATGTTCCTCCTCGGGCTCGAGCTAGGGGGTACCACGTACCCGTGGAGTTCGGCTACCGTCATCTGCCTGATCGTCTTCGGACTCCTCACCATCATTCTGTTTGTTGAAGTGGAACGGGACTTTGCGCGGTATCCCATCATCCCTATCCATATATACTCGAGCGTCTCCAACTTCGCAATTTTTGCTGTCAACCTTCTCCACGGCATTGTTTTGACCCAAAACACATACTTCCTCCCTCTCTACTGTCAGTCGGTCCTCGGAGCAGAGCCATTCCTCTCTGGGGTGTTGCTGCTCCCGTTTGCAGTCTCCATGTCGGTGGCAACGGTGGGAGCGGGTGCCTACCTCAAGAAGACCGGTCGTTATCTCGACTGCATCCACCTTGGCTTCGGCTTACTGGTTTTGGGCGTCGGGCTCTTCCTCGACCTTCCCAGCTCGACTAACTGGCCAAAGATCATCCTCTATCAGATCCTCTCCGGCTTCGGTATCGGACTGAACTTCCAGCCTCCGCTTATCGCGCTACAGAACAATGTCCCGGTAGGGGACAATGCCGCGGCAACAGCCTCGTTCGGTCTTGTCCGCAACGTCGCCAGCGCCATTGGTGTAGTCATTGGGTCGGTGGCTTTTGCGAACAAGATGAACGACCAGCAGGACCAGCTCAGGGATACACTAGGCTCTTTCAACAGCACCCTCTTTACCGGCAGCAATGCGCAGGCCAATGTCCTGCTCATCAAAACACTACCCGATGACTCCCACCAGGAGCTTCTCCGCCATGTTTTCTGCATCTCTCTGCGAAGTATATGGATCATAGCCGTCTCCTTTGCGGGAACGGCACTGTTGATCAGCCTTCTCATCAAACACAAGAACTTACAAAGCAAGCATGTGGAGGTGAAAACGGGACTGGCAGGGGAAGAGGAGCGCAGAAAGATAGCGCTGGAACAGAGAGCGGCCAAAAGACAGCCCAAAACCGAATCGGTGTCGGCATAAGAAGAGCATGTTGTTCTCGACGGAGCCGTTACAGAAGCATGCAGAATGCTGGCCGGCTAGCTTGTAATTAGAATGTTCAGTTAGCATAATTAGATGAGGACTAACGTTAACTATTTCGAACCTCAACATTATCATAAGTTTCTAGAGAGGATGTGAAGTCTGCATTATCGCATAACACCAATGTTTTTGTAAAATTCTAGCTGTAGTTCATCATCAAAGCCATGGGATTCAGAGAATGAGTCCGATTTTCGCATTTACATCTCACGCTTTCAAGTCAGGAACCCAATCCCAGGCCTTGTCGAGTCCTCCATAGAACACCCATCTCATTTGGTTCTTCGTCACCATCTCCCCGCCCTGTCCTACCCGCTTGGTCATGGCTTCTGCGACTGCCTCGGGCATCAGGTGGTGGCCGTCGGGCTCGAACGCCCTTTCAACCGAGTCCACCGCCATGTGCGCGATCTTGATGAAGTCCTTCTTCGCGATAGGAGATCCTGGCGCCGGGTCTCCCAGGTTTTCCACACTGAATAGGGCCCGGATCAACTTGGCCACATGCCCTTCGTCCTCGTACTCAATAGCCCGATGGAACAAGTCCGCCCAGCCATGCTCCGGATACTTGGGCACATAGTCGATGATCCGCTGCGGATACAGCGGAGGACAAGCGCAGCCGGCATACATCACGGCGTCGATCCGTGCCGTGGCCTCCAGCAAGCGCGCCTTGTCCTGGTCCGAGAGCCAGCCCAGCGCCATAAAGGCCGGGTAAAACACAGACAGCGTGACAGTGTGCAGGAGCACGAAATCAATGCTCTCGCGCTTGCCCGGCCGCTGCGCCGCGCCCATCATGTAGGCACACGTCTGCATCATCTCGACCATCTTGCTCTGCAACTCGTCCGATGTGATGGACGTGTCGACGCGGAATTGGGCGAGATAGGGCGCGAACTGTTTCCCGGATACGCGCTTGAGCAGACCGTCGGGAATCTTGTTGAAGGGATCAGAGTACTTGACCCCCGAGGAGATGACGGGGTCTTTCCTGAGGCTGCGGAGGATGTCGAGGAGGGAGGTTGACGGTGGCAGTGTGGAAGGTGACTTGGACCGGATGTATTCTTCTGTAGGGAGGAGGACTTGCTTCGGCCAGTCGCCGTGAACGCAGGCTGCCGCGAGGGCTTCGGCAACGAGGCTCGGTTGGTTGAACTCGAGGGCGCAACCCAGGTGGATTATTGGGTGGACAAGGTCTGGTTTTCCGGGCAGGAGTTGTTAGTAAGAGGCCGGTGTGTTTGTCGGTTCTGGTCGGAGCAACGAGTCCTGAGCGAGCGGAGGGGCCAAAAAGAAAAGGGCGAACGGTTTACCTGTAAACATGCGGCAGAAGATATCGTTGGCCAGCTCATCGCCCTTGAAGACGTACTCCTTCACAACAGCGGGGACGCCCTTCTCAGCGACCTCATCTTCGAAGAATCTGAGAAAGTCGTAGTAACATTCGTTCCTTCCGAGGCATTTTCTGAAGAGCACTGGGTCCTTGAGGTCGATCAGGTCTACTACTACCGGTGCCAGCGATGCTTGGTAGGCGATGTTGTACTCCCACATGTCTTGAATCTCCGTCGGCGACGCACCCAAGGCCCAGAGAGCTAGAAGGTGATGGACAATGTGGTCTAGGTGAGAGCATGGAAGTCAGTCTGTTTTGGTATTCATTGCTGGAGAGATGGGTGGGGGGGATATCTGCTTACTGTGTAGACCACCATTGAACCTGGTGTGGTACAAGCCATGGTTGATTGTGAGCAGCTCGGATGCTTTCTTTGCGCTTTCCTCTGTGAGACCAGGGGCGTGTGTGTAGCCTGGTGTGAGAGTAGGGGAGAGCTGGATGGTTTTCACATCCGGCTGGGGGTGGCCGTTTTCCATAGTGATCGGAAGCAGCAAGGGGCCAAGTCAGTATTGATATGATAGATTATACAATGAAGTGCCATCCAAATTAGTGTAGGAAACAAGTGAGGTGTCTTGTAAACGCACTGAGATGTGGAATATTTGAATCAAGTCAAAGGTGCATTTGGCTGTGGAGTTCGGAGTGCTTATCTCCGTTTCTTGGTCTTTCGGGGGACGATTTCTGAGACACTGCTGAATGCATGCATCAGCGTTCTCGGCTGCCGACGATCGCTCCCCGATTTTACCAACATCGGCACCTTCAGAAGCTGTTTTACCCAGATATCGATTTGCAGTGCACAAAGGCTGCAGATGTTGTAAAAAAGTGTACCTTCGGCGGTTTATGCTTGATATGCCGTCAAGTCAAGATGGAAAGCTTTGAACGGCAAGCAGAAAGGGGGGAGGGGACACTAGAAGCGGGATTTCAATCAGTTAGAAGACAACTTGGAAATAGATCATGATCACTCTTGCCAGGATTTGAGGTCAAATCCATGTCCCGCTTGAGACCAGTTATAGTGAGAAGTATGTACTTTACGCAACTGTCCCCTCCTCCATACCCCTCTCAGGATCTAGAGCCACTTCCAAAACAGACATGGCACTTCCAAGCGGCTGGACAACGCCCACTAACTTTGCTCTGGGATCGGCCAAGCCAAGCAAGTACTCAAAATCGTCGAGACTTCTCTCCTTGCTATTAAAAGCCTGCATCATAGTCAAGTCCCTCGCCCTAACAATGCGCTCGACAGAGATGGGCACTGAGCCCGGCTCCGGAAGCATGGTTTCCATGATCAGCAGCCGTGATTTCTTCACGTCCATTGCCGCGACAATGTTTCTCACTACCTCTGCGGCTTTGTCGTCTGGCCAGTCGTGCAGTATCATTCGTAGAAGATAGACGTCTGCGCCATGTACCGGCTGCGGTTTCGTGAAGTCATGGCCCTGGAAGGAAAGGCGAGACGTGATGCTCTCGGGGTGTGTCTTGGCCGCCGATTTTCTCCCGTTCTCAGCATTGGCGGGCAGATCCTGGACTATGAATGTGAGGTGGGGAAAAGCTTCGGCGAGGGCTATCGCGGAGCTGCCGGTTGAGCCTCCGACCTTTTGAGCGGTAAAGTACGAGTCAGTCACAATCTGAATTTCGATACTCGGTCTTCTTTCTGGGATGTCGACAGGCAGGAAGAACTCACATCAACGACAATCCCTCCATCAGGAATATCCCGCCATCGGAACCCCGACACAAGGTGCTTGAGATGCATAGCATCACTGCTTCTCACGTTCTTCATGTACGCGGCAAACTCGCGCATCTTCGTTTCGTCTCGTGAAATGTGGTCGAAGAAGGGCAGATCAGTGTCGAAAGCTACGTTGTATGCCGTTTCGTATGGGCGCACAGTGGCCGGTCCCCAGCGCTGGTGCGCCGCCCCCAGGTGCATGGCCATCAGGGCTGATCGACTGCACATGTACGTGGCGTAGGCGTACACGTTTTCATTGCGAGCCAACAGCGCTGAGATTGCGGAATGCATGATGTGTGTGCCCCCGTCTTGCTCGCGGAAAACAGCATTTGTCATGGCCATGCGAGCGATGCTTATGAGGCGTCGCTCTGGGACGCCAGCAGCCACAGCGAGGTCTGCATAGCTGATTGGAATGCCTGTCAGGGGGACGAGGTGAAAGATCCGAAACCTGCACAGCCAGTCGAGACAGGAGATGTATTGAAACTTTGGAGAATGATGAGCATTGCGATCGACTTCGAATTCGGCATTCTGGAAATACCGGGGAGGAGAGATAGGGCGGGAAGCATGAGAACAAGTTTGGGCTCTCGACTTACACTTGTGCTGAGATTGGGCAAGAACTCGCTGGGCCCGATTGCAAGTTGCAGAATTTCGAGAGACGCTGAAATAAGTCTCTGGCGTGCCTGTTGGATGCCACGCGGTGAATCATTGGGGAGGATGGTACTGGGCCCGTCGGCGTCGAGGGACGGCTGGGGAAGATGGTTGGCGTCCAGGTACTGGCTCACAATGCTAGCATTCTTGGTTATTGTCCAGCTTAGCTCCTCGAGAGGGAACCCTTTTCCGAGCGCGCCGTTTGTTTGCTTTGACGTCATGACGAAAGACAAATTCGAGCGGGCTTGTGTTGTACTACCGTGTCTGGCAAAGACTCTTCTGCTTTACAATGGACTTGTATACGGATATGCCTGTCGCGACGATGTGCACTTAGTTGAATGCGTGCCAAGGAATATGGACTTGAGGAAAGAGATAATCGTCTACGAACTGCTATCTCCCGAACGGCAACCGAGAAGGTCTCGGGTTGGGTGGCATTTGCTCCCGCCTGTAAGACGGCCCAGCCGACCGTGACACGGATCGGCATTATTTAATATCTCCCGATAAGCGCGGCACCATTGGCTCCCACTTCCCATGCACCGTTCACACCTGGAGACGCCCTCCGAGAGCTCATTGCTCCAAAACTTGTACACCGCTAGGATTTTTCCCTGCAGGGTAGTGTGCCGAGGGGATTGGCAGTCGCTTGGACAGCCTTCCAGCATGCATAACCTGAACAAGGCAAAAGTCCCCTCGGAGCCCTCTGGAGCAACACATGTCCAATTTAGCATGCACAGCCTTTGTCGGGGTCCGAAGAGAGCAACATAACAACACGCAAAAACAACCGGGGTGTACTTGGACATTCGGCGTCTTCAACTCGCAAATACCGCTTCACCAAGGGCAGGAAGAAGAGAAGCATTTGAACAGCTTGCAAGAGGATACTTGTAAGGTACGCACGGTCAGGGTTTGGCTAATATAACCCTGAGTTTCGCTGACGAGCGCCCTAACAAGAGCGCATTGAAGAAGTACAGAGCAGACTAGGCTCGTTGCCAGCACTTACCTTAACTCTTGCGTAACGCCCTGGACGCAACATTGAAGACCCTTCCTTCAAGATGCCCGCAGACACTACCTCGGACAAACTCCTCATTACAATCGGCGCAGGAAAGCAGAGCATTGCGCTCCTGTCAGTCCTTGTGCCCAAGTGGAAGAATATCCGTCTCGGTGTGCATTCTGACGGATCAGCGGCGCGACTCACCGGCGAGTTCCCCGACGCCGAGATTGTTAAGGCAGATCTCGACGACATCAAGTCTGTTGAGAAACTGGTTAACGGCGTGAACGTGATCTACCACTTTGGCCCCAGCCTCCATCCGCGCGAGGCCGATCTCGGGATACGAGTGGTTGATGCCGCGGCTGCCGAGAACCGTCGCAATCCCGGCGTCATTAAACACTTCGTCTTCTCCTCGGTTGCCGGTCCTCAAATACGCAAGCTGCCCAATCATGCCTGCAAGGGCCTGGTCGAGGAGGCCCTGATGGAGAGTGGTCTTCCTTACACGATCCTCCAGCCGGGGTTTCGCATGGATGCGTTCCCGCTCAAGGCAATTTTGGGACAACAGAACGCTGAAGACCCCAGCGCCCCCATCATCTACAAATCTGCCTGGCGTCCGGAGGTTGTCACATCGTTTGTGACACTGCGCGATCAATCCGAGGCGGCCAAGGTGGTTCTCGAGGAGAGGGAGAGACATTTTTATGCTACCTACCAGCTCGTGTCGACACCGGTGCCGATGCCGTACATCGAATTTGTGGAACGAGCAGTTGGAACGGCACGAAGGAAAGTCATGGTCGGGTATAAGGGCTTCGAGGAAGCTGTGGCGTTTTATCTGAACATTATCTTTGGAAGCGAGGAGCGGGCGGACCCCGAAGTTAGAGACGGGCTGCAGCGAACGTTGTTGTACTACAACCACCGGGGTCTGTTGGGTAGCTCGACGCAGCTGGAGTGGTTGATTGGACGCAAGGGCCAGAGTGTCGAGGAGTGGGCGAGGACGGTCCTTGGACTGTGACGCATTGGAAATGCAAGGCACCTTGAACACAATGTTATTGTGCTTGTCGCCGCCAGGTCTGTGCAGAGCTAAGGGCGATTGTCCACAACCGTCCCCTCTCTATACAGATCTGGCATGGAAATTTTTGGGCGGGTTGGAAGATAGGTACCTTTTAGTAGATGCAGTGGTTTAGCAGCTATCTCGCAAAAATTGTCAATGGGTAATGCTGAAGTGTTCACGAGTTCACACGAACTCTCTTGCCGGATACTCTTTGCCCAACAGCGATCCCAGCCCATCGATCTTATCCTCCATCCTCTTCTTAGACGCTTCTAGGTCCGGATACATATCCCACCAGCAGTGCGAAAAGCCAGCATACAAATCCATCCTCGTAGCAATCCCACACTCCTCCCTCAACAGCCGCTCATAAATCAGACTATCATCCCGATTCGTATCCGAACCACAAACCGGAAAATATTATTATTATTCCTACACCATTGTGCCCTAGGGCGTGCCGGACCTTCAACAACTTACTATACAGGAAAACCGCGCCCTCGTGGGCCGGGTGAAAAACCCATATCGACAATCAAGAAAACGATCAGTGTGTGATCCTGCAAATACAAAGTGAGGAGGCCTTTTGGCCTTCGAAGGAAAGGGATATCAGACCGCGAGCTCCAGCTCCAGCCTCCTGGCCAGACCGTACATCGGCAGTTTCCCCAAGTTCATCAGCCAGTCCAGGATCCTCCCCGTTAGCCGTGCAGCTTTGGGACTGATTCCCTGTAGAACAGAATAAAAGTCCCTCCGCGTTCTAACCTCGGCTCTCTCCCATCTTCGAGTCAACGGTGGGGCCAAGCACCACATCACAAGGTGTTCGACAGTCTCTCGCCCTTTCCCACACTCGCAGCTGGGCGTCAAGACCTCCGGGACGCCCTGTTTGAAGAGGAAGTCCCGGAGGCTTATAGCCCCAGTTCGGGTCTGTACCAGCAGTGACCTTGTTGTATTGATCAGGCCCTCGTGCTTCTTTAGAGTCTTGTCTTTGAACAGCGTCTCCTGGTGGTAGTCGAAGTCGTCGGCTGGCTCGTGGCTGTCCGGCCGTCTCGTTCCTTAAGCCACCTCTTTCTTCAGGCCTCTTCCATTACCCTGTCCGTGTCGGCTGTCCCCCCGTCCAAACCGCAATTGTGATGGCGGCTTTTCCACTGCTGTGGCCTTCTGCGGACCGGGGGCTCGCGGTCGACCCCTGCTGGCCTTCCTCGAGTTGATTCTCCGGTATATCTTGTCGCAGGCCGCGTGGACGGCGCTTCCTGCGGTGGAGTGATAAATAGCGTCTGGCAATAAGAGCGAAGATTGTTATTGCGTTACATGAGTATACTACACGGCCGAGACCAGATTACTGATACCGGCGATATGTCGCGAGAACAGACCGGTTCAACATGGAGCTTTCCAGTTCAGTATAAGAACGTGTAGCTCCAAATGTCATTGCGGCCATCATAGTCTGCAGTATACCACTCTTTGCCGTCCGGGCCTTCACGAGTCAAGTTGCAGGCCATGGCACCCGATATCATCTCATTCCAGTTCATATCCAGACCCAGAGCCGTCGCCATCATATCGCATCGGACGAGCAGTTGCCAGCAGTACTCGACATACTTTGCCAGCTCCTCCTCGTTGAACCGATGGAAGGGGTGGTGCTGTACCTCAAGTCGTGCTGTTGTCGGCCCAAACTCGGCCGTTTCCATGATTTCCGCGACCAGCTCCGCCGGCACGCCTCTGTCGCGCAGAATTTGCCCCGTTCCGGAGGGATACACACCGCGGTCCTTTTGGTTTTGGGGCTGGACATCAGGCTTGATGACATAACCATCTTCCCTCTGGTTGATGCCGAAAAACTGCCAATGTGGATATGCTGCGAGTTCCGAAGTCGTTTTCTTGGCTTCGTTGAACTTCTTGAGCATATAAAGATAGCCGCTCATCTGGCGGTAGTCGTTCTCGTCGGTCCTGCCTGACTTCAGATCCCATGTCTCGGGGAAAAAGTGGATGAGATTGAAGGCCATGTACGGCAACAATGCCGTCTTGTAGATCAGATCCCAGCCAGCGTCGTCTCCCTTTTGACTGGCAGTTAGTATGACACAAAGTAAGCCCAGGACACCGAAGTGTCAAACCTAAATAAGCGAGTGGCTCTTACCAAGCATTGACAGTTGCCGTTGGTCTGCCATGTCCGCAGGTCCACCTCGGGAGACGCACACACGCGCAGGATAATGCCCATCTCGCCATAAAGAAGCAACGTCTTAACGAGTTCGAGGTTGTAAAAGGACCTTCCATTATGATCTTCGAAATCGAAGCAACTGTTGTATTCCTTTTGCCGATAAAAGGCATGCCCCTTTCGCTCTTCATGCGGGATGGGGCATTGGCAGAGTCCCAAACTTCCATGTGCGTTGTGCGGGCAGACGCCACCGGGAGGAATATTTACTGGTATGGGTGTTGCTCCCTTTTCCCAAAACGACATGCTGGAGCACCAGCGGGAGACCATCGGAGTGATCTTGCGGACGGTGGCATCATCGAGGATAATCTCGTCGGACCGCGCCGGCTCGTACCGCTCGGGATACCGCTTGCGGTAGCTTGTGGAATGCTCGCGGATGGTCCTTGCCATGGCGTCGACGAAGGAGTGCAGCTGCTCGCCCTGCCCGGATTGGCAGCGCAGTTGGAGACTTCCATTGAAGACCAGCTTATCTTCCAAGTCGTCTATGAGTCCAGAGTCGTCTCTGCGTCGGAGGATTTGCTTTGCTGGGACCCATCGGAGGTTGGAGGCCAAGGCCCTCCAGGGGATTTTGTGGGCGAGGTGAGGCAGGCGAGTCATGAGCGTGATGGCTGGGTTGCAACTTTAAAAGTGTATCTAGATGATGAATTGGATCAAAGGAGTTGGTGCTTGTCCTACGATAGGCATGCCGTAGGGAAGACGAGGAGTGTCGTTGGGTGGTTTTTGATCATTTTAAAATGTTTGAGAGGGTTGGGTAGCATTGGATTTTAATCAGGGTTTTCGCTAAGCAGCAGGTGAGATTGGCATATTAACATGAGCCAAAACAGCAACATATTAATTCTCACCCCAGTTCAAAACGGAGTCACCTGATTAACGCCAGTTGGACTACTTGCGTAAAGTCTTCAAAACCGGCGCCTTTCGAAAGCTCTAAGAAAACCTTATCTAACTACGCCGACTGCACGCCCGCGCACTTTGCTGCGTGGCCGCGGTGGGTGTGGAAAGTAGGGCGATTCGAGGTGCTGCAGACATCCCGAAAAACTCTCACCAGCGCACGGACCAACAGGTCACCTGACTCCCACCCACAGTTGCCCAGGCGACCACGCCCTAGTGCCCCTGAGTGTAGTTAGCGTGCCAAGGCCCTTTAGGCTTCGTGCCTCCGGGCGAAATAAATTCCATCCATCCATCTAGTGCCCCTGAGCCCCTGAACCCCTGAGCGCTCGAGCCTTTGCATGGGACAGGATGACCGCCCCCACCCCTCCAACTGAAGGGAGAGGAGGAGGACCGGCCCAGTCACGGCACTCAAGCGGCCCCCCGACACCTCCTCGTTCCCCCTCACCCTCTGACATCGACGCTATCAAGAACATGGTCGACGGATTGGTAGCAATGGCAAACCCAGAGAAGAAAGAGACCGCCAGAGGCATGGGGCAAGACCTCCTCGCAGCTGTTCGCAAGCTATACAATGCGGCCCAGAACCAAACAGGAACCATTTCACTGGCCAACCTCCGCAAAGTGGTAGCCGAAGAACTCAGGGCGGCCGC